ATTAAGGTGTTAAAAGTAGCGTTGTGAATCAGACAAGCCACTTTTTAACTGTAGGGTCACTTAAAATCACGACAACATTTTCTTAAAGGAGTGACCGGCTATGTAGTTGAACTGAGTATGCAGTGTTGTGGAAAACTTTTTTAGGATTCATTTGAGACATATTTCACTTTTTAAAATTCTGTAAATCCTGAGTTTGAGCTCAAATTCGACGTTCAAAACTCCTGATTTGGGGGTGGATACGCTTTCAGAATTAGTTTTTTTTTAATTATTAAATAACGACGAAATAAAATGTAAAAATATTCTACAATGTTTAGGAACATTTTGAGAAAATAAAAATTAATCTTATCATCGAAAATAAGTAATCTTGTTCAATTATTAGTTTCTATTATCTCATTATTCTAGTTTCTCGTTATTCACAAAGATGTTCGCATATTTTCTATAATTATTATTGAAAAGACGACATTTAAAGAATTTAAAGAAATCTGCGAATAAATTCAAAGAAAATTAGCAATTCAATATAATAATGAAAACGAAATAATCGAGTTTAGCATTGATTTATTGACAAATTTCTTTTGTGAAATATGTTCCTAGCCATCTAATTAGATTACTGTATAATTTTTACTTTATTTTTCGTTGTCGTTATTTAATAATTTAAAAAAAAGCTAATTCTGAAAGCGTATCATCCCCCAAATCAGGAGTTTTGAACGTCGAATTTGCGCTCAAACTCGGAATTTACAGATCTTTAAAAAGTGAAATATGTCTCAAATGAATCCTAAAGAAGTTTTCCACAACACTGCATACTCAGTTCAACTACCTTACAAAGCCGGTCACTCCCTTTAATTCCAAAATTTATGAATAACGTGTGAAATGTTTTAAATTTCTTCTTCTACAGTTTAACCCAGAACTTTGGATACGTCAAAACAATTTATAAAATGTCGTCTCTAAATTTTTTTGATAGTTTTTATACGTTTATACCTAAATCTAAAAGAGTAAAAATTAAATAAATTGCCTTGAAATATGGGGGAACAGTTTGAAAGATTTCCATATAATTATTTAATTAAAAAACTAAATATTTGCAGCATTAGTATATAGACAGTAGGTTTAGAAAAAGACATTCTGGATTAGACGGTATAAAAGTTGTGTTTAATCATATTTATAAGAAATAAAGAACAGGTATGAAAATGTTTTTAATATTTTGTGAAATTAGAATTTTAAGAATTAATTTTTAATTTTCTATTCTGGGATTACGAAGGGTTTTATATCTTGTCTAAGTACAGAGTATGAGAAAGAAACAGTTTTTTAATAACTTTAGATTAAATTACGAAATATGAATATGTTTAAAGGGTCTGTACTCTGTTTCACAACAGTACTCTATAAACCTGTGTCTGAAAAAGAATGAATTTGATTTGATTTTTTTTTCTGACTAAAAATGAATTATCTTATTTGTGGTTTTTCATACAAGTGACTTTCGAATTCACGCTAGAAAGACAATGAAAGAAGTTGTCAGAATTTAACTCTTGTCAATAGGTAGAAATTACGATAATATCGTTATTGTTACTCAGATAAAGGCTGAAAGAGTACCGTTATGAATCCTACACACAACTCTTTAAAAGAAGAATGTTTGGTTAACTTTAACCCAACTGAGAAAGGAATTGAGTCCTTGCCACAAACTCAAATTTTGTAATCCTTTCATCTTTACAACCTGATGTGGTAAACCTTTCATATTTCAAGCTTATTTGTTCTAATAGAATTAATTCATAGTTTGAAATAACTAAGGTCTACGCCATATGGTTGCAAAGATATAGGAATTATAAAATCAGAGTTTGTGGCAAAGATTTAATTCCTTTACGAAAAGTTTGCGCTGTTTTTTGTTTGATAGGAAAAATTAGTTTGGTAATATTGAGTAAAATTAGGAGATCATTAAAAAACCAAAATAATAATTTTTTAGAAAAAATCCGACTCTTGTGAGTCCTTGGTTGAACTGGTAAGTCAGGATTCAAATTCTTTCTCTTTTTTCCATTTAAATCCTTTTTTTCTTTTCTAAACCTCAATCTCATTTCAGGACAATGATTAAAAAAGAGGTTTATATTTAGTATTGTTTTGCTATTTTAACTTAGATAATTTAGTTTCTTTAGAAATATGTTCGTTTAGCAGTAAACATGTACCATCATAACATGGTGCCAATACCAATAGATTTTTTATATATCAAAGTTTTTCTGAATACTTATTTCAACGTTTTAAAATATGTCCAAACCAAACCAGCAAAGTAAAAGGAAAAAAGTTCTTAAGAAAACCCCGTTAAAAAGTTCTGTCAGAATGAAAGAGATTAAATGACAAAGTTTTGTCAAAACAAATTTCAAGACCCAAATTCTGTAAAAAAAAACATACATATTTGCATTTACATTTGCATTGTAAATGTGAGGTTTTTAGGCAGTGTACCAACGATTTAAAGTAAATATACATTTATTCTTTCACATACGTTTAATGAAACTGAACAATCGCCACTAATTCGAACCCATAAAGCTTTGTAACCTAATGAAGTAGACCTATGGTATTGTAAACTATGTCCTTTGCTAGATAAATTTTAAAGATTTATATCAGGTTGCAAAGATATAAGGATGAGAAAATTAAAGTGTGTGGCTTTTCAATGAGCTGGTATTTTTTGAAATAATGGATCTAAATAAAATCGGTTAAAATGAGCTATTTATAGAAAATGATAGGTTTCGCTTAACCTATTTGAACCGATTAATGATAGTCAGTCTTATCAAAAGTTCCCAGTTCTGTCGATCAAAAAGTTTCCACCCTCCCTTTCAGAGTTTGAAATCGGTATCCAAGGAATATTTATTAACAATTATAAAACATAATAATGATTTATTGTTTAATTGTTTAGTTTTACTTTGAACCAACTTCATGATTAAACATGATAAAAGTTTGGGAAAACTTTTATGAATTTAATGAATTTTCAAATTCATCCCTATTTTCATTTGTTAAGTTTAATAAGTTATGATTTTGTAATAATTTATGATTATTCAACAAGATATTGAACGATTTGATTATCCTCTCTCACTTATTAAAAGTCAACATTTTTTAAGAGTGTACAATACAATGTACAATGTAATTGTCAGGACAATACATGCACATAGTACTTTTGAAGACATACTCTTTATTAAAGTTATCTACACACAAAATGCATATGTATATGTATAAAATGTACATTAGAATAAAAAGTGTACATGAACATAATCTGGGGTGTACAGGAGGGGGGCCCAGGATCCTGGTGGCCCCTTGATGCTGAAGTGGTTATGGAAGGGGGACGGATTCTGCGAACTAAGAACCCCACAGGACATGCAATCCTTGTGGACTGTAGGTTTGAGATCCCCTGTGGTAAGTTGAGTGTACTGCACCAACGCTCAGTGTACTGCACCAACCAATGTTTACGTGTATAATTAGCTGTTCTATGCGTGAACCCACAAGTATATAAGTCACTTGTTGTGCTGAAAGCTTGAAATGCATACTGCTGTCAATCTTGTTCGCACTTTCACTTTTGTTATTATATTTCAAGCACCCATGTTACTTGTTGCAACCTTTTTCATTCATTTTAGATGTATTTTAACCATAGATAAATTAAAATAACAGATAGAACACTAGATGTCGTCTTTAAAAGATTTATGTGTGTTTCGTTCACAAGAACCCTAAGGTAGAAACCCAAAGGAGTTACACGTAATCGGCGCAAAACAGGCTCTCTCTTTGTAGAACAGACGACATCTAGTTTCCTATCTGTTATTTTGATTAATCTATGAACAAATTTTAAAAAATGATGCAAAACAACTATGAGTTTCAGATAACAACTTTGTGATGTAACTCATCTGAAACAAGGATTGGAGAAATTAAACGAAAAATATAATTATATAAATTTCCTTGTCAAACTAAGTGTTTTAATGGAATTTGGAAAATAAACTTGCTTTCTGAATGTTGTACAGAACAGTACAAAGTACAGTGTACCCTGTACAGTGTACGTTCTCTCTGTGTAAAGATATCGAAAATTGCCTCTGAATTAGATTCTTATTATTTTCCTGTACTCTTTTAAAAAGGCACAAAGATTGTGATTAAAGCTCAGTATTCTTGATTTTTTTAATGGAAGGCCCATTCCTAAGCTATCATTGTTTACAATTTGTTGTTTGTTTACAATAACACTATTTCTATAGCTGTCGTAATATGTCACATTTGAGTTTTAAGAAACCATATACTCCCCATCCTAGATCTGAATCTTTTTTTCTGAAATGAGTATTTTGAATAAAGGAATTGAGTCTTTGCCACAAACTCAAATTTTCTAATATCAATTTCTCTCCACCCCGACCGTGTAAACCTTTGATTTTTAAACTTATATTATTCAGAATTCATAGTTTGAAATATCTAAGGTCTAGAACATCTGGGTTGCAATGATATAGTGATTAGAAAATCAGAGTTTGCGGCAAAGGTTCAATTCCTTTAGATATATTTTTGAAAATGACTTTTTTTGGACCTTTTTACTAAACTTATTGAGATTTTTTATTACCTAAACAATGTAATTCACAAAACTGTATTAAAAATGTAAAAGAAAGAATATTTAAAAATTTTATCAATCTCAAAAATGTATATTGTGAATTGAGTGCTTGGTGCCTGCTCTGTGCTCATGTTGGATGTTGTTGTTCATAATTTGTGATTAGCATTTCAATGTCAAAGTGTGCATCATTCATCATAAAATCAATAAACCTTTCATCCAATCTTACATAATTTTCAAATCACACATTCACTTTCATAAGGAAGATGTTTAATAAATATACTCACTGAAAACAGTAAATATATAAAAAAACCTTGATAAAGAGAATATTTATTTTTCTTTTGTTTCAGTGATTTTTAAATTTTGTATTGTTCTGTATGAAATAGAAAATTATTTAAATATCCTGTTAAAGGAAAGCAGGTTTCAGGTTTCAGAAAACTGATTTCAGTTTTCCAGTTAATGAAAGGTTTACATATATATATATTGACAGAACAAGTGTATATGAAGACAAGTACGTTTAGTTTTGTTCATCAGCTGATTTAAAGCATAATGATAAGGTTGTATACATTACACTCCTACTATCATTAAACCCTGTTACAGTCTTCTTCTAGATACTAGTGAATGTTTAATAAGCTACCTCCTGTCAGTCGGACTTAAATGTCAAGTGTATTCTGCCACAACACAGAGTGATGATACAATCTAGTAAGATAACTGAGTGTTTATGATGGAGTTTAAGGGGCATGTCCCCTTAGATTTAGGTTCTCTTCATGAAAAAGGGTGACACGTGATAAAAATGGCACAACGGGTGTTAAACTTTGCTCCTCCAATCACAGAGGCTATCCCGTGGGATGGAATGACATACAGAGAAGTTCTGTTAAAAAGTCCGTCAGCTGATCCAAATGCTGAAAAGAAGGAGGATTGTGAAACAGAAGTAAAACTTGAAAAAAACGCTGAATCTATTCCAGGAGACACTGCATTGAAGAAGGAACTGAATAAAATAGAACCTGCAGACAATTGCAAATCCAAAGACAGTTGTGAAATCATTGGCATTTATAAACTTCAGCACAAAAATGAAGAAATATTGGCTGAGAATAAAGGACTAACATTTGACGAGTTTGTAAAAAAATACAAAGAGTTAGACCCCGGACTAGACGCAAGTATTGATAAAGAGAAAAGAGGTTTAAAAGTAAAATTACATGAACTAGGGGATAGAAAGTGCACTGAGCTTGGAAGACAATTTTCAAGATCACAAAGTTTTAGAGGTGGACGATATACTAGATATCAAAGGCAAAGGTTTAATCACTATGGTAACAGATATCAAGGAAGAGGGCACTACAGGGGAAGAAGACCATACAATAATATATACAGAGTTAACTTCCAAAGAGGATCACAGTTTCGAGGATCAGGTCCAGTCAGACCCTATTTTCAGCATCCAAGATCTACAGGACATAGAGTACATCTTATTAGTGTCAGTAGTCAAACTGACCAAAATGATAATGAAGTTAAAAGTGTTCTTCTAGAAGAAAACACTCCATTCAAACCAATTGAAGTTGAAGGTGGAGAACAAGCAAATGATTGTGAAAGAAGGTCTAGTGATGTCTCAAATATTAGTGAAAAGCTGACATCTGAGAGTTATACTGAAACGAGTGATTTTGAGAGTGATATTGAAATCATTATTGATTCATCTGCATTTAGATACGATCAAAGGAATTTAGCCATTCAGTTACATTTTTATTTCAAAAAGGAAAATTATACTAAACCAATTGTTAATTTGTTGGGCATCCCATAAGATCTGGTATTTCAAAGGTTTGTTTGGCCTTCAGTTTGTACAAATTGAAAAATCAGTCAATATTTTGCAGAGTAAAATTAAATAAATTTTATATTTAACAATGTTTCATACTAAAACGCTGCTCAAATAGGATGCATAATACTTGTTCCCAGTAAAAAATCAATTTGGTTTATTTTACTTCTTATAACCCACAAAATCCTCCTTATTCAAGAGTTAGTGAATATATTTTACAAATGGTTAATTATTCAGCTTGATTGATAGTGTTCGATTAGGAATCCGAGCAGATAGCTTAAAAGCACAATGTGAGAAAGACTATGATCAGTATAATAACAATGATAATTTGTGCAAGAAACCTTTTGACAATCTTTGTAATCTTGGATCTACTGGATTTACTAGTGAGAGTAGTAGTGTTAGTGATGCCTATAGAACTCCTGATCAACTTGAGATCAACAGTTCCACCGGAGAAGGAACAAAGGCTACATTAAATGTATTTGTGCCGGAGTTCAAACCCCTTCAATCACTAAGTGAATCCTTTCAATTGCCAAATAATGCTTTGTTAAAAAGCATTAGAGAGCAGAATGAAGAACATGTTTCAAATTTGCAGAGAAAATTGACGCAAGATTTACCTGAACTTCCTAATTCTTCAAATTATGAAAAAGTGTTTTGTGAAATTCAAACTTCCTGCCACATTTTACAGGAAGAAAGTTCATTGCAACAAATTGATGACCAATCCAATGAGTTAAAACTTCATTTTTATGCAAAAAAGGATTTTAATAATAACATTCAACAAAAGCAGAATTTAGAAGAGAATCTACAACAAGAAGCTATTTCTTGTATCATAAAAAACGAACTACCTGAGATGACTTTCCTGGAACTAAATGTTGATACAAGTCTTGATGTATATGATCCCAGAAATGTTCAACAAAGAGTTTTTACCTCTGGAGATAAATGTTACCAAGAGTTTTATCCTCGAGCCCTGACATCTTATTCACAAGATAATTTCCCTTATGGAGAACCATTACTGAAGGTTTATAACCATGAAGAAGATTATCAGGATTACAGTTTAAATTCAGAGCCTTACATCCAGAGCCTAGACTTTAGTGATAATTCTTTTTTACCTCTGTCAGATCTGCCTATATCTTTTAACGCTCAGTGTTCAGATATTGGATTAGCAGAGGGTCATTTACCAGACCTAAAATATCCTATATGTGAACTAAAAGTCAATCATTCACAGCATGAGGAAAGTACTCCACTTAGTCGATTAAATGACACTGTGCATTTTCAAGAAATAACGCTCGCCAACTATAAATTTGATATGGTATTCTATGGCGAAAATTTCGAGCCAGGTAATTTTGTTAAAAGTAATTGTACTTTTCATTCAAGCCAACCTAATTATTTAATGTTTCTTCATTCTTATTTGTAATTATTGAAAGCGGTTAATTGTCATTTAAAGTTGTTCACTGCTATTGAAATTTGAAACCTCTCTCTCATATTGTATTGTGATATATTCTTACATTTCAAAAATTTTCATACACAAGAGACATTTATGTCATCTTTAGATTTATTTAATACATGAAATTGAAATTTATTTACACAGAATGGAGATAATAAACATAATCGTGCCATTCTTGATTTTCATGTATGAAAATTCAAAGATAGGGCTATTTTTTCGAGATGAATTATTTATAATTCATCATGCAGTAGCAACATATTACAATTTATGTAGAGAGATAACACTAGGTCAAAACAAACTTTAAGTCAATTCACGTATAAATAATGATTTCATTTGGCACAATCCTGCAAAGTTTGGGAGATTACTCTGCAATTACAATTACAATATTTTGAAACAAAAATGTAAAGAAAAATGCCTCTGAGCCTTTCCTCTCTTTTTGTTATTTATTCAGTACTAATGAGATAGGGTGTGAGAACTGTGTATTTTAGGAACACAAATATAGATATATTTGTATACAGAGTTAAGCAAATACCACATAACTAAAGGGACTGTATACAGAGTTAAACAAATACCACATAACTAAAGGGACTGTAACAGAGTTAAACAAATACCACATAACTAAAGGGACTGTACACAGAGTTAAACAAATACCATATAACTAAAGGGACTGTATACTGAGTTAAACAAATACCACATAACTAAAGGGACTGTATACAGAGTTAAGCAAATACCACATAAATAAAGGGACTGTATATAGAGTTAAACAAATACCACATAACTAAAGAGACTGTATACAGATTTAAACAAATACCACATAACTAAAGGGACTGTATACAGAGTTAAGCAAATACTACATAACTAAAGGGACTGTATACAGATTTAAGCAAATACCACATAACTAAAGGGACTGTATACTGAGTTAAACAAATACCACATACTAAAGGGACTGTATACAGAGTTAAGCAAATACCAAATAACTAAAGGGACTGTATACTGAGTTAAACAAATACCACATACTAAAGGGACTGTATACAGAGTTAAGCAAATACCAAATAACTAAAGGGACTGTATACAGAGTTAAACAAATACCACATAACTAAAGGGACTGTATACAGAGTTAAGCAAATACCACATAACTAAAGGGACTGTATGCTGAGTTAAGCAAATACCACATAGCTAAAGGGACTGTTGTTATCATTTCAAGTAAACTCCATTACAAAGCTATTATTGCCGCTGTGAATCTGAAACTCTACAGTTTAGCCCAGAAACATCGAAACAATTTATAAAATGTCGTCTTGACAATTTTTCAATGGGTTTTTCTATTAGACCTAAATCTCAGAATATGTAAAAATAAATCATTATCCATGAAATAAGCAGGAACAGTTTAAAGAGCTTCATATGATTATTCAGTTAAAAACGAAATATCTGCAGCTTTCCACTATCATTAGGTTTAAAAGACGACATTTTTAATCTTAGTTGGATGTCTCCAAAGTTTTGGGTTAAACTGTATAAAATGGAGAGTCATTTGAGAATACATTACAGTAATCATAATTAATCAAGAAACTCAATTAAGATTTGTTTTCTTTGAGACTTCTGAGAGGTTAAAAGGCATTGAATAAAGAAAGAATGAATAAATAAATTATTAAAACAAGTTAACTATAAATACTAGAAAACTCAGTTTTAAAGTAAACTACAGTAAGCTTTTTCAAATTTAATTTCAAGGGTTCTAAATTAATAACTTAATAAAAAAAAGTATTTTGAAGTTAATATCTTTATATGATTTTATAACAATGTATACTATAGGTTGTATTAATCTGCTATGTTTTCTGCATGAATTTAGTTTTGCACGTTTTTAGCATGTTTTTTGTTTGATTGTAGTTTTTTTCAGGTTTGATTTTCTTGCAATCACTTATAATATATTGAAGCAGATAAAAATTTGTAAGATTTTTTTTTTTTTCTACAATTTGGATTACTGGCAACTAAAAGATTTAACTTTTAGCATTCCATTTTTCAGCTTTAGAAAAAATTGGATCGGAAATGATGAATTTTTGTTACAGAGGTTGAATACAACGATCCTAGCGGCCTGCAGGAGAAACTAGAGCGCCTCAACCAGATAATGAGCGGGGAATGGGAACAGCAAAGACGACCTTTCCTAAACCAATGTAAGTTTTGGACTGTATTGGTACAAACTTGAGAATAGAAGGAAGAATATATTAAAGGAACTGCAGACGTGATTTAAAGCAACCCTACATTTATAGACTATACACTATACAGGTCCGATTTACAACGCTAGCTTTGAAATCTGTTTCTGATCATGGAGGGATATGATATTCTTGTTTTACTTGCCGATAATTTTTAATTGAGCTTTTTCTATACAAATGGCCAGCGTATTTATGAAATGAAGACAAAAGAATGTAAATTTTGAAATTTAACTCTTTTCAAGATAGACAAAAAAATGATTTCAAATGAGGAGTACTTGAAAATACGTCTACAGTCTCTTTAAGGGAAAGCTTTTCATAAAATGATTCTTTTTACTTTCCAACATTTCTCATTAAATCCTGAATCCTTTCTCATTCACAAAAGTTTTAAGCATAGAAAGAAAAAGAAGCGTTACAAACTTTACAAATGATAAGATCAAAATTCTTTTATAAAGAGATTAGATATGTTTGCTTTTTATAAGGCAACAGCTAACAACATGTTTGACAATGTATTTCCACATCCCACATCTTCGCTACACTTAATACTTGTAAACTTTGTCTGATGGGGAAAAGTTCAAGTTTCTTTGTATACATGTATCGCAAGGTGATAGAGCCTTTTTCATGGGTAGTGGTGGGAAGGGGGTAGGTTTACTCTATGGGGATTGGGAATTCTCTGTATAGCCAAAGAATAAAATAAATAAAGACAACAAAGATGCTTTAGAGAGAAAGAACAAGTCCTAGGAAGTCCATACTTCATATGTATATTGCACCATCCAGCCATTGCAGAAGTATCCTGACTCTTTTGATTCTTCTGGCGAGAATTGTGGATTTTACTGCAAAAGTTTTCCTCTGCTATGTTATCCTTGGAACCTTGTTGAATAAGCTGTGAGGATTGGGAGGACCAAACAAGGTCGGCTTGTTGAGCAAGAGAACGGGCTTCCTCATATCCAAAGGTATGAAGATGTCCACAAATATCTCCTGGTATCCTGAAAAGAAATTCATTCAAAAAGAACGGGTACATGCTTTGACCAGTAGGACAGACTGTATAGCATTGAATCCATTAGGTCTGATGTTTTCCCATCACCTATTCCTGGCATAGATTGAATAAGCTAAGCTTTCTCCAGATCTGTATATGTGAATTTCTTCAAGAGTCTCATCTTTATAGAGGTATACTGTTCCTTTCCTGATACATTTTCAAAAAAATCTATCAGTTTAATTGCGTTTCATTAGGCAAGGCTGCAACCACATGATGATATTTGGTTAGTTCACCGGTAATATTCTTTATTGCAAAACTGGGATTCGGCTTGTGTGAACCAGATTTTAGCTCCATCAGCCCAGAACTGTGGTAGTTTAAGAGCTACTGATTAAATATTCTCCAAGGGAACCTCAGCCTTTGTTCTTCTTCGGGGTCACCACTTTGAGAGTAAGAACAAGTCTATGATATAGTTTCTTTAATACTTATTTAATCAACAGATATTTGTATTCAGGATAGATCTGCATGAGTTGAAGGATGGAGACTGAATCATTCCTAGATTACAGTTTTCTTGTTCGGAGATTTTGTTCTTTATCTTCGAGCATTTCTTGGATTTATCCTCTCAGATTCCTGCTTCAACAATGCTATTGATATTTTATTGATTAAAATTATAAAAACTAAACATGGCCTAATTCTACTGTATATTCTGCAACAACTTGAATACTGATACAGAGAGGGGGGGGGGGGTGCTCTGTAAAAATAGATATTTTCCTACCACAGTAATTCTTTATATCAATACATCTGTTTGAATTTTCTGAAGTTTACATATCATTAACTGCTGTAAGATATATCATTTTATTTGAAACTCAGCGCAGCTCTGTTAAACTTAGTACTTTTTTGTAAACAAAGGTTTTGGATTTTCTTGTATCCCCTTGGTCCAATTGATTGGTACAGGGATTTACCAGTGGAAAGTGATTGTATTGTAGTGGCAGGTCCACGCTACCCAGCTATTGTTTATTTGGTCCATCACGGTTTCTACACAACATGTTGGCTGGCTGGATCAATGTGTTTATTTCTTGACGGCCAAAACTAAATTTTGCACGCCAAACTAGCTTTAAGAGAGACTGACTATAAAGTTTTTTCTCTACAATTCTGCACTTTCAGATCAAATACCATGTCTAGCCGTCTTCTCCCTTTAAAGTCAACTCGAGTTGGTTTTTCATCATGTTTTACAATTATAATTTTAATTTCAATCAAACTTGTGCATTAATGCTTTAAATATATTCATAATTTAGATACATGAATATAAATTTATCTAGAATCTAGATACATGAACATGAATATGTCTAGAGTATGGATACATGAGCATGAATATATCTAGAGTCTAGATACATGAACTTGAGTATATCTAGAGTCTGGATACATGAACAATGAACATGAATAAATGATAAGGAGAACATTGAAACATTGAAATACTATTTGTGATAACACACGGGCATGATCTCATCAGCTATCAATGTCCACACGAACACAAGCTTGTAAGCTATCAATGCCAAACACAGGCATGATCTCATTAGCTATCAATGTCCACATGGACACAAGCTTGTAAGCTATCAATGCCAAACATGGGTCATGATCTCATTAGCTATCTATGTCAACACAGACACAAGCTTGTAAGCTGTCAATGCCAAACACAGGCATGATCACATCAGCTATTAATTGTTCCACATCGACACAACCTTGTGAGCTATCAATGTCAAACACGGGTCATGATCTCATGAGCTATCTATGTCAACACAGACACAGCTTGTGAACTATCAATGCCAAACATGGGCACAATCTTATCAGCTATCTATGTCAACATGGACACAAGCTCGTAACCTATCAAAGCTAAACACAAACACAATTTCCTCAGCTTTCAATGTCAATATGGACACAAGCTTGTTTTATCTTTAATAATTTATTTTTAATTAAATTTTACAATATTTTTAAATATTTATATGATATCAGAGGAAAATTTTTTAATATTTCTTTATTTCTTCTTCTCTTTCTTCTTTTTCATCTTTCATACATCTTTCAATCATATAGCGGCTAATTTCGAAAAAAGGATGTTCTTGTAAATTAGCGATTTTTACAAAGAGGACTAATTTTTAAAAGATCTTGTTTTTTGAGCCCTGTATTCATTTTGAGAATATTGTCTGTTTTTCTTTTCTTGAAAAGATGACCAAGCAATTTGTAGTATTTCAGCTCAGCTCAGCTCAGCTCTGTATATATTGCTTACACATGTTTGCTAGGGTTGGATTTACACATTTCCTAGATCATTTAACTTCGGGAAGATTTTTGAAGGGAGGGCGGTGGAATGTCTCCCATCCTGTTTTTGTCTTAATTCGCTCTCGATAACAAAAAAATGATAGTGTAAAGCTTAAAACATCCCTTCTAATTATCCTGTTCTTTATTTTCTTCTTTTTTCTTGTCTATCTCGTTTTTGAACTTTAAGACCTTTCCAAATAGTCCTTTTAACATCCGAGTTGTGGAAAAGGTAGAGGAGAGAGATTAGGAGATTTGTATGAAGAAGGGTATAGGGAATTGCTTCCTGTGGTCCTTCATTTTATACTGTTTCCCAGTTAGGGGAATTATAAGGAAACTCATAACTGCACCCCTTATGCAAAATGAGGAGTTGTAAGCCCTGTAAAGCCCTCTTGAGGGGAATCTTCTTTAGCAGTCCAGTCCTCACAGCCGGATGAGTAATAAACCAGAACCCAGATAATACAAAACAAGAAAGGAAAGTTTTAATCTATGTGTATTTCTTGGTTCCCCTACATTATACTAGATGCGTAACTAAACACAGCGCTCCCCCGGTTGTAAGGCTGGGACAAGGCTGGGACCCACATATGATTGGTCTTTTCTCTCTGAAGTCAATAAGAGAACTGGACACAAGCATGTAAGCTATCAATGCCAAACACGGGCACGAACTAATTAGCTATCAATGTCAACAGGGACATAAGCTTGTAAACTATCAATGTTAATTAAGGATACAATATCATCAACTCATCCACTAAACAAGGAACAATTACTTCTCTCCCTGTAATCTTAGCAGAGTCTATTCCAACTGACATGTATTTAGATATCTTAGTTACTGGTTAAGTTTAATGTACGTATTTACAAGATTTGCGCAGGTTTGGCGTAATTGCATTACAAGTTTTGTATAGTTAATTATTAGCGCATTTATATTTACAGACAATGTACAACGTAATTTATCTAGGTATGTTCAAATGTATAACTTTGGGATTTGGTACAATATTTATTCCATAGAAAGATTGGATGGATGAGTATTGGATCTTATAACTAGATAGATAGACTGGATGGTATAGATTGATAGATAGAAAGATAGACCGGATGAGCACCGGATGGTATGGTATAGATAGATAGATATAATGGATGAGTACTGGATGGTTTAGATAGATAGGTGGATGAGTATTGGATGGCATAGATAGATAGATAGATAGATGGGATGAGTAATGGAGAGGATGGATGGATAGGTGGGTTGAGCACTGGAGGGTAAGGATGAGTACTTGATAGTAAAGATGGATAGGCGGGATGAGTACTGAGAGTAAAGATGGATTAGTGGGATGAGTACTGGAGGGGGAGGGATGGGCAGAGAAAGTAGGGGGCAATGGAGTGTTGGTGGAGGAGGGAGGGGGGGAGGTTTGAGGACTGGGTCGGCCCGAAATCATGGCTTTGGTTGCTTGGATGGGTAGAATATAGAGGCCAGGCAGTTCTCTACTCTTTACACTCAGGACAACATATCAGGATCTACCATAGTATACTTTGTACATATATATATATATATATAGTGTACACAGTACACGGTTTACATGCATAGATTCGTGTACCGTAGTGAACCCTAGTGAGTAAAACGTGATTAAAAAATCTAAATAATTTGTGTTGTTGAGTTCACAGATATATATGGAAAAACTCTCACATGACCACCTCTCCTCTTATATACATGTAAGTGTACACTGTATACTGTACACTGTACACTCTATACCCATTATGTACTTTCTTGATTAAATCCTTTAAACCTTTTTTATAGTATTGCTAGGACAATGTATGCTCTAGAAATTGGTTCCATTCTTTTATTCATTATATTCTTTAATCGGATTTCTTTCCTATTCTACATTATTCTTTTATATATTTTCCATTTTTATTACATATTTACTCATTTTGTATTTTTCACAGCACGTTGTGACATACATATCATTATTTTTTGTCCTCTGAAAACATTTCTTTTTATCTTTTCCACGTTTCCTTTTTTTATTTTTCACACGTACAAATTTAAATACTTTTAAATTTTTGCAACAACATTTTTTTTCTTATGATTTTTAACGAAATTAGGACTTGAAACATAAAAATACAATTGGCTATAATTATGCGGTTAGAAAATCTAAATTAACAAAAATTTTGTTCCGAAAACTTTGTCTTAAAGCGTACTCAAAGCTGGAGAAAGCTAAACAATAGTTGCAAAATTGTGTGTGGCGATGCATGAACCATACATTGTGCTTTAGAATTTTATAAATGTCTCTTAAAAGTAATAGTACTTCTAATTCCTATGAGGGCAATTCATTTCGGTATAACTCCGAACTGTTCATTTTCCAAAAGTGCATTTAATTTAAAAATATCTTTCGTTCTTGTTTTTTAATTTTGTAGCTAACTTGTCTATTCTTACAAACACAAAATTCCGTCACTAAATGAATGAGTAAACAGAAAAATGGGTACAAAAATATATATGAAAATAGATATGAAAATACATATGAAAATATAAATGAAATGGATGCAAAAATATATATGAAATTACATATGAAAATATATTTGAGAATATATATGTAAATAGATATGAAAATATATATGAAAATAGATATGAAAATTAACAAAATTAAACCAAGATATTAAGAAAAATATCTATTCTTTTGGAACTTTTTTTTTGCATTCTTCTGTATTCATTTTTTAAGAAACACCTCTTTTTTTTCTTCCTTCAACTCTTTCATTTTTCACCCAACAAAGAAACTGAGTTTTTTCTAATCCATATCTCTGTGCAGCCTGATGGTGTAAAGCTTTGATGTTTCAAACTTGAACTTTTTGATTTAACAGAGTTCATCTATCAATATACTTTGTTTGTCTGTCTGTCTGCTTATCCGTTTGTATCCAATGAACATCAAAACGGTTGAACCGATCCAGCCCAAATTTTGTGCGGGACCTTACATGACCCCAGGGAAAGTTTATGAATGCTCAAAATCACAAAAATTTGTGCCCAAAAGTTTTTGATTTTTTAAAATTTGAAAATGCTCGCAAACATATTATACAATCCAAAATTTTTTTCTTGGTGTTTTACCTTGAACAAAGAGAACATGCACACAGATGGAGACACAATTAAAATAGAAGATGGGTGCGAAGCGCTCTAACAGTCTGGTAGTTTAAAATATCAAAGGTCTATAACTTTGGGTTGCAAAGATAATGGGATTAGAAAATCAGAGTTTTGGGCAAAACTCATTAATTTTTTCTGTTACAAGAACTTTGTGTCTATAAATATGCAATACATTGTGTATAAAAGACAAGCTCTAGATTTGTTGCTTACTTTCCAAAAATATACACATCAACATTACAACAATATGCAATATCTACATATACAAAGCAGTAGTCTCTACCCACCTTACGTCTATTACACCTGGTAAAAACTCTATCCCAACCCACCTTACATCTATTAAACATTGGAACATCTTTATCCCAATACACCCTGTCCTCCAGTTAGTACCCTGACCTTTGAAACTAGGGTCGGGGTCAAGTTCAGCTCCACTAAGTCTGTACACAGAACAGCAGTGTCTGTTTGAATTTCCGATCGTAACTCATAAACTCTTGGACCAATTTGCCACAAATTTTAATTGTGGAACTTGGTAGAACCATGGAATTTTTTTTTATCCTGGTTAAAGAATTCTAAATTGAATGCCTTGACCTTTATAGGGAAAACTCCAGGCAAAACTGGGTTCCCAACCTAGTATACTTTTTCTTTTTAAATAAAAACCCTGTCCTGCTATTAATCAGAAACTATCGATAGATATTTTAATAAAACTCTGCTCTCCACTTTTCTTACGTCTTTCTTCATTCATCATTTTCATTTAGTTCGGTCAGACAACCTTAATCAGACTTTATAGGATTTATTATACAGATTGTGCAATGGAGGTAGTCTTTGCTTATTTATGTTTCTTAGATACAGCTTGACACAAAATTTTTGAATATTAATTTATACATCTGATATTAGTCCACTCATTTAAATATTAAATACTAGGCAGTTGAAATGTAAGAAAATCACTCTTTTTCTTTAGCTTGTTAAAGTATGCCTTTCAAGCTACTCTTTTTTCGTAATTCGTTAAACTAAATATTTCCCGGATTTTCTGTTTCCAATTATTTCTATATAAACCTTTCCTTGGTTGATGACACTATTCTTTAAAAATTGGACCCGATTGGTTCTGAAATTTTTTTTCTTCATACATTCAGACAGATAGACAAACCAACAGACACGAAAGACAGATAGACAAACCAACAGACACGCAAGACAATATGTAGACTGATCTGTACATTTACGTATCGATGAAGATGGAGAGCAGCTAATTAGATCTCACGGTATAAAATGGCAGAGATAGAGTAGAGAAAAGAAAACCATACATTACACAGATAAGATAAGAGAGGAAATCATTTTCTGAGTTCTGCAAATGCTTAGTATTATTACCTTTTCACGCATACATATAACAGCTGTTGTTGTGGTTAAAGGCAGGATTTGGCACAATCTCTCTTTACCAGGAGTTTATTGAATAAAGGAATAGAGTTTTTGCCACAAACTCGAGTTTTCTAATTTTATATTTTAGCAAACTGACCATTTTAGATTTCAAGCTTAGCTAATTTAATTAAACATGATTTATAGTTTGAAATATCAAAGGTCTACAACATCAAGTTACAAAGATATAGGGATTAGAAAATTAGAGTTTGTGGGAAAACCTGAATTCCTTCATTTAGTCAATATATTCATGATGTAATATTTATTCAGTAAATTGGACAGATTCGCCTAAATTTTTCAACCCTGAATGTTTGATATCAATATCCAATGTTGGCACTTTACGTTTGAGGACAAGGCAGTAGTTGATTGACTGTAATGATTTAATATTTCCTGACTTTGAAGTTTTCCTCGGGAATATTTCTTAAATGTATATTTCACCTAACAGAAGAAAGATGTGAATTATTATAATTGGTTCGATGCTCTGAGCTATGCGCTGCGGCTAGAAAATGGAACATGTGAAGGACTGACATTCTTTAATGTAAAAAAATGATAAGTAGAGAGAGAGTAAGCGATATGAGAATGTTAGGATTTTTTCACCTCACGCTCTATCTAGTGTTCAATATAATATGAGAATTCTTCTTGGTATCTGAAGAGAATGAAAAAAGTAATCAAGTAGATATTGGATACAGTTTTCCTTACTACTTTGCTTTATAGAAAATCTGTCCAAACCTGGGGGGAGGGTGGGGGGGGGGTATTAAGTTTATTAGTGTTTAATACTTGCTAAAATGTTGCCAAAATTAAATTTTTTATCCTGGTGTGTATAAAAAAAATGTTTGTACTGCTCATCCCTTCAAAAGGGCTAAACCCGTATCGTTTGTAATTGGACGGATTAAGAATATGGTTATTTTTGGATGGTCCGTGGATTCAACCAATAATAAATTTGTCTGCTGCAGTAAAAATTAACTAACCAGAAGGAACAAAAAAAGAATCGATTTTGGTCCATAGGAGATCGAGGAAATACGAGTCAGCTGTTGTTCATATATTAATCACTCAATCGCTCTTTCCAAGTCAAATGTTTTTGTCGTGGAAGCCAAATTAATTCAAAAGTTCCGAACCTTGTTCTTAAAAGTCCCTAACTTTCCACCAATTTAAGTTTTATTATTAAATTTTACATTAAACATGATGAAGTGTGATGAAAAAGATCTCAAAGAAGATTTTTAACCTAAAATATACGTCTAACATGTATTATTAATTGAGAAGGGGGTGGGTTATTTTGGCGGTCTAAAGTTTTAAAGAATACGTTTTAATTTAGAAAGACCCTGTCCGGTATATCGAGTAAAGATAATTAATCTGAAATCCCTATCTACTATTGAGTAAAGAGGGTTAATCTGGAACACCCTGTCCACTGTCCAGTATTTTGAGTAAAGATAGTTAATCTGAAATCCCTATCCACTATTGAGTGAAGATGGTTAATCTGGAACACCCTGTCCACTGCCCAGTATATTGAGTAAAGATGGTTAATCTGGAACACTCTGTCCAATTTACATATTAAGAAAAGGTGGTTCTCAGCATGATACATCATTGTACCCTTGAGAAGGAAAGGAATAGAAATATAGAATATATTCCTAGTAAAATAGGAATATAGAATATATCCTGGTATAATAGGAAACCATAGAGCTAGGATAAAACCAGAGACACTATGGAATATATCCTTGGAAAAAAGCCTTTTTAACTAGAGAAGGATTGAATATATCAAACTATCTATACTTCTAAATTTGTAAATATGAATGAAAAGAAAAGAAAATATTGATATTAACTAATAAAATTCTAAGAATCAATATGATTAAATTTCGCTTAGTTCTATAAAAAATGTCTTCTATTACAATATATCCCTGTGATTGCTATGTTCTTGTCTCATGAATATAGCTAGAATTCCTACATTTCTAGGATTTATCCCTAGAGAAAATGGATAAAGAGTTAAGAAGATAAAAGAGAGAATGATTTTAAAACGGAAATGACTTGTAATCGTTTTGTTACGATGACTAGGATTAAAGAAAAAGTTTGTCTAGAAAGATAAAAATGATTTTATTTTTTCAGCTGGATATTCTGAGGATAGTGATTACACCTCCGATATTAACTTTCCTATTCATCTTCCACCAAACCAGGCTCAGGCTCAATACCTACAGGTAGTAATTAGATACATCCTGTTCTATTCTGCTCTTTCCTGTTCTATCTTGTTCTATTCTGTTCTATCCTGTTCTAACCTGTTCTATCCTGTTCTATCCTGTTCTATCCTGTTCTATCCTGTTCTATCCTGTTCTATCCTGTTCTATCCTGTTCTATTCTGTTCTATCCTGTTCTATCCTGTTCTATCCTGTTCTATCCTGTTCTATCCTGTTCTATACTGTTCTATTCTGTTCTATCCTGTTCTATCCTGTTCCATTCTGTTCTATCCTGTTCTATCCTGTTCTTTCCTGTTCTATCCTATTCAATCCTGTTGTTCTATCCTGTTCTATCCTGTTCTATCCTTTTTATTATGAAAGCTTGTCATATGTTTCTTTCTTTCAATAGGTTCTTCAGTCTACAGTGGTATTCTAGTCTATAGTGGTATTCTAGTCTTATTTTTATATAATAAGTTAACGTTTTTCTCATAACACTTTCGGAGTTATGAAGCACATCTTTAGTCATATTTGCAGACATGTTTTAATAATGATAATATTTTTTATCTAGTTTGTAAATCTTGACAAAATCCTCTGATATCGGAGTCATATTAGTCTTAATGATTAATATAAGCGTTTATGGAGTGTTTTTTTCAAACTGCTGATGTGTAGGGGGGCCGCGGGGGGATAGGCTCAAACAGGCTCTTTTTGCATTTAAAAAAAAGTTTAAAAATATTTCTGTATTTGTATAATGATTTATTTTCCTAAGTAGGATGAAAAAGTCTTGATTTAAAAGAAAAATTTCTAGTTTTCCAAATTTATACTTGATAAGGTTGGGACTTTTAGGTCGAGTTTCACTAATGCTTGATCTTAATATCCAATGTGGGCACTATTAAATTTGAGGATAAATGTTTAATTAAAGTTATTTATGCAGGGTGTGACCACTCCGGGATATCAAAGAGAAATTAATAAGTCCGTAGGACTGCATAAGATGAATATCAATGCTTGATCCCGTGATTCACAAAACAAAAGAATTTGTCCAAGATTAAAAAAGAAAGCAAATGTAGGAAGGAAGGAATTGCAACTAATCAGAAAATTATCTTCTTAGATGAAAAATTGAAAATTGTAAAAAGAATGAAATAAATAATTAAGAATATGGAAAAATAGAATAAAAGTTGAAAAAGAAGATTTTTAAAGCAAGATCTCTTGACACGGAGAGTTTTAGTGTTAATGTATATGAGTAGAAATAGTAAAAACGTATGCAAGAAGTTTTTCCATCTTTTTATCCCTGAGTGCTTATACAATACATGGGAATACAGTAGTTTTTTTTGCTCAGTCTGAGCCAAGTCTAGATATACATTATACATTATTTAATACTCTTCGGCGTATATTAATAATTGATAACAAATCTTTTCTACCAGGTTGCAGACACCTTGCCAAATTCACATTCCATTGAAAGCTATTGCTCCGACGATCCTTTCAAGGTAAACGGTATTTTCAACCATTTTAACAAAAATTTTCAGAAATCTGTTTTCTTGTTTTTTGAAAAAAATGCTTTCTGTTTGGATTTTGAGCCCGTGGCAAGTGAGAAATTATAAGTGCAGAGAAGTAAAAACAATGATTTTGGCTACAAATTGCCAATGGGAAAAAATCGCGTGGTTCGTCTTTTTATACAGTGGAACCCATACAACTGTCGAATTAAAAGACGACTTAAGCTATGACTTTGAATAGTCCAATCACACTTTTGTAGTTTACATAGACTAATTTTACTGAAGAATTAATTTTCAGGCTGCTAATAGCTAAATATCAACGTCAAATACACAAAAGATTGATAAAAGGCCGTTTACCTATTCTAATGTATTATGGGTCTCACCGTTAATTAAGATTGTTTTTGATCGTTAAAATAATTTGCGGAATTCATTCGTTATCCAAATTCTGTATGTAAAATTCTATTTTATCTAAAAGGAATTGAGTCTTTGCAACAAACTCTGATTTTATAATCCTTATATCTCTGCAACCCAATGTCGGAGACCTTAGATATTTCAAACTACACATTCTGTCAGATCAAATAATCTAAGTTTGAAATATCAAAGGTTTACAACATCAGGTTGCTTAGATAAAGGGATTGGAACATCGGAGTTTGTTGAAAAGACTCAATTCCTTTACTGGGGATTGACGAATAAGTGTTGCAAACAATTTCAAAGATTAAAAAGTGTCTTAAAACCGTATTTTATGTTTTTGTTAAACCCCGTATTAACTTTTGTCTGTCAACACTGGTATTAGTGGAAAACCTCGATTCTCTTTATCTGGTCTCGCCGCATTCACTGCAGAAAATAGAGTACATTAATCTACATATATTTATATAATGCGGAATACTTAATTATATAAAGCCACAAACCCACATTATATTAGATCACAAGGATGAGAATTCAGTTACGTCTGAAGATATGTAAAGTTATAAATAATTTTATTTGTGTACATTGTACATGAAAGAGGAAAGAATTGGGAGAATGAATTTAGAAAGGAAGAAATTGAGGAGAATATATGAAAATGAAAGGCAAAACGAGAATGGGAAAATAAAAAAGGAGGGGGAAAATGAAAGAATAGAATAGAGAAGAGGGGGGAAGAATAGAAAGGAAGATAGGACAGGAGGACGGTAGAAAATAGAAAAGAAAAGAAAAAGTTCGACAGTACATTAATTGTAAGATGAGAAAATGAAAATGATTCTGATAAAGATTTAGAAAATAAAAATAATGATGCGACCTTTTTATAGAAGAGGGTGAGGATGGGGCAGGGGGGGGGTGTCTTCATTACCAAAATAGAGGAAATTGATTTGATAATTATTGTTTGATCAGGACCCGTTGCGAGAATAAAGGATAAAAACCAGGGTAAAATATATTCTTCTTGTGTTTCTCATTTTTATTTTATTTTTGGAACACAGAACACAATAATGATGACTACAGTTAATATCCTCTAGAGGAAATCTGATCTTGACAGGAATGTTTAGAACTTGGTTGTATTTTTTAAACCAATTTTTACAATACAGGTTTCTACAATAATGTTAAATCCAGTTTTAGTATAAACTGTTATTGCAAATTATTTTTTCAAAACTTCATATATAGTGTACTCACCACCTTGTTATCTAACTAAAAAGTAATGCTTTGGAAATTTTTCACAATTGAATTTCACATTATTTTGATTCTGAAAAAACCTTTCAACGGTCTCAAGAAATGTTGCAGTGGCTAAAAATGGATTCAAATATGAATGAATTATGATTGGTATTCTTTGCACTTTCTTATTTTCCTTCAATTACATGCATTCATACGTGCTGATATATTCTCAGTGCACATTTTCATATAATGGTTTCTTCTCCCCCCTTTAATACATTCTCCCCACCCCCTCCCACCCTGCCCAGCCCCCTCTCCTTCTAGTGCTAAGTTCCTTGTTCCCTGCTTCTTAATTTACTCTTTCTGCATACAGATTATTTATATTTTTATAAATTTATAGAAAATGAAAATTAAAATAAGTATTTTAACATCATATACTTTGCAATAAAAATGTATTGCACACTCCTGTATGCCGAGTTCATTAGCGCCTGATCCAATCAGAGTTCAGTCATGTGATTGTTTTCTATTATGAACCAATAGAAACAATATGACATCAACATCTATCTTTCTATCTATCTCATTATCCAATCAGAGTTATGAATCAGTAAATGAAAATATTTACTTCTACTAAAACTATAGTGTGCAAAGACAACATACGACAGTAATTAAGTCTTTGTCACAAACGCTGATTTTCTAATCTTGATATCTTTGCAACCAAATTGGCGTAGATCTTAGATATTTCAAACTATGATTTATGTTAGATATAATAATCTAATTTATTTAGTTGTGATACGCCAGCACGTTGCTATTTTATTCAAAAACGTAAAGACTTGCAGTTGCAACTAGTTTTTGTATTAAATGATTTTTAAAATATTTATTAGAATTTTTTGTTACAGGTTCAACTCCATTATTTAGTTCTGTATTCCAACTACTAGAATTATAAATATATAAATTATTTATCAAACCAAACCTATTTAGATCTATGTTTTAAATCTGCGTAGCTACTTTTTTATCATTCATCTTTGGTCCTGAATCAATTTTTTATGACTTAAAATGAGACATAAATAGATTTTCAATTATTTCAAAAATTTTAAATTTTGTTCCCCCGTTAAACTTTTATGCTATGCAGGTTGTGCATATACAATATACATAATCTAAATTATAATATTAAAAACAAGAGTTATAAAAAATAAAATAGAAAATGAAGTCTGAAGCCCTGGTTGTAAAACATTAAGTGGTAACCAGACTTCTCGTGGGTTTATTCTTTATTTTCTTTTAGAAATGTCACGTCAGAAAGGAAGTTATAATTTACTCACGCATTTTTTAGAATGTACAGAGATGAAAACTTTTGAATGTGATATCCTTAATCCTGATCGGATAATTAATCTGGAGATTAAAAATGAGAAGAGAACAAGCAATATTTAATCTGGAGATTAAGAAAAAGAGTGGATTAAGCATTAATCCCGATATCCACCATTCTAAAGTTTTCAGCTCAGGACAAATTTTTAAAAATAATTAACGTACATAATGTTTTGTGACATTAAATAGAAAAAAAACGATCTTTATTTCACTGTTTTCTGGCCAACATCGCATGATTTAAAAAGCTGATTAATTCATTAGATTTAATATACTTTAATTTCGACCTCTGAAGACCTAATCCGAAAAAAGCTAAAAAATAGTCCTTGCATATACAGTATACGTACATTGTAAACTGTTACTTATATACTGTACCTAGTTTTAGAACAAATTTAGTTTTTTAATTTGACAAAAGAATTGAGTGTTTGCCACAAAGTCTGATTTTCTAATCCCTATATCTTTGCAATGTTGTATACCGTAGATATTTCTAACAATGAATTCTGATACCTCAAGTATTCTAAGATTGCAAGGATATAGGTAATATAAAATTCGAGTTTGTGGCAACGACTCAATTCCTTTGAAAAGGAAAGTCTATTTCATCAATTTTGGGGTTTGTTTAAGATAAACGAGAATTGAAAAAAAAGTTGTTGGTTGAGTTCTTCCAAATATAGCATTCGATTGGGATTACACTGACTCCAGTTTATTTTAAATATGACTATACCAATACCATGTTCCTGCAGTCCGACAGTGACAGATGAAATTGAATTCCAAAATCAAAATTTAAACAGTTTTACATTTTTGTTATCAAATTTTTCAAAATAGATTTCACAAATTCTGTATTTATTGATGCACAATCTCACCATATAGCAGCGCTAAAATTTAAATTTGAAGTAACTACAGGCCCATTCTTTTATTTTTACTTTTATTTTTTTCTTTAATTTAAAAACAATCGAAATTTCTTTAATTCTGACCATCCATAAATATTTCTTGGGATCATGTGAGTTGCCTGAAAAGTTTTGGGCTCGATCGGTTCAGCCGTTTTGACGTTTTAACAAACAAAAAAACAGACAAGCAAAGTATACATATATAGAAGAGGATGACCCCCCCCCCGGGTCACTCTGTTCACCACTTTGATGTTTTATTTATTAAAATGTTGACAATCATTATTCTTCTCAATTCAAAATGTCATTTACTGCTGAAATAATTTATCTTTCTATAAAAAGGTTTAGAGCTTTTTGTAGTATTTTTTATAGTTTCAATGAATATGAATAGTTGAAATATTTAGTTTTGTTATATTATTATCTTTAATTAGAAAAATGGTTGACAAGACACTATTCTATTAAATATGCAGTTTTTAGACTTTGTAGGAGGGGTCCGTTGGGGTCAGTTGAAAGATGCACAAAGCGGGGAGTAATGAAATTGTAAACAACGCCCCCCCCCCACCCTCTTGAACCCAATTTTTGGGCATTAGCTTACTTGTTTGTTAAATTTAGTGGTATTTTGACGGGCCTTAGACATCTAGTTTTTTATTATTCAGAAGACCGGGGGTTTAAACTTAAAATAAGACCTGATAAAGTTTGTTTGGGTTTCTAGTTTGCTTCAATCAAACTATATATTCCTGGAAAAGGATATAAAATAAAAAAATGGAAAAAAATAAGAGAAATTAATAAGGTTCTTCCATAAAAAAAGTTGTTTCATCACTTGAAAATAATACCCAAAGAAAAATGAATTCATATTTTGAACCTGATTTATACTTGAACATATTTTGATTTAAATTATTGAAGATTTTACAAGAAAACCTCCTGATTTTCAAAATGGGGGGAAGGATAAGAGTTAGGGTTACAAAACAATAAATCACAACTTCAAAATATCAAAAAGTAATAAAACAATAAAGTTTTTTATCAAGTATTTTATTGTTGTAATTCCAACATTTTTAAAGTATTTACATAAATTATAGAAATATTTCAGTTTTCGAGGGAGATTTTTTTATTCAAGAAAAACTGAAATCAATCGAATTAAACATCAAATAATCATTTCAAGCTTCATTTAAAAGGAATTGAGACCTTGCCACAAACTCAAATTTTCTAACCCCTATATTGAAGCAACCTGATGATCTTGTGTTGGAAAGATATAGTAATTACAAATCTGAATTTCTGGTAAGAACTCAGTTCCTTTGTAATTCAAAAATAAAAGAGCAAATACTAGAGTTTTCATATTGAAAAGCAAACTTTTTGGGACATTTTGCATAAAATTTAATTTTATATTTTATACTTTTCTTTTGCGTTACTAACCAATAACTATTTTTTAAATTCTTATATACTTGCAACAACAGTTGATGTCGTAGACCTTTGAGCTTTGATTTTCGCTGGATCATAGTCAAAGTTTGAAATATCAAAGGTTTACATCAATAGGTTGCAAAGGTATAGGGATTAAAAATTAATTCCGCTATATATAGGAAAATTCTTTAATTAGGCTTTTAAAGTTTATTTTTCGATCTTTGATTTCCAATTTCATTAATCATTGATTAAATTAGACTTATCTTTGATTAAGCTTTAACTTTATTTATTAAACTTTATCCATTGGATTTTTTAATTTCATAGCTTATAAGCATGACAAGCAAAAGTTTAATTTTTCGATTTTTAATTTTTCTTTTTTAGGATTCTCAATTCCTGGATACCGAGCAGTACCCTGCAGCCTCAAGGTACATATAGTTTTTTATCATTAAACGACACCAAGTTCTTTTCTTGCAAAATAGGCACTTAATTTCTCATTTTTTATTTCTACGTTTAATATTTGAACCTACTTTTAAAATCATTTCTAGAAGAAAAGTAAAAAATTTGAAAGAATGTATTTATTATATATATTATTATGTTTGAGATTCCTTGGAGTTTTGTTTTCATATTTATATTGTCTTATTTTAATATAATGTGAAAAACGAAAAATTTAAAAAGAAAAGCGTTTAAAAGTTTTCTGGGAAACTTAGTTCTATAAATTGTCGAATTTAATAAAATCCTGAGTTTAATTTCAACCTTAAGAAATTATATCCAAACCTTGTAATTGTATCCAAACCGAGAAAGCTATATCCGAATCTAAGAAATTGTATCCGAACCTAAGAAATTGTATCCGAACCTAAGAAATTGTATCCGAATCATGAAAGTGTATCCGAACCTAAGAGATTGTATCCGAACCTAAGAACTTGTATCCGAACCATGAAATTGTATCCGAACCTAAGAACTTGTATCCGAACCTAAGAACTTGTATCCGAACCATGAAATTGTGTCCGAACCTAAAAACTTGTATCCGAACCTAAGAACTTGTATCCGAATCATGAAAGTGTATTCGAACCATGAAATTGTAGCCAAACCTAAGAACTTGTATCCGAACCTAAGAACTTGTATCCGAACCATGAAATTGTATCCGAACCTAAGAACTTGTATCCGAACCTAAGAACTTGTATTCGAACCATAAAATTGTATCCGAACCTAAGAACTTGTATCCGAATCATGAAAGTGTATTCGAACCATGAAATTGTATCCAAACCTAAAAACTTGTATCCGGACTGTTAAAGCTGTATCTAAAACAAAAATGATGTATTCGCAAAGTATAGAAAGTTAGAAAAGTGCAAAAATTAAAAAAGAACACAATATCTAAAAGCCTATTTTTTTTGGCTCTATCTACGCCAACCGAAGCTTCTGAATTAAATTATTGGTATCCCNCCCCCCCTTTACACGATATCCACTGGCACCTATTGTAGATTGTCTTTGTGTTTCCAAACATTTGATTAGACTTCTATATTTTCAAATTGGTAAACAAATCCTTCAATGTTTTTCAAATATTTTCATGGTTATAGTTTTTCTGATCTATTTCATGAAAAAAAACGATATTTTCAATAAAAAATGAGTAAAAATTGAGCCGAAAAATTAAAACTTATATTATTGAATAATTTCAAATTATATTATCCTTTTGTCTTTGCAACCTGCTGGTGTAAACGTTTGATATTTCCAACTTATATTATTGGATCTATCAACAGAATTCATAGTTTGAAATAACTAAGGTTGAATTTCTTAAATAACCTTGATTCCCCTCCTCCCCCTTGTTTAATTAATGTCTAGCTTTTTAATTATTCATGATAAAACTAAATTAATATAATTATTTTTGTTTTAGGTTTAACGTTGGCACCTACGGTAAGTCTATAATTTTGTTTTAATTTCAACAAAAACGGGCTTTTGTAACAAATATGAAAATTTTGTAAATTATAATTTTCTTTTTTGCCATGATTAATCCATCACTTTGCTATACTACCAAAAATTTGGGATTTCAACTGAATTGATTAACAATAATTTTATAGCTCAAAGACAAAAATGTTTCAAATACTTGTTCAATCCACCAACAACTCTTTTTTGTAAAGCTACAAACGTTATGGTTTTTTTTAACCATAGAGCACAGTTGAGACTCTTACGCTGAGTATCCTCCCTTTACCTTATACACCCTCACCTCCTCCTTACCATTTTCCTGATTTATCATCATTTTTGTGTTTAAAATGTACAATGAACATTGTTTTTATCTGCAATTCTCATTCGTTTAAAGTGGGCCAACCAATTAAAACAACCTACTCTGGTTAGGCGGGTCCAAACTACATAGTAAATTGTGATTTTTTTATTTGTATTATCTCGTGCTTTGTAGTTGAATAAAAATATGAATATGAAATGTAGCCAAGCAGCGAGGAAAGGGTGGGGAGTTATACTACAAAATGTTTTCCCGTTACTCTATATTATATATATATGTAGTTAATTATAAAGGAACTTTCTTTTATTGCATAAATGCACTACTATTGTAATTATATAAGTATCATACTATACTAAGTAACTATCCATTTCAAGTATTCAATAACACTGAGATACATTTAAAATTCAGTGATTGTGATGGACCAAACCTCTGTAGAGTAAAAAAGTAGATGTTAGTTCCACATTTATTGAAAATATATTTCGGTCTGGGTTGACCCTCGTCAGTTCTAATGATATAATAACCATCAAATCGATAAAAAAATAAAAAAAATGTAAAAATCACAAGAAGATAAACAAACAAAAAATGATGTAATTCATAAACGTTGTGTGCAATTATATATTATAGATCCAATAATTAAACTTCCCCAGGTTGTTTTTATATAATATGTGATAGTAAACCCTAAAGCTTTGTCAATATTGGTGTTTTACTTACATAATAAAAACTTGGAAATAACAATAAAAGTTACAAAATGAATACTTACACATAAAGTAAAAAACTCTTCACTCTCCAAAACGTTGCATAATAATCATTACCCAAATGAAGACAACATTCTTGAAAACAATATATTGGTTGTTTAGACAGTTTTTAAAGATAAATTGAAATTATAATAAAAATTTTGTACACATTCTGTAATGTTGAAAGCACAAAAAAGGCAGAACACATTTTGGAAATTCCAGGACTTCTATAGATTAAGGGAAATGAGTCTATTTACACTGCACATTTGTTGTGCCTTATGGTTATTTGACTATTTAAAGTCATAATTTGAGTTTACAATTTGACTTCTTATTCCTGAGTTTTCTGGTTATCATGAACAATAACTATACTGTCTAGAATTTAGAATTAAATTTCGTTCTGTGAAATTACCCCAGATAGTTTCCTGAACTGTTGACTCCAATTCTTCCTAGTTGATGGATCTAAGACAGTTTGGATTAAGCTTTTGTTCAAACCTGTATTTGGAGTTAGGGCGGAGCTTAAATAAGGTGTATTTAAGTTTAGAAAGAGAACCTTTGGTGTGGAGACAAACTTTGACTATTTGTTCTAAAAATAAATCTTGATAAGGGAGGTTTTAATTTGGAGCTTGATAGGATATTGAACCTAGTGCTACTGAGGTATCAAGATTGGTACGTTTGGAACCTGGAGATATTGAGATATCAAGCTTGACAAGGTTCTAGAACCTGGATCAATGAGATATCAAGTTTGAAAAGGTTTAAGAACCTGGAGCTATTGAGATATCTAGCTTGACAATGTTCTAGAACTTGGATCAATGAGATATCAAGTTTGAAAAGGTTTAAGAACCTGGAGCTATTGAGATATCTAGCTTGACAATGTTCTAGAACCTGGATCAATGAGATATCAAGTTTGAAAAGGTTTAAGAACCTGGAGATATTGAGATATCTAGCTTCACAAGGTTTTAGAACCTGGAGCTATTAAGATATCTAGTTTGACAAGGTTTTAGAACCTGGAGCTGGATCAATGAGATATCAAGTTTGAAAAGGTTTAAGAACCTGGAGCAATTGAGATATCTAGCTTCACAAGGTTTTAGAACCTGGAGCTATTAAGATATCTAGTTTGACAAGGTTTTAGAACCTGGAGCTATTGAGATATCTAGCTTGACAAAGTTTTAGAACCTGGAGCTATTGAGATATCAAGCTTGACAAAGTTTTAGAACCTGCAGCTATTGAGATATCTAGCTTGACAAGGTAATAGAACCTGGATCTATTGAGATATCAAGCTTGACAAGGTTTTAGAACCTGGAGCTATTGAGATAACTAGCTTGACAAAGTTTTAGAACCTGGAGCTATTGAGATATCTAGCTTGACAAGGTTTTATAATCTGGAGCTATTGAGATATCTAGCTTGACAAGGTTTTAGAACCTGGAGCTATTGAGATATCTAGCTTGACAAGGTTTTAGAACCTGGAGCTATTGAGATAACTAGCTTAATAAAGTTTTAGAACCTGGAGCTATTGAGATATCTAGCTTGACAAAGTTTTAGAACCTGGAGCTATTGAGATATCTAGCTTGACAAGGTTTTAGAACCTGGAGCTATTAAGATATCAAGTTTGTCAAGGTTTTAGAACCTGGAGCTATTGGAATTGAAATTGTATAGTTTTCACTAGAATAAACAAGTAAAAAACTCCTCTGGAAAAGAACAAAGTTCTTAGTTTTGTTAATTAAGTAATTGCTTGGCTCTCGAAGTTAGAAGGGAATTAAGTTGTTGTCAAATTTGGTACAGTTTAGTTTTGTTTATTTATGTTTACCTAGCTAGTACTTCAAGTTGAGATAAAGTTTAAGTCACGAATTGTTGACTCGGAAAAGGTTTACGTTGCGGGTTTCCATATATCTAGTATCTAGAATTAGGACTAAGCTAGAGACACGTATGAATAGAAGGCAAGTTTGAGATGCATGGTTTCTATGTATTTCCAGTATCCAGAGTTAGGAAGGAGAGACAAGTTTGAATCGGAGACAAGTTTGAGATTGTTTCTGTATATTTTTCCAGTATCCGTTGTTGTTAGGACCGGTGACAGGTTTGAGATAGTTGCTGTGTATTTCCAGTATCTGGAGTTAGGACGGAGAGACAATTGTATGAATCGGAGACTAGATTTGAGACAGGTTTGAGCAAGGGTGTAATGCAAGGAAAGTTAATTGCGGTCGTGTATATTCTGCGTACATATTGAAACCAGTTCTCTCTGGGCGGTATTTGTAGACAAGAATAAATGCATCAGTGTTCGTTTAGTATCCAAGGAGGTTAATAGCATTAAATTTTGATAATTTTGATAATTCACATAATAGTTTCCTATGACCAGAATATTTCATTGATTTTTTTATGTGAAAGATAGATCCCATGTCAGGCTTTGACATCCATCTTGTGTTTACATTACCGCCCAGAGACAGTACACTGCAGTATAAAAGATGTGTACACTTCTGAAATAACTTTCCTAGCATTACATCCTTGGGTTTGAGCAAGGTTTGAGATGGTTTCTTCATATTTCCAGGATCCGGAGTTAGGGCTGAGAGGAGATTTTATGGAACGAAGAAAGGATTGAATTAGAACCGAATACAAAAGATTTTACCATTTTCCAAGCGTTAGTAATTATATCTTACCATCGTATTTTCATTCTTAACACATAACGCAGCAAAAAATGTGCATCAGAATTCGATATCAGCGTATACCCTATAGGCCTAATTTCAAGTATACATTTGTAGAGTGACTAGTTTAATTCACAACAGTACAACCTTTAAACATTTGACTGATCAAGGATGACTGACTTATCCTTTTTTATCTACAGAAAAGCTTGTAATTGTTGATAACATTTTTTGCAAGCTGTTTTATATTTCAGAAATATTGATATTTACTCTCTAGAAGTCACAAGGAATAAATATTTACATTCCAGTTTTTGAAACCGTGCTAAATATAGAATATTCTGGATTTTCGAGGAATATCTGGAGTGTTGATTAAAAAATGTTTTTTTTTGCTAAAGATGATCTGAAACAGTTTATACTCTAATACTTGTTAGGATCTGCTTTTAAGATGAAGCTTAATTTATGATTTTGTTTCGCATTTCATTTTCAGATGTCATTTAGTGCTTTCTTTCATGAATACTATGAAGTGATATTTAAGGCGCGCAATTTTTTAAATTTGAGAGAAATCCGAGCAAAACGAGAAACAAAGGTGGCAATGATTGTTTCTAGACACGAAAGATTCCTAAAAACTAAATTAGAAAAACCCTCAATATTTGACATCTCTGGCCCTCGGACAGCATATTATTTTCCTTACAAGATAATAGTTTTCGATTAAAAACAATAAAATGTTTTCTCCGAACTGTTCTGCAGGCTAAATCTAAAATTCGATGCCGAGGTTCTAATCCCACAGGACGTATTCTGACTGTAGAGATAAATAGAATAGATGATTTCTAGGCATATCTTTATAAGTCAAACCACAATTTAAAAAAAGTACACTAAAATTAGGACCCTGTTATTTCTAAAAAGCCAGAATCTTGAGAAATATGTGTCTAAATTTTGTAATTAAAACTATCTGCAAGAAAAAAGGGCTATATAATCCATTTATACACATTCCATGGAAAGGCACCAAACCACTAAATTACAAACAAACCAAACCACTAAAAACAAAAACTTAGGGTTCTTTAATTGTTCAAAAATATATTGCAATCATTCTTAAATGAAAAAATCCAAAACCCCAATATTTTCTCAATGACCCAAATTAACACTAGATTTTCTTTTTATTATAGATTTTTATGAAAAAGTCCAAAAGTCCAATATTTCTTAAAGACACAGATTAACACTACATTTTCTTTGAAAAAAAAATTTATTAGAAAAAAGACATCTTAAATATTCAAAAAAATTCTCTGAACTTACATTCCATGAAAAAGTCCATTTGGCGCATTTGCTCTTTTATTTTGGCGCAATTTCCGTATATTCAGCCTGGGTCAGTTCTAACATAAATTGTGTATTCTGTAAACCAGTCTCGGAACCTTATATTAGAAAGTTTTGATCTTCTCGCGTCTGATTAATGTCTAACTTATATTTTTACATGGATATATATCATACTCATTCGAAACTTATTAAATATATTTTTACATGGATAGATATCATACTCATTCGAAACTTATTTTTTACATGGATATATATCATACTCATTCGAAACTTATTAAAAATATTTTGACATCGATATATACCATACTCATTCGAAACTTATTAAATATATTTTTACATGGATATATATCATTCTCATTCGAAAATTATTAAATATATTTTTACATGGATATATATCATACTTATTCGAAACTTAATTAATATATTTTGACATCGATATATACCATACTCATTCGAAACTTATTAAATATATTTTTACATGGATATATATCATACTCATTCGAAACTTAATAAATATATTTTGACATCGATATATACCACACTCATAGAAACTTATCAAATATATTTTCAGCTTTCTTATTATTTTTAAACTCTCACAATTTCCTGTAGAGTGTAAATGTACAGAAAAATGACCGAAATACTTCTTAAAATTATGAATATTCAGGATAGCTAGATGATATATTCCTTCTTCTATCTTCTATATAAAAAAGCGCTTCGCTCATATCTATCTATATATATATTTATATATTTGTGTGTATGTTAGCTATTGCTGGCCAAACGGGTGGACCGAATTTTTTTTCATCCAAAAATCGATTTTTTCTTTAAATTCAAATTTACTTTTCAAGAGTTTCTAAAATTCTACTGGCAACGCCGGGCACTTCAGTTTGTAATTTATTATTCTTGTACAATGTACATTCTTCACTGCTTACAAAAAAAAGTTTTGAAGTCATTAAACACCCATCTTTTGTGGGTAACCCAAGTATAAGATTTATGCAGCACAGGTATACATATTACTAATGCCGCGCAGGTATACATATTATTAATGCCGCGCAGATATACATATTATTAATGCCGCGCAGGTATATCATAAATGCTGTGCAGATATATAATGCATAGCGCGCAAGTATATCATTAATGTCACACAGGCAAATTAAATGGCGCGCAGGTATATCATTAATGTCACACAGGCAAATTAAATGGCGTGCAGGTAGGTATATCATAAATGCCGCGTAGGTATATTATAAATGCCTTGCACAAGTGTATATCATAAATGTTCATGTTGCAGGTCCAGGAGGGGAAGGTCTCCTTCCTCCTGGTGAAGACGACATCACGGATCAGTATTATGCAGACCAGTATGACCAGTATTATAGGTATGGCAGATTATACAGATATTGTCCATTAATTATTTTTTTTCTATTTCTATTGTCTATTTTTGTCGTCCGTGCATGTCTTTCTATTGTCTATGTCAGTTGTCCATGTCTGTAGTCAATTGTCTATGTCTAATGTTCATGTCTGTCTATTGTCTCTGTCAGTTGTCCATATCGGTCTCTTGTCTATGTCCGTTTTCCATGTCTGTCTTTTGTCTATGTCTGTTGTCCATGTCTGTCTATTGTCTGTCTTTTGTCTATGGCTGTTGTCCACGTCTTTCCATTGTTTATGTCGGTTGTCCATGTCTGTCTATTGTCTATGTATGTTGTCCATGTCTGTCTATTGTCTATAGATGAGATGACCAGTACTATGCATTGTTTATATATGGATGGGATGACAATCATTATATATTGTTAAGATATGGATGGGATGACAAGTTCTTTGAATTGTTTAGATATGGATGGGATGACAATCACTATGTATTGTTTATATATAGATGGGATGACAAGTACTATGAATTGTTTAGATATGGAAGGAATGACCAGTACTATGAATTGTTTAGATATGGAAGGGATGACCAGTACTTTGAATTGTTTAGATATGGATGGGATGACAAGTCTATAAATTGTTTAGATATGGAAGGGATGACAAGTACTGTGAATTTTTTAGATATGGAAGAGATGACAAGTCTATGAATTGTTTAGATATGGAAGGGATGGCCAGTACTATGCATGGTTTTGATATGGATGGGATGACAAGTCCTATGAATTGTTTAGATATGGATGAGATGACAAGTCTATGAATTTTTTAGATATGGAAGGGATGGCCAGTACTATGAATTGTTTATATATGGATGGGATGAACAGTACTATGCATTGTTTAGATATGGATGGGATGACAAGTTCTTTGAATTGTTTAGATATGGATGGGATGACAAGTCTATGAATTGTTTAGATATGGAAGGGATGGCCAGTACTATGAATTGTTTATATATGGATGGGATAAACAGTACTATGCATTGTTTATATATGGAAGGGATGACCAGTACTATAAATTGTTAAGATATGGAAGGGATGACGAGTACTGTGAATTGTTTATATATGGATGGGATGGCCAGTACTATGAAGTGTTATGATATGGATGGGATGAACAGTACTATGAATTGTTTAGATATGGATGGGATGAACAGTACTATGAATTGTTTATATATGGATGGGATGGCCAGTACTATGAATTGTTTATATATGGATGGGATGAACAGTACTATGAATTGTTTATATTTGGATGGGATGGCCAGTACTATGAATTTTTATATATGGATGGGATGAACAGTACTATGAATTTTTATATATGGATGGGATGAAAAGTACTATGAATTGTTTATATATGGATGGGATGGCCACTACTACGAATTGTTTAGATATTGATGGGATGACAAGTACTATGAATTGTTTAGAAATGGATGGGATGACGAGTACTATGAATTGTTTAGATATGGATGGGATGACAAGTCTATGAATTGTTTAGATATGGAAGGGATGACCAGTACTATGAATTGTTTAGATATGGATGGGATGACAAGTAATATGTATTGTTTAGATATGGATGGGATGGCAAGTACTATGAATTGTTTAGATATGGATGGGATGATATGTACTATGAATTGTTTAGATATGGAAGGGATGACCAGTACAATGAATTGTTTAGACATGGATGGGATGACAAGTTCTTTGAATTGTTTAGATATGGATGGGATGACAAGTACTATGAATTGTTTAGATATGGATGGGATGACAAGTAATATGTATTGTTTAGATATGGATGGAATGACCAGTACAATGTGTTGTTTATATATGGATGGGATGACAAGTACTATGTGTTGTTTAGATATGGATGGAATGATCAGTACTATGAATTGTTTATATATGGATGGTATGACAAGTACAATGTATTGTTTAGATTTGGATGGGATGACAAGTACTTTGAATTGTTTAGATATGGATGGGATGACCAGTACTATGAATACGATGATACTGGACATGAAGGATGGATCCAAGATGAATATGGAGAATGGCACCAGGGATACATTCATCATTTATTCATCCAAATATTAATTTAAACATTTATTCATAAATTCATCCTTATACTCAACCTTAACCATTAATTCATTAATTCATTCTTCCTATTTTTATTTGTCTATTCATTTATTAATTTACTTATAAATTTACTATTAATCCCTTTAAATTTTTACTTTTTATTTCTACTTTCCTGATTTTTTTCAATTAAAGATTTTATTTTCTTCAAATTGGTTTTATTCTTGAATAATTTACAATTATACTTTCTCAAATTTATTGAAAGTTGGAAAACATTTTACGGATTTTATCTTGGAAAATTTGCGAAATTTTTAGAGCTGGTAACTTTTTAAGTTTAAATCAGTTCAACTCTGTAATCTATATAAGGTTCAAGATTTAAAGTAGGAAAGGTACGGGAAATTTTTCATGTAGAGATATTATTAAAAGAATCAGATTTCGGAATTTATCTAATTTTTTGAAGTAAATCCAGTAAAAGATAATTATAAAAGATTAGACATTTACATATTCTTCATTTTAATTAAAGAAAATGTGAAGGAAAGACTTGTTTTTAGAATTTTTCAAAAATAATGGGGCAACCATTTTTCAGTATTTTAAACTTAATTTCATCTTATACAATTTTCAAACTTTCTAATGAGGCTTTTATGTAAAAGTATTTGTTCATATACACCTAATGTGTGGAATTTTTAGGCCATTTTTGTTTTCTAATTGCTGTAAAAAAGCGAAAGTAGCTTTCAAATAATACTATAGAATGAAAACATCTCAACTATTGTTCAGGTTGTGTTAATTAATATTTAACTGTGTTTAATTTATTGTTAGTTGTGTTAATTTAACTTTTCAGAGGGATATCTAATGTTTCAAATAGTTTTAATGAAAGTTAAATTTATAAAATTTTCAATTTAGAACTTTGTTTTCAATATCTTCTGTTCTGACAGTTTAAAGACTTTTACTTTAGAATTTAAACTATTTTCATTTCTGCCTGAAAGTGAGACTGAGTAGTGCTGTGTATAGGGATGGATCGTTTCCACTTTTTGAAAAATGATCGCTTCGTCTTAAAAACGACGAAGAAAAAACGAAAAACGATCTTCTTTTAAAATATAGTTTTTTAAAAACGGTCGTTTTTAAAAAACGATCGTTTTCTCGATCGTTTTTTAAAACGCTAACAACCCTAGCTGTTGTTAAATATGAAGCAATGAATAAATGTATCTTAGGACCCCAACTACGATTTGAACAAATCCGCCTCAAACACTTCAAATAAAGAAAACAAGGTTAGAGAGCTGGACAAATATTTTTATCAAGTCTAAATTCTATTTTGATGTGTTTATCCAACATTCTAAATATAAAGTATGTTCTACCAGAAGATATTTTATTAAAGGGACAGTAAACGTAATTTCCAGTGACCATCCATGCAAAGATGGCAAAAGCCCGATTCACGGTGCCCTTGAAACCTTAATAATGTTGAAGATAATGACGTTTTTTTAAGGATTAAAAGTATTTAATTCTGACAATTTCTTTAAGTCTTCCTGTTGCAGAAATGCGCAAGTAACTTTGTAGTGAACCCATAATTTATGCAAATAAGGAAGACATTTCGAAAAATAATCAATTTTCTTGATATTAGACAAATATTTTTAAGGTACTGTTGTGAATCAGGCATTGAGGGTCACTTGAAATCACGCTTACTTGAAATTACGCTTACAGACCCTTTAATGCTGAATTATTATTGAAGTTTTAAAGTTGATTGAATCTATATCATCAAAGCTTTCATGTGATTCCTTAGTTAGAGTAATGAAGTAATTAAATTATAATTAACATTAAAATTTATTTAAATTAGTATTTGGTTGATTTTCACATTTAAGATCAAATTTGAATTAAAATATGAAATATATCCTAGATCTTCTAAAAGTCTTAAATATCAAATAATATACAAAATTGGGACAGAAAATGTTGGATTTTCATCATTTACAGAGAGTCCCATGAAACATGACAGTTAGTAAATATTAAAAAGTATTTTTGTTCAAATATATTTTAATTTGAAATTAATTTTACTATTATCCATTGTGATATTCTTTATTATTCTCGTTGGTATCAAAGATCTTAACAAATTATGGAAGAAGACATTTCAAACTATTTTTCAAACTGTCATGTTTCATGGGACACCCTGTAGCTAATTGTTGGAAATCAGTCTAAATTGTAACTAATCAAAGGGACTGTTTACGTCATTTTAAGTGACTCTCCCTTATTAGAAAGGTATATTTGATTCACAACTCTTCTTTTTTAAATCTTTTCGACTGTGGGTTTCCCGTATATTATTGATTAGAGAAAAATTAAAAGAGTACCTTTGTGAATTGGGCAAACCCCTTTTTAAATGGATGATCACTTGAAACTAGACAGTCGTTCTTCTAATGACATAATTTTTTATTGTTCCAGGATTCCTTACTGAATAAAATCAACAATGAGAAGGACGAAGCTGGTAATTACTACATCCCATATGGAGCCGGGTACAAGGACGGATACAAATACCCGGAGAAAACTGAGCAAGGACTAACCCCAGCTCCGGATACAAAACTAGTTAAAGAAAGTGATATAGTTAAATCCAGTGATACCAGTCTAAACAATCGGACCAAACCTGTGGACGTGAATCCCGGTCCTAGTTTGGACCCTGAAAACAATGCAAAAGATAATTCTTCCAAGCCCCCAATGGCGACTGTGTCCCGGGCAAAACCTTCCGATTACGATGATGCTTGGTATGAGGAGAGTGATGGACAGTTTTACAATCAGTATGATTGGTACGAGGACGACAATGGAGAATGGCAGTATGATTATAGATTGGAGGAGTACGGTTATGTACAAAATGAGTTGGGAGAGTGGGGACCACCTGATGGGGCTGAACCTCAGCTCCAGCAAGCAAACCAATCAGTGCCTTCACAAGATAGATCAAAACAATCCTCAGCTGCGCCTGGGTACCCGGACACTAGTTTATCTTTGGGATCCAAACCTCAAGAAATCAAACCTGCAGATCAACCAGAATCCAATCTTTTTAAAGGGCTTTCAAGCTTCAGCAGTGGAATCATGGGAGCAGCTAAAGAAGCTGCTTCCTCAGCAGCTCTTGCCGTTGACAGCATCGCTGATGCAGCTGATGCTGCCCTTGAAGCTGCTTCTGAGTCAGTTCCGGATGTAAAAATCGCGCTTCCTCAGCTTCCTCAAATATCTGAGAAAGTACATTCTAAATCCAATGGATTTCTTCCGACCGGCTTCAATGCAACAAATGGTACAACTTCCGACGACTTTTATACTACAGATGGACTTGTTGGTAAGCAGGTTGGATCAGCTAAGAAGGCTCCTCTACCCCCTAAACCGGCGGATTATGATGATTACTGGTATCAAGCAGACGACGGATACTGGTACAACGAGTACGATGACCTCGGATATGAGTTTGCGGCGGAGGATGTCCTCCTCGTGGAACAGGAGAATCATAAGATTGAGGCCAAGCTGGAATCTGAGAAACCGGAAACCGGAAGTCTAACCCAAAGTAAGGTTAAAAAGCAAAGATCAACGGACGGATTCTCCGCTCTTTTCAGTAGCTGTCCAACTCCGGGAGCTAAAGCCGAGGAACCAATACCTGTTGAAGTCAAGCATCAGAGCTCCAAACCTGTTAAACAACCAAGACCGGAGGATTTTGATGATTACTGGTACCAGGAGGATGATGGATCCTGGAGGAATGAATACACAGATCTAGGATATGAGTTCGCTGAGGATGATGATTTCTACTCTGAGGAAGAGTTAAAGAAGGCCGAGGAAAGTCTTTACAAAAATACAGATAAGAAAGCTGAACCTGTCCAACCAGACCTCTTCAAGAAGGTTGAACCCGTTCCATCCGTTCAACCTTTAGTTCAGATTCAGAATCAAACCCCTTTTTCTCAGCCTAAAGAACCTGTGATCAAACATGTTGAAGAAATCAAACCTTTACCACCCCAGACCAAAGCTCAGGATCCCCCTAAACCAGTGGAACCCGTAACCAAACATGAACCTAGTGTAGAACAGTTGCAACAGGTTAAACAGAAACCAGCTAAACCAATGAACGGTAAGGTTTCCTCATTGATAGAGGAGAAACGTGAACCGTCTCCGCGTAAGGAGAGAAAGAAACCGTCAGATTATGAGGATATGTGGTATCAGGACTATGATGGAAACTGGTATAATGAATATGATGATATGGATGAGGATGATATGCCTGAGACTGAATCTATCCGGGATGCAGATCCTGTATCTAGTGCTCATGGTACACCAGGAAAACTTAAGGGTGTCAGCTTCGATCGGGATGATGCTGTCCCAATGCCATTAAGAGAACGAATCAATCAGAATCCCAAGGATAGGTGGCAGTGGGCTTTTACGAAGATTCTCCAGGTAGGACTTTATTCACAACCCTTTGATATAGTTTTTTATAGGTTTACTGGGAACCAGCAATACATCTTTCTTATAATACAATTTCTGAAACCATTGTTTCAGCTGCTTAGAGTTGGATTTTCTTGTTATTATAAGCTGGGTTTATTTATTCAGATTCTATGTTATGTCCTTCTAGAATTAACTTTGTGTGTGCTTTATACAGAATACTTGTTGTAGACTCAACTTATTAATTTGGATATTTAAAAATTAATGTTTCCATTAAGCAAAACCGCGTAATAAAACGACTGGAACGGGAGCGAAGGAAGGAGGTTCAAGCTCAACCCTTGACACAGAAGGTTCAACCTGCAGCAGACCAGATACATGAGGCAAGCAGCCAGGTTTCCGACCAACCGAGCTCCGTATCCAAGGTTGACCTTCCTCAGGACACGACTAAAGCTTCAGCTCTTGTAGAAAAACAGGTTACAAGAGATCCCCACCATCTCTCTAAACCTCTGGACTATGAGGAGTGTTGGTACGAGGGAGAGGACGGATTGATGTATAATGAATACGATGATGAACTTGAGGAGGGATATTACTACTCAGATGAACCTAAAGCTAAAATACCTAAAGAGCAAACTAAACCAGAACCTACTCCTAGTGTTGAAGCGTTGAAGGGATTACCCCGACCTGCAGATTACGAGGACTACTGGTATGAAGGAGAGGATGGGTTGATGTATAATGAATATGATGATGAACTTGAGGAAGGACAATTCTATGCTGAACCTGTTCTTGCATCAAAACTTAAACCTAATGAGTTTAAAAACAAAAATGAAGATGCAGCAGCTACAGCTGCTTCTGAAGCTTCCAAGGCAGCAGAGGAAGCAGCCAAAGCTGCTGCAGAGGCTTCTAAGAACCTGTTGAAGGGAATGTCTGGATTGGGCGGTGGTTTCATGGATTCTTTGAGCTCAGGGACTAAACCTAAAGCTGATACTAAATCTCAATCTGGGTTTGGGTTCGGGGGACTTGGTGGTTTGTTCGGTTCAACCGAACCCTCAAAGAAACCAGCTCCAAAACCAGTACAAACGAAAAAACCAGAGCCAAAAACTCAAGACAAACCTGCTACTGTTCCTACGTCTTTAACTAAAACTAAAACTGCTCTAACCCCCGCTCCTGCTCCAGCTTCAACACCTGCTCCAGCTCCAACCCTTGTCTCTGCTCCAGCCCCTGTTACTGCTTCAATCCCTGTTGCTCAATCTCTCTCTAAACCTGAACCTGTTGCAAAATCCGAACCAATTCAAATACCACTGGATATTCCTAAACAATCTGAGCAGACAAATGCTGATTCAAAACCTGAAATAAATGAAGACGACCTCATCAATAAACCGTGCACTGCACGGATGACCGCTAGGCAGCGCTGGCGATGGGCGTACAGTTTTTGTAGACAGGTAACTCCAGCCGAGCAGGTCAACTCCAGGACCTGAACCCTGCTCTAGTCTTGTCATGCTTCCAGTAAATAAGAGGTTTCCAACCCATTCTTCTCTGTGGAAACCTCTTGAATTAAAAATAGTTTAGCCCAATCTCAATCCATATGATAGAACATGGTGACTAAACTTAAATTTTTCTAAATTATTCATGATTTAATTCTTTTAGCTAAATACTGTAAAGTTTATTTCTATTTTATTGCAGTAGTGTATAGTTCTAGTGCTTGAAAGTTAATTAATTTTATATTCTATATATTTTATATTTCATATTAAACATATTAGGTAGATATCGAATGAAATTGAAAATATTCAAATTTCATAAAAAAAAAATGAAAGAATTTAAACTGCATCAATATCAATTCAAACAATGTAAAACTCTTAAAAACATAGTTTTGTAAAATTAGCAATTTAAGAGCTTTATTTTTCTTTCTTTGATGTTTACTTTTTGTGCCTGTACTTGGACTTTATTTTAACATTTGAATTGGCAAAAACGGGTTTTTTAAAATTTCTATTCAGCCGGGGATTAAAAATTATAATCTTCTTACTTTTAAAATCAAAATTTTTAATTGAAATCGTTTAAAGTTCTGTGATTGATTTTCTTAAAATTATTGCGGACAATTAAATTGAGATGAAAATCCTATTTTATGTAGTTTTCTTAAAGGTTCAAAAGTTTTAAATATTTCATTGTTTGTTTAGTTTCAAAACTTAAAGTATTTCAGTCCAATAGGGTTAAAGCTTTAAGAGAAATATATTTAGATCGGATGATATACATTTTTGGTTGAATCCTATCCTTACCCATTTTTGATTTTTGATTTTTAAAAACTTGCTTCTACATTATTATTAAAAATATAATTTCAAAGATTAAACAATATGAATATTTAACAGATTTTCCTGTTATATGTTCAATGTACAAATCTGAAACTATGCTTTGTTTTATGTACAATGTCCAATTCTAAGAATAATTTCTTGTTTTTATATCTACAACTTACTGTACGTTCATTTACAGTTGTCACAAACAGTAAACTATTTTTTAACTAGAAAAAAGAAAAAAATATTGACAATTTACTTTTTTATTTACTGTTTTCACATTTAGATTATCATTGATCTTGTTTTTGAATAAACTGAAAAAAAAACAATGTAAAATGTAAAATTGTTTTTTTATTTCCTTTTTTCTAGTTAAACCACATACAGTATGCTTTCTATTTTTCACTTTACAACAATACTTATATAAAAAAGAATAGTTCCCAAGTAATTACTTTCTTGTAATGGAATTGGAAAATAGAAAGTAAAATTATTCATAATTATAACTTAATTCCTTTTTAAAAGTATAATTTTAGATTTTTATTTAATTTTAGCGCCGGGAAATATTAGATAAAAACTCTTTAGTTTCAATCATTCTAGCTCATTCTAGTTTGCATCCTTACACTCATTCATCCATTCTAGTTCTCATCCATCCTAGTTCTCATACTCCTAGTTCTCATCCATTATAGTACTCATCCATCCTAGTTCTTATTCATCTTAGTACTCATTCATCCTAGTTGTCATCCATCCTAGTTCTCATCCATTTTAGTTCTCAACCATCCTAGTTATTAGTTATCCATGAAATAATATTTTTTAAATTTTAAAGTTTACTGTTGTTTTCTTATTTTTGAAACGAATGAAGGACTGACACGTTTAATGGCTCAGGCTTTAAAACGCCCAGATTAACTTCAATAGTTTAAAGTTTCTTTAGACTGAGCTAGTTTGTTTGAAACTATTAGAACCGGTGTTTTTTTCTTCTAAAGGGAGTGACCGGCAATGTATGGTAGTTGAACTGAGAATGTAGTATTCTGAAAACATTTTTTATGAATCATTTGAGACCTACGGTGCATATTTGTTCAGCAAGAACGCAAATTCAATCTTTAAAATCCTCATAGATTGTTCATTTTTGAGGGATGATTTTGAGAATCCATTTTTAAAAATTATTCAATAACGACGACGAAAAATGTAGTAAAAATTCTGCAGTAAACTTATTAGTTGTTCAGGAACAGATTGAGAAAAACAAAATTAAGCATTATCATGGAAACAATCGATTCTAACATTGATTTATCGGGAAAATATCAATTGAGAAATATGTTCCTAAATATCAGTTTACTGTAAATTTTTTTTTACATTTTTTCGTCGTTATTTAATAATCTTGAAAAAATTGATTCTAAAAACGTAACCACCAAATGGATGATTTTGAACGTCGACTTTGCGCTCAAACTCAGTAATTATACATCATTGAAACGTTTTATATGTCTCAAATGAATCCTAACACCAGATTCTCAGTTCAACTACAATACATTGCCGGTCCCTCCCTTTAATAGGTCTCGTTACTTTTACCGCAGAGTTACAAAAAGTATTTATTTTTATGTCAACAACGTGTAATTGTAATTTATTTGAAATGGGAAATTCTTAAAGTTTTTTCCTTGCTCTTAAGAAACGAAATGTGGAATTGGATGAAACATGGTTAAATAATTATTCTCAATTCCATCTGATTAAAGAGAGTTTAAAGGAAATAATAACAGATTTTTTTTTTACATTTTTACTACCTTTTCAAGGAATGTGTTTTCTTTAAACTTCATGTTGTTGATTTAAAAATTATACAATATCAACATATTCTTATGTATTCAGAATCAGGAACTTTTGAATGGACGGAACGGGGGATTCGGGGATTAGATTAAGAAAAATGTCAGGATATTTCCAATCTCGACCAATCTGACTAGAATTGAAACGGCTAAGCTTTTAAATTCAAAAGTTTTGTTAAGGGTTTCGAGATAAGGTTTTGTAGCTCAGTTCTATCAAAACCAAAAGTTCCTGACTCTGAATGAAAGATATTTTTTTTTGTTTGATTCTCTCGCCTTAGATCATTTTATAATATTAGCTTAATTTAAATTGTAATATACCGATTTTATTCACATTTTAATACATTGCAGTTTACCTATTAATTGATAAACACGTTCGAGTTCTAGCGTTAAGGTTAGGAATGGAGGTTTAATTTCCTTTTCCAGTTTTGTTGCTAAATAAGCTGGGATCCGTGTTTATTTCAGGGTTAAATATATCACATAAATAAATATATATTCTTGTCTTTGTCGGACCTAATGTTTAAAAAAAAAAGCTTAAAGGGACTGTAAATGTAATTTCAAGGAACCCTCCGTTGAAAGAGTTGCATGCACATTTCATAACAGTTCCCTTAAACCCTTTGTCTGACCAAACCATGTTTTTGTTTTTCAAATTTTATCATTTTTATTTATGGTTTCTCTACATTCTTACTTTAACAACACAAGGATTAGATTTAGGTTTCAAGGGTACCGTTGTGAATCCTCTCTGTTTTATTTCCCAGCTGGATTCAAGCGCAAAATAAAAAAAAATTATCGACTTCTGGTTGGTTTTTCGAATTCGGCAATCAAAGGTCTGATTGGTTGAATTTTATAAACTTTCCAGAATACAAACTAAATAATAAATTAATCTTGAGATAATCAAAAAAAAGGATCTCGATATCCACAGTTCTAAAGTTTACAGCTCAGAACGGATCAAATCATGACCTATTTTAAAATAAAACTGGAAAATCCTTTATTCTCCATCCCTAACCATTGTGTTTAAAAAAGCCGGTAAACGTTCGTAAAAGAATGTATTGAAAATATGAATTCGGTATATGTTAACAGCGTACATACCTTTCATGTTAAAAGAGATCTTAATAATAATTATCTCTCTAGAATTTATAGCTTTATATAAATTCTCGGGTTCCAGTTGATAAGTTTTGTTTGTTTGTTGAAAAAGCACTCTCTTTTTGCTGCTAGGTGATTGCGCACTGTGAACACTGAAATTAAATTTTTCATAATATATTTATATCTTTTTCTCGAATTAGTGACAAGAAGCCTTAAAGTTTTAGCAGGAGTTACAAGACAATCCTGATCATTTATCCTTTTCAAGGAGATATAAACCTATTTTCTTGCTAAGGTCTCACGCTGGAAGGTCCCTGCAGCTCCGGACCCTCAACTGCAACCTATCCCTGAGCCAGGACAACCTACCGGAGGATTACCCCGCCCTGAGGACTATGATGATCACTGGTACGAGGGAGATGATGGTCTCTGGTATAACGAATACGACGATGAGCTTGAGGAAGGACAGTACTATGAAGAGATCCCTGAGGAGGAAGGATATCCTAAACCTGATCTTACTGCTGTAGAGGAGACTGAAGAAGCACAGGAGGAGAACAAAAAAGAAGAAGTTCCTGTACCGGAACCAGAACCTCAACCTGAACCAAAACCTGTAGAAGAAATTAAACCTACCCGTAAGTTTAGTAAGGATCAAGATAGAGATGATGCTGATTTGGATCCTGATCTAAAAGCAGCTCAAGAAGCTGCTAAAGCGGCTGGAGATGCCGCAAAGAACCTTCTAGGTGGAGCAATGAGCTTCGGAGGTGGACTCCTTGGAGGACTTGGAGGTAAACCTCAGCAGAAACAGCAGTCCGGTTTTGGTATCTCAGGGTTTGGTCTGGGAGGTATGATGGGAGGACAACAGAAACCTACTCCAACTAAAAAAGAACCTGTAAAACATAAACCTCAGATGAAGAAACAGGACGCAGTCGAGGCCTCTGCTCAGGGTCAGACTGGAGAACCGGCGGAAATTGAGAAGAAACCTTCAACAGAAGAACCGGAAAACGAAGACACAGAGAAGATGGAAGAAACAAAAACAGAAGAAGCTTCAAGACGGGAATCCGTTAAACCCAAGATATCAGGAGATGAGTCTAAGGAGGAACCAAAGGTTGAAAAGCAGGATTCAGTTGAAAGCAAGAAGAGCGTAACCTTTGATGTACCGAAGAAGGTTGAGAAACAACGAGAAGAACGTCACATCAACAAAACGAGAACGATGCGACCGAAGGAGAAGTGGGAGTGGGCGTTTAGTAATATCATGACAAAGCTGGAGGTAAGGGCGGAGATGAGTACTAAGCATGATTGCTTCAAGCTAGAAACCTTCACCACATTTACATACATCGTCTGCAACCATTTACAGCTTATACACAGTGTACAGTCATGCATACACTGTACATACTGTGCAATATGTAGTGCACTTTATCCCTCTTAATTATTATGTACTTCTAGGTTTTACACAATTAGAGACAGAATGTGCAACATCCTGGAGCAATGTTCAAAAAAAGAAAAGAAAAAACTTGCTTGAATTAAGAAAAAGTGGATTATCATGCAAAAACAATTTACTCCTGTTTGAACCTTGTTTCCAAACCAAAATCATTATATTCTCTAGTGTAGATCTAAAAACAGGTGCAGAACTGCATGAATTTTCAGGAATAGATCTCTCAAACAACATTGAACCTGAGATATACGTAGACCTAGGCGTTCAAGGCTTCAGGGTTTTTCATAAAACATGAGACTTTGATGATTTATTAATTAATCAGTTTTCATCTGGATAATGAAGATAATTGCTCATATTTCCTGAACATTTTGTTGATTACTATACATTTGTTCTATAAAATGACAAAAATGTACATTTCTAAGTTTAAAAAAGTATTTTTCATGTTTTTTCTTCAATCTCCCTGAAGCTGCATGATTTTTAACTTCTCACCTAAATGCATTTTCACACTGTTATATATTTTTTACCACGAATATTTTTCACTTTTTCAAGCCGTTAAACCTGTCACTTGAATAGTTTTAGAATATCTTAGTTTTTCCCATCTATTTATTTATCTAGTTTGTAGCATTTTATTTTCAGGATTGTAAGGACTTGTTTATTTATTTTGAAACGAAAACAATTATCTTTATCAACGTTTAGGTTCTTTTTTTAAAGATTAAAAATAATGGTTTTACGGTTAACTTTTTGAAGGTTTATTAAGTTAATTTTTAGGAATCTTTAGACTATAAACTGAAATGGAAGGATGGTCATTGGAATTTGTTTTTGACGAAATCTAGGCTTTTAATCTTTATTTGACGAAAATTATAAAGAAGTAATTTAGTAAAGACAAAAATCTTTAGAAAAAAGAAGAAAACCCCCTTTTAAACATTAAAAACAGTTGCTATAAGAATACTTGATGTTAGAGGGTAGAAGAAGAAAATGAGGAAAAAAGTTGGAGATAGAGAGGTAGATGCAGAAAGGGAGAAACAAAATATAGAGAAATAGAGAGATAGAGAGATTGAGAGATAGAGAGAATGGAGAAAATGTCCGGGTTGGTTAATAGATGTCTCTTATACCAGAAAACTGACTTTCTAACTCCAGGTTTCAGGATATTTATATTCTCTGGGTTCAACTTGGAACAATAAATGAACTTGGTACCTGGAGATCCTTGGTTCCTGGAGAACCATGGTTTCCAGAGATCCCTTGTACTAAGAGAACCCTGGTACCTGGAGAACCTTGACACAAAGAGAACTCTGGTGTCTGGAGAACTCTGGTACCTGGAGAAACTTGGTATCAAGAGAACCCTGATACCTGGAAAACCTTAACACCTTGTGAACCCAGGTACCTACAGAACCCTGGTACCTGGAGAACCTTAATACCTTGAGAACCCAGGTACCTAGAGAACCCTGGTACATGGAGAACCCTGTTACTTGGAGAACCCTGGTACCAGGAGAACCCGGGCACCCGGAGAGTTTTGGTTCCTAGAGAACTTTAGAACATGGAGAAATTTGCTAGTTGCTACCTTGAGAACCTTGTGTGTTGGGTAACCTAGGCTTCTGGAGAAAAATATGAAAAGCCTAGGGGGCCTCTGAGAACAAGAACTTGAAAACCTGTGAAACCAGAGGAGAACTTAAAAACTAGAATCAAAACAAAGAAGGAAAACAAATTTCTAATTGATTAGAGAGAAACCAAAAATATCTATTGAACCAGAAAAGAAAACTAGGACGGGAGAAGAGAAGGGGGGGAGGGGGGCAGAACCCTCTGGGATATCTAGAAATTAATTAAATCTCCTTAATTAATGAAAAAGAAGCTAGGAAAGATGTCTAATATGTTTAAAGATAAAGATCAGAAAAGAAAATTATTTTTACATTATTACAAATATACAAATGGATTTAGGACAAATGAATTAATGTATATCTAGGGAAATACAGGAGATCCATTAATTGTTAGTGGAATAACAAAAAAATTCTGATGTACACTTTTTTAAGCAAAGATACTGGGATTATTTTGTTTAATTGAAAGATTTTACTTTTTATATTTTCGGACAAGTAACAGAAGCTATTCAGAGTTAAAAGAAATGGCAGTTCAAATAATTTGATTCTTTGCCACAAACTCAAATTTTCTAATCCCTAAATCTTTGATATATCAAAGTTAGATTAATTGATATAACAGAATTCCTATTTGGAAATATTTGTAAAAATTGGGTTTTAAATATATAGGGATTAGAAAATCAGAGGTGTGACAAAAACTTAATTCCTTTCAAAGAAACTGATTTTTTTCCACAAACTCAAATTTTCTAATTCCTATATCTTGCAACCTGATGGTGTAAAACCATGATTTTCTTAAATTTAGAATATTTGATATAACAGAAGCATGATATGAAGGGGCATATACAGGAACTTTCTTAGTCTTCGGTCCACTTTTCCAGGGGGGGATCAACAACACCCCCCCCCCTGTATCAAGCCCTTATAATATGGAAGGAACGGGCTATTGTAAGGAAACATACTTTAAAGAATATAAACACGAATAGTCGGGGGAATAAGAGATAATGAGAACAGGTTGGTTAGGAAAATAACTTCTGAACGGGGATTATTAATATTTGTAGAAGCAAAGTTTAAGTAGGAGGGGTATGTTACAAAATAGTTCACGTGAAGGGTTGGGNGTTGTATCCCGTTTGCGGTACAGGTTGGATATATCCTGGTTTATACAGCAGAGAAATGCTTGTGAAACCCCGCAGAGGTTGGAGTATGGAGTATTAGCTCTCCGAGGATTGTTAGTCCGAGGCTCCTAGGCAGACAAATCAATACACGAGGGTTCTGCAGCCAGGCAGTTGGGCCGGAGCTTTGCTCCAACCTAGGATATATCTTACTCCAGTGTACTGGAGGTCGTCTTCTCTCCTATTGGGTTGGGTTAGAGTTATCAGTATGTAGTTCCATATACAGGGATAAATCCTAGCTCCGGCAAGTGGGTTGAACCACCAAGAAAGAAGAGAGAAAGCTTGAAAGTTAAAGTTCTTGCAGAGAAAATATTAATAATTAAAGTATTGGAACCTCTGCAGCAACGGTTTAGAAACTAGTCAAAGATACAAGAGGAAACATGCACAGCACTTGCAATCTAGCATGGACTACAATGCCAATATGAACACAATCCATATGGATCCAAGATCTTTCCAGGTTGGATCCGTCCGAGGTCCAGGGATGATGCCACCCATCCTGAGTAGACATCAGGTGTTCAGTGTACCTGGACACAGGCTTCCACACGGCCTAGGTCCTGGTCCTCCACCCATGCCAGGGCAGGGGGTGTATATGGAGGACCAGATGGACCACCTGGCCGGAAAGCTGGACATGCTGGAGAATGAGCTTAGGTATGCTTGGAGAGCTCTTGATGTTCTCTCCCAAGAGTATATCAAGATGTGGGAGAGGTTGGAGAAAATGGAAGGATTGCTTACAGAGCAGCAGACAGTTATTACTCAGCTTATAGATCTGTACACAGCTGACAGCTCCGATAATGCTGACAACAGTTTTGACACGGACGGAGGAAGCGTAAAGTTCTCCGGGTTTGGTGGCAAGGATCCTGACGAATCATTTTATAAAGCTCTTAATGTTGTACATAGGGATAGTTACCCCCAGACTGTAGATAATAATTTACCCCTGAGTAACTTTAACACTGCCAGTTGTGAAAACATTGAAACCATTGTAAAGCCAAATCTTGGGAAAAAATCTCGTAAAGGAGCGGAGTCGCCGGCTCAGTATGTTAACAGTGGAAGGATTGCTGCTGATGCTGAGCTATTGATATCTGGTTCAGTGAAGCCGAATAAAGCTGAAGGAAGCCAGGGACTAGGACGGGATGAATCAGATGAAATCAGGAGCATGTCCTCCAGTATGCGTTCAACACAGAGCGGAGTTTCTGAGATAGGAGAGTTTCCCGTACCTGAGAATACTAGTCCTACCTATGAGAATCTTATCCCTAGCTCTGGAAACCTTCCTCCTGCTCCTGCTCCTGCTACAACCAAGAGAAAACTTCCCCAGCTCCCAAACCCTCCCCAGGACACAAGAAGGACCAGAAAGGACGGATATATTGGAAACTCTGAGGACGAAAAGAAGATTAAATCACAGAAGAGTGTCACTCAAACAAACTTTTCCCCTCAACCTAAACCTAGTTCTGGAAACAAGAAATCTGAATTCAAAGATCCAAGAATTATTTCTGATCCTAAAAGCTCTGAAAAACCGCGAAAGAAGCAGACAAGTGCTGAGAATGTGGGTAAACCTGTAGGAATGACAACAATACTAGAACAAGAAATCCAATATGACACATATCCACGCAGGAAAGGCAAGAAGAAAGAAATCAGTGAAACCAGGGGAAATGCAGCTGGAGAAAGTCCGTTAACAATCATTGACGGAAACTACAGTTTCTCACTTTCTGAGGACAGTGTTCAGGATCAAACTCTATTTTTCCGCGATGAAGATCAAGAAAGGACAGTTGTAGAAAACCTGCCAAGAAGATCAGTGTCTGGTGGTGCCGAGGGTGATTTGCATCAGACTCTTCCTGCACAGATAGGTCCAAAGATTAAGCCTGGAGCTGGGTCCAAAACATCCAATAAACCACGAGCAATAACAGATGACAATTCAGGGATACTCAGCAAAGGTTCAGAAATCATGGAAACTGAGGTGAACTCCCCATCAGAAAGCAATCTACCAAGGGCAAACAGTCTCTTCCAGCAAATCCAAGCTAGAGAACCTGACCCTACTCAGCTCAACAAATCCCGCAAACTTTCACTCAAAGAGAAGAGAAAATTGCGCACAGAACAAAGAGAGCTTGTTTCAGAATTGATTCCCAAAACTTTGGAGGTAGATCCCCCTTCTCCAGCTGTAGGGAGTACTCTGAGAAAACCTGATTCTAGTGAGTCTGATGTGAGTATGCGGTCTGACCACAGCATTAGTCCAAAAAGAGAGTTTGCAGAGCCCGAGAATGCAGATCAATCTGGATACTCCAGTAATGGAATTTGTATGGGAGAACAGCAGGGTGCATCAAATGGAACTAGACCTCGCTCTAATGGCATTAACATACTTCCAGTTCATCAGCAAATACTCAGTAGTAAACCATCATCCAGGGAGTTTGCAGTCTCCAGGGCACTTGGTAAATATCGGCAAAAGCAGAAGAAGGATCGGGAAAACTTTACCGGAAGTTCCAACTCTGACTCCCAGGAAGAACTTGATCTAGTTGCTGACTCAGGGTTAGAGGGCGCACTCAGGACAATTGATGCTAAATTAGCAGATATAGAGGAGCATGTTATACCAGAGATATTGGCGGAGGAAACTCAAGAAGCAGCCCCCGGCTCTGTTGTAAAACAAGTTTCAGAGTTTGAAGAAGCCGGGTTTGCTCCATTTGATATGCAGACAAAACCCCTAGGCTTAAGATCTAGAAGACAGAGTACAGAAGAAAGCATTGATTCTGAAGATGAGTGGTATCAACATGAGATAACTAGATTAAAAGAGATGGAATATGAACAGGAAATGCAGAAAATAATTCCATCAGAGTCCGTCGGAGCTCGGATGAGCACAGTTCTAGGACAGCTCCATGATGTGGTGCCAGAGATTAAAGAGGACATAAAGACCAGGGAAAAGGAGAGATTAGAACTAGATGAGATGAATAAGGAGCCTCCAGACGATCCTAAACCTCCGGACATAGTTACTAAGGGAGAGAAGGAGAAGAGAGTGCTTAGAAGATTAAGTACTTCTGATGGTGATGATGACTCTAGCGTGACAGGAGGAGCAGATGAAGACAGTGAAACCCAGTCCGGTGCAGATTCTGTGGATGAAGAGGAGGAAGAATTGAAAAAGGATCCTGTACCAGATGTATCCAAGCGTCCAGCAAACCTTATCATTCTTCCCACTGATCCTCAGCCCAAGTTGTCTGATAGACAACCTAAACCTGATCTTTTAGAGGAGGTCACAGCTGCAGCAGCTGAAGCATTTTATCCAGACCACCTCAAGAACGGATATTACGGGGAGGATGGAATCTTTTATGACGAGCATGGAGAAGCAGGATATTTTGACGAAGACGGAACCTGGTTTGATTATATCGACGAGGTTGGATACTATGATGATGATGGAGAATGGATAGAGTATGATTACAGTAAAGGATACTGGGGGGATGATGGTAACTGGCACGAAAACGACGAGAAGGAAGAAAATGGTGAGAAAGGAGAGAAGGAGAAAACCCCAGAAACCCAGGAAAGTGACGCCGATCATTTTTTATGGGTGAGCGAAGAAGGGATCAACGGTAAATATTCCAATGACCAGATCCCTTCTTCGGAGCTCAACAAACCTATGGTCATTGGAAGGCTTCCCTCAAGCTTAAATGAGGAAACCCCAGATATTACTCCAAGTCCTATTACAGAGTCGTATCAGAGTCCAACAAGTAATCATAATTCAATTCCCTCCGATATCTCACAGGGTCGATCTAGTCGTCAGAAGTCGGAGGAGTGCAGAAGTCTTGATGGTGTAAAGAATTCTGCTCCCTCCGATGGATTTCGGAGTACTAGGGAATCCTGGGCTAGCTCTGAGCAGGCCCCGGAGCAGGTTACATTAGTCCGTGATCAGGGACCGTTGCTCCATGAGAAACCTCTATGTGGTAAACGTTGGGGAGTTCTTATGAAAGAGAGAAAGGCAGATTTGATTGAACTAGTAAGGTTTTAGATTTTTTCTCCAAGCAAAATCTGATCCTCCCACCTTCCATCTTCAGTTTTATTTTTTTGGTAAAGATATATTAGATCCAAGACTAGGAGTAGGTAGATAACAGGAATACTAAGAGATCATAGCTAACCTTCATGTGTGCAATACGGTAAAAAGTTTTCACCATGCAGTTTTATTTCAACTCTTTGTATTTCTCATTAGATGGTTACTCCTAGATCCCAGGATAGAGTTTAGAATCAAAATAGCAAAAAGTCTGTCCGTCAAATATCAGGAATAACTGATGCAAACAAATCAGAGTAATTGATTCAAATATCTTTTCCATCTTTTTAGCATGTTTCGTTTGAAAACACGCATGTTTAGCAAGCTTTCAAGTCTTATCATATTTAAACAGAAATAAGATTTTTTAAATTAAGTCAGAAAAATACGTTAATTAAGAACCTAAATTTTTGTTTGAATAAGCGTTTAATGTAAACAAAATTTTGATGTTATTTCAATCCTGAACCAAACCTTGACTCGGAAACCAAGTTTTTGCTTAATAATGCTTCTTTGTAACCGCCGCAAAGTGTAGTGTATAGTCCTATAGTCCTATAGTACTTTTGTTATTTATGAAAATACTTCATTCAATTTTTTTCGTTTTGTGCTCGTTTACAAACAGATTTTTTATTAGTTTATTACATAATATTTCTCTTTAATCACATTTTACATTCTTATTTTGTAATCAAAGAAAATAAAGGAAGAAAAAATTCTCACCCCCCCCCCCCTCGACCGCAAAGCTCCTGTTTAATTTCCCAAACCCCTAAAATATTGATTAATATTTTTTACATGATCGGCACCAATAAAGTAATGAACGATTTATAAAATAACACTTTAGATTAATTATGTTTAGAATAAAAATCACATTATTTTGCAACCTTTTAATAGATTTATCAGATTCACAGATATTTTGTTTTGCACTTTTACTTCTATCTTATCTTAGAATCTTAGATCAATCTTTGTCGCGGAGGAGTTTTTTCTCAGTAAATAACTCAACAAAGATACATTTCTTTAAATATTTTCACTAAATCAGTGACGACATTACTGAGATTTAACATATCCTTCTATTCTTCAAATCACAGTGGTATTACAGCAGAGGAGATTTTGAAGAAGACGATATTTACATTTATCACTTATATTCTTATTGTATTTGATTATTGAAATGAATTATCTACTTTTTTTTGTTGACGATTATTTTCGGACACTTTCTACATTTGAAAATACGTTATGTGTTCAACCTTCTTCTGTTAAGATTTACATTATTGTCTTAAAATAAAGTTTGGTATCACTTTTAAAGTCTGTTTTTAACATTTTGTAGAGGCCCTTGGATTTTTAATTATATATCAATGTTTATAATTTTGAAAACTGATTATTTTCAATTGTGGGTTCCCTACAAAAGTGACTTGCGCATTTCTCCTGCAGGAAAACAAGGAAGAGGCCCCACAAAAATATATACAGTGAAAATTATATGTTTAAAATTTCAGACAAAATAAATCAAGCCAAACAATTTTTTTGATTTTCTAATATATTCTTAAAATAGTTATATTTTTGAAATACCAAAAATGTTTGAAACGGGTTCGGAAATGATACCAAACCTGAATCTCTCTTGTTTGTAACTACCCTGTGTTTGTATACCCCTGACCCTATGTAAAGCATGTATCCTTGTCTAGGAGAAGACCGGAGACAATGATCCAACCCGATCCGGAGCAGACAACCCGTTCTTCAAGGATATTGATAGTATGCCGGAGTTTAGACCCAGGAGGAAATCCATCCCTCTTGTATCAGAATTGGTGAGTTGGATTTTAAAGGGAGTGCTCGCGAAAAATAAAAGGAGGGTCAGACTAAATCCCAAAAAAGTCGGATTCGAACGCTAATAATTTTACTTCTATTTGTAACGTCTTTATAAGGAGAAAATTATTGAAAACGCTTGATACCCAATAGCGTAGAGCTCATACAAATTCACCTAGTTGAGTTATTCCACTCAAACCGTCAATAATTCATTAGATATTACAATTAATTTATAGAATGTAATTAATAATTCATAATATTTTTTGTTTATATGACCCAAGAGTTACTTTTGAGAAAATTCATTCCTGAAAGGAATTGAGTCTTTGCAACAAACTCTGATTTTCTAATCCCTTTATCCTTTGAAACCAATTTCGGAGACCTTTGATATTTCTAACTATTTTTAGATAAAATAATCTAGGTTTGAAGTATATATCAAAGATTTACATCATAAGGTTTTAAAGACATTGGTATTAGAAAATTTGAGTTTGTGGCACAGACTCAATTCCTTCTGAAGATTTTTAGTAACGAAGACGACATTTCCATATTTCCAAAAAAAAAATCGAAAATCCAGCTTTTTCTTCACGAGATTGAATGAAATAAGAATTTGAACCCCTTAAACCTTGACAATGAACATCGCCACAGAAAGCAATTATTTAATATTTCTTTAAGCTAAATAAAAGTTACGACTATTTGTTTAAACAATCTGCTTATTTATTGAACAATGTCTGTATATTTCTACATCTATGGGAGAACACTGGTGTGATTAATGTAACTGGTTAGCTCGCTCGCATACCCATATAGTGCTGCATAATCTACATATATAATATATTCGATATATCAAGGATATAAATACTGCAAATTATTATTATAATGCATACAGTTTGGTTAAAAAAGAAATGTTTTTAATTCCAACAAAAATTATTTCCAAATTATTTTAAATTTTGGTAACGAAATTTTTAAACTTTATTTGTAATAGTTATTATAATGTACAGAGAGAGTCATATAGCATTGGATTAAAGATTTCTGTAACTTTTTACTAAAATTAATTTGCAGGGACATCTAAAGATAGATTTCATAAACATGTCTTTGTCAAAAATCAGGATGAGTGGGGACTTTCAGACAATTCTAGATAAAAGACAAAGTTTTGGCGGAATTTTCATGAGATTTTTCCGTGTTTATATTATGTACGATTAATGGGATTAAATCCAATGTATTGTGACTAACCCTGTATATATCTAAACCTCCACAGGAACTTATTCCTCATCTGAAACTCTAATTTCCTAATCTCAATATCGTTGAAACCTATTGGTGTAAAGATTTATTATTTTGAACTTTGAATAATTTACCTAGCAGATTTCATTGTTAAAAATATCAAAGGTATGAGGATTAAAAATCAGAGTTTGAGGCATGTCCTTTAATGATAGAACAGAGAAAAAAAAAGTATATTGTATGATAATAAGATTGGAAAAATCAATATGTAAAATACTTAGGTTTATATTTAATCACTAATCTAAATATATATAAACAATATTAATATTCTATTATTTTTTCACGCTGCATCCAGGTTCTAAAGGTATGTACATATTATGTATTGTTTAGTGGGGATTGTTAGAATTTAAACGAAAATTAGAGTTTTTTTATTATTTTTGCAGTGGTTTTATGAAGTTGTAATAACATTGTGTAAAATGATTTATTTATATTATTTATCCCCTCTTCCCCCTTCCCCTGCCTCTCCCTCTCCCCACCTCCCCCTCCCCTCCCCCTTCAGTTCCCTGGATCAACATTAATGTTTGTCCAAGGTGTAACAGAGAAAAATATTAATAAATAATAATAAATATGATTTTATAACACTATCTCAGTCAAAGACACAATCTCTTGATGGTTTGAAATATCACAGTTTCTTTTATATATATATATATATATATATATATTTAGATTCATAATTTAAAAAAAAAATTCTTCATATTTTGTAAAATTAAGATTTTTGTTTTAAGAATTTTACTATTAATTTTATTTAATAACTTAATTTCTTTCCTCGTAGAACAAGCTTATATTCTAAATATGTAGAATATGATTGTATTTTATTTCCATTTTTCTACTTTACCAAATTTCCAAATTGAACTTTCATTTTGCTCATTTTTATTTTGTTTGGTGCACAATTAGTTTTGACTTATTCTAACTGTATTTTTTATTTTAATTTATAACTATTTAATACATTTAGACGATGGCAATAAAACGCAACGCGTCAGGTTTAACCCCTGCCCTTCACCGACCCAGCCTAGATAATGAAGAACTGGTAAGGAGAGAAAAATTCAAATTTATTTTTATATACTGTATATACAGTGTAAACTATATATACAGTATATACAGTATGTACAGTATATACAGTATGTACAGTATATACTGTATATACAGTATATACAGTATATACTGTATATACAGTATATACAGTATATACTGTATATACAGTACATACAGTACCGCCAAAACAATTATTGAATATAAAGACGACTTTTAGTCCTCAGTTATGATTTTGAAAAGTTCAATGAACATGAAAAGCAGACGGAACTTTTCCCATCCCTTTCCAGGATACTCGGAAAGATTTTTAGTTTTTTTCTTGAGAATAAAAATGAAGGTTGTGGCAGAATGTAATATCCGATATATTTCTGTCGAAATATGATACTTTTTCCTTTTCCTAAATTTAGATTAAATGTTCTGAAGAAGTCAATCTTCAAAATCCATTTCAACTTTTCATTTTTATGTTATATATGATATTATTCAATTAAAGGGACTGTAAAGGAAAAAGGAAAGGGGGTAAAGGGGGTATAGAATGAAACCTGAGAATCTCAGGCGTTAAACAATACATATAAAACATCTATCTGATGTTCCAGTCTCGAGAAATTTTTATAAAACTGTGTCAAATATCTATTTAAAATGCAAAATGCAAATAAAAATTTATAATAGGATTAAACCTGAGATTCTCAGGCTCCTGTGGGTTATCGTCGTGTTTACATTGGTTGCGTATTTGTTGAATATGATCTGTTTAACACTCTTACTTTTATACAAAATTGCATATTTATGAATTTTGTATAAAGGAAATGAGTCTTTGTAACAAACTCAAAGTTTCTAATCCATATATCTTTGCAACCTGATTGTGTAATCTTTTGATATTTCAAACTTAGACTATTAATTTGATATAACAGAAATCATATTTTTGAAATATCTAAGGTCTATAACATTGGGTTAAGTAGATATAAGGATTAGAAAATCAGAGTTTGTGGCAAAGACTCAGTGACACAGTTTTATATTAATTTCTTGAGACAGGAACATCAGATAGATGTCTTGCAGGTATCTTTCAACTCCTGAGATTCTCAGGTTTCTGCCTATATCCCCTTTCATTTTTCCTTTACAGTCCCTTTAATCAATAATCAAATTTTCTTATTTTCAAAAACCAATACGCACATTGGGTCAAACTTGATTTAATTTGAGATATTTAACACGTGTTTTTACTTTAGAAAATGCACGTGTATAAGAAGACCCTGCAGGCCTTGATTTACCCAATCTCCAGCACAACACCACACAACTTCGTTCTTTGGTCAGCAACCTCCCCTACATACTGCTACGAGTGCGAGGGATTGCTCTGGGGGATAGCGAGACAGGTGAAGGGATGGAGAGGTGGAGTTAGGGATAACGGAGAGAAAAGGGAATAGGATGGGTAAAGGGGGGAGTGGATAAATATAGTTGAAAAATGTGGGGGAAAAGGAAGGGGGGTATATTCGAGGGAAGGAAAGGGGGGGATGTATATTCGAGGAAGGGGAAGGAGAGCTTTTTTAGAGGGGAGAGGAAGGAGTTGTTTATTAAAGGGGAAGGGAAGGAGACGTATATTAGAGCGGAGGGGAAGTAGAGGTATATTAGAGGGGAGGGGAAGGAGAGGTATATTTGATGAAAAGGGAAGGAGAGGTATATTAGAAGGGAAGGGAATGAGAGCTATATTAGAAGGGAAGGGATATTGAGGTATTTTAGAGGGGAGAAGAAGAGGTTTATTCAAGAATTTGAATATAATACTCAATTCTTATATTCAGCAGTATTACTGAAACTGAAAAACATATTTTTTAGCTTGTTAATTCAGAGATCATCTGAATATTGGAAATCGTTAAAGAACACGTGATAGGTTGAGGGGATGAGTTAGGACGGATTTGATCAGATGTTTTCAAGGTGGGGTGGGATAAACCTTGGTAGAATAGGTTTAGCAAAGAAGGGAAAGTGAAAGCAGGAGAACATGATGTTAAAAATATATACTTGTTAAAAGTATTCTTCGGCCAGTTTATACTGCAGGATTACTGCAGTACGCACCGAAAGCTTAATTTAGGGTGCTTCGCAATGCAAATAACGCTTGGTTCATTATTGTATATAAAAGTTTATTTGGGAATGAAATGTTGGATGCCCGTGTATACCAACCAAAGTCTGATTTTTCCAAAAAATTATTTGACAAAAACAATACAAAACCAATCATTTTCTGGCGACCGTTTTTTTCTCCTTTGTGGACTTTTTTAAATACTCTAAAGAAAAAATTGGTCGAAATAAAAATTGTACCATTTTTTGTCTACTTTCCTCTTTGACTGATTTATAGAAAAGTAAATAAATTTTATGCTTTAAAATGGATGGATCGTTAACTGATTATATATTCTGTACAGGGAGTGCGGTGTACCGAATGCGGAGTAAAATGTCATGAAAAATGTAAGGATTTACTGAACGCTGACTGTTTGCAAAGTAAGTTATTTTTCTCCAACCTCATACTTTATACATTTTTCATAATCCTTTTATGCACTTAGTGGGTAGATCCTTTCTTCTTTACTCAGTGTTTCTTTATTATATTCCATTTATTCCCAGGGTTTAGAACGGATACATCTCCAGGTATACATCTAAACAGAGATTAAACTGTCCTCCTGTCTTACTCATATAGTTTGAAGGATTCATAGAATACCCAAAGTTAATATATATATCAAGAGTTCGGTAAACGGAATAAAGTCGACCAATTCAGCAATAATGAGTTGACTGAATCTTTTTTTAACTGAATTTCAAACAGAGCATTTTGAATTTTTTTTCATCAGTTTTTAACCAGCTTTCTATATCTATTAACTTTGAAGGTCTAGAGAGTGAGAAAGCAAGTGTTTTTATAAGGAATGCAAAAAGATAATTACATTTTCTTTTGTACGGCACCAATAGGCGCAACTATAAGTTTTTGGAGGAGGGGGGGGGGGGGATTTTTTTTCTTCAAATCAGTTAAATGTGCGATTGTATTTTTGCTTTTTTTTATCCATTCTTTTCAAGTTAAGAATAGAATTTATAGAATAGAAAATTATAGATGATTTTTGACTTAGTCAAATATACTTCATAAGTTACAATTATAATCCAGCGTGAAGCTACTTTCAATAGTAAATAAACTCCAATAACTGATTACTCAAACTCTAACTTTCAATAGTAAAGAAACTGATTACTGATTACTCAAACTCTAACTTTAAATAGTAAAGGAACTGCAATAACTGAAAACTCAAATTCTAACTTACAATAGTAAAGAAACTGCAATTACTGATTACTCAAACTCTAACTTTCAATAGTAAAGAAACTGATTACTCAAACTCTAACTGTCAAATCCCGCAAACGACCGAAAAGATATGAAGATTGAAATTTTAGTGTTTGAGGAGAGTAATCAGTTCCATTGTAATGCGATTGGACGTAAATTGATATTTTAAGCATAATAAGAATTGAAAAATACTTAAAAACGAATCTCATCAATATAATTAAGTTTTAAGAAATTGATTTTCCATTTTCTTAAAACGATTGGAAGCTATAGCGATTGGAAGCTAGTGATTGAAGGCTAACGATTAGAAACTAGCGATTGGAAGTTAGCGATTGGCCCTTTTGAGACAGTTCCTAGTTAAATAGAGCTTTTTTTATTCATCCAATATATATAGTAATAGCTGGAGTTCCCAACGTTGCCCGTGGAGTTTAAAAAAAATCAACTTTTGAATTTATTAGCCTATGTTTCCATCTGCAGGTATCCATGGGTTTCTTATAATAATTCAGCCAATTTGGTCCAGCCGTTTGACCAGCTATAGCTGACAAATATTTATGTATATGAGCAAAGAGCGTTATTATATAGATTTACTAATCTTTCGAAAAACCTTAAATTGCAAATGAGAGGGGAGGATATATATTTATAGATTAAGACTTTCCAATCTNTTCTAGATAATGTAGGAAATTCATTCTAATTGCATGGTATAGGTTTAATTAGAAAACATTTTCGTCCCGCTAGAAAACAATTTGACAATTGATGTATTATGAAAATTTATTGTCATTTATCATGGCAAACTTTACTATAAACAATTTAAAACAATAATACTATGCATTAGCTGTTAATGATTTAGAACTTATTGTACAAAACATAGAAATTATAGGAATAGATCAATAGATCAATGGATCAAACGTTTCAGAACATTGTTTTTAACCATGAATATAGAGTTGTATTGTTTCTGCAAATAGCATGAATCATGAATCAAAGCATGTATTTTGAAATTACGACCATTGTGTTATTAACTAAAATTATTAACATAAAGTTAGGTAAATCGCACACATTTTTTAATCCCTAGCATTCTTTTGAAGAAAATGTTCGGTAAATTTGATATAATAGGTAAATTTCTAATAATCAAATATTAACTTTGTTCATTCTATTATAAATTTAGTTTCTTTCCAATGCCCTTGCTTCATATTTCAAATATAATGTTTTGTCAAAATTTGACATTAATCTGAAAAGAAAAATATAGTTTTGAGGAAATGAAAATCAGTTTAAGAAGAATTCTAAAATAGAAAATTTTTTTATTCTGTTTCAGAATATTAAATTCCTCCAGAAATAAAACTAGAATTCATTAAAACATTCAACTAAATCTTTTACTATTTATTTTATTCTATTTATTAATTAGACAAAAAATCCATCATTGGAACTCAATTATAAACCCTTCGGCTTTATTTTTAAAGGGTTTAAATTTCCTTTTCCCATCAAGATGTCAAACGCTTTTTACAAGTCCATTTTTGTAATTACTTAAACCGTCAGAGCTTGACAAACAGGTCTACTGTCAATCAATCCTTCTCATTTAATTATTCTAAATCAAGATAGGATATCACGATACAATCACATGTCCGTATTTATCTATTTATTTTTTATATCAGTCTGAAAATGATCCAGTATACTAAGTAAAAACCAAAAGTATGTAACAAAGAATATAAACAGTTAATGTTTATTTGGTGTATTTGATGTTATTAGACACTTATTAACTCACTAATTTAGTGAAATGGGCCTGTTTCCATTGAAAAATTGCTGTGTCTCATGCTTATTGGACTTTTTAAAGTTATAACTTGAGTCTAAAAGTCGTCTTCCTATTTAAGAGTTTTCTGGTTCTGACTATAGATGAATAGAAGTAAATAATTTAAGAATGTAAGGCACAGCTCTTGTGAAGAACCTGGAATATTTATAATAACGGATTCAATATTCAAATCACGAAACCATATCCTCCCCCTCCCTTCCTTCCACTTCAAAACTTAGAGAAAACTAGTTCCGAAAAAGAATTCAGCTTTTACATTATACAATCTTCTCATCTAACGCACGCAGTAATGTATTCAATTTCGATCCCGTTTTCAAATAATAATAGTAGTTTTTATATCGTTCTTTTTTAATTTGCTTTGATTGTGAAATTAATTATTTAATTGTTTACATTTTATATTAAAGTTCTTTCCTTTTTAAAGAGATCAAAGTCTTTTTTAATGTTAATTCATTTAAACTTTTATAAAAACTTAATTAAGAATATATTAAAGTCATCTTTGTGTTGAAATGTAGTATATTGAGAAATTAAAATCTTGAAATTTTTATCAAGCGACAAATCATGGTTAGGAAAGCATATGTGAAATACCATTTATAGAAATATGAAGTACACATTCGGATATATATATATTGAGGAGACAGCTTTTAACTATTAGAAATTTTAGTTATCCCTGCAGGATTTGATTACCACGGGATTTCCAAAAGGAATCTAATTATTCCATAGGTCTAGATGAGATGAAGACCAATGCTTTATCCCGAGATTTAAAGAAAGATTTAAAATTGTGTGTTGATGATGGACCAAACCTCATAGAGTCAATAAAGTAGATGTTAATAGATGCACATTTTATTCAAAATATATTCGGTCAGGGTTGACCCTCGACAGTTCTTGAGATTGTTTCTGTCATGAAGATTCCACTAAAGTTTCATTTAAGACTGATAACTTAGTTAAATCGAAAAATAATTTAGATAAAGAATTTACTTGTACTCAGCAATTATAGATCTTATTCACACATTATTGGTGTGAAGTAAATTCAATTTTTTTATTCTACATAACTCGCGCTTTTACTATTGCAAACCTTCTGTGCAACAACAACAACAAATAAAGATTAAATAATACATTTTTAGAATTACTAAATTATTTAATTGATTAATTTCAGGGGCTGCTGAGAAGAGCAGCAAGCATGGAGCAGACGACAAGGCCAACACGATCATCATTGCCATGAAGGAGAGGATGAAGGACAGGGAGAAGGACCGGCCCGAGATATTTGAGCTAATCAGGTTAGTCATCTGAACTTTAGTTTAAATCTAATTTCCATGTGTTTTGGAACGAACTTCAAATAAATAAGAAAAATAAAATAGTGTTGATATTAATACCAAAAGCTTGAGAAAAAAGCTTTTGTCACAAACTCAAATGTTCTAATCCCTGTATTATTGCAACCTGATTTTGTAACCATGTTCATGGTTTGAAATATCACAGATTTAAATCATCAGAATGTAAAAATGTAGGAATTAGAAAATAAGAGTTTGAGGCGAGTGTTCACTTCCTTCATATATGAACTGATGAACTGTAAAAAAAACAATTTCTTTTAAAAAGAATCATTATTTTACATAACTTTTTTGGGAAATAGTATTTACGTTTTTATCGATACGACAGATTAACTTAAAGGCTTTTATTTGTTAGGAATACCTTTAACATAACACTGGATATTCATCGTCGATATTTGGAAATAACAAGAGCCCTAGTTTTAGAGGGAACCAGCAAATGGTCCGCTAAAATTGCAATAAAAGGTCAACCTCCTTGGTGGGGTCTCAATGTCAATGTTATGTGGTAGTGGTGTTGTTGTACAGTGTTGTTTATATTATTGCCGCCCCCCCCCCCGCGGGGAAAAATAAAACTCTGCCAACTTCCCTACTTGTAGTACAATACAATTCATCAATAGTCTCATCAAAAACCATTGAAAGGAAATACTTTGTAAATCTAATATTTGAAAGAAAATATTTGTTTACTTTGATAACTCAGTCTGAAACCACATTCAGTAAATAGTGAGAAGTATATAGTTGAACCACGAAGACATAGTTAAACTACTTCTCGCTATTGATTAAATTTGGGCCTCGTGTTGTAAAAATAAATGTAATGTTGTTGTTAATAAGGGATGGATCGGATTGTTTATAAATTATAACTACAATCCGCTCCATTCCTGGATATTCTCCACTGTACACAAAACCAGAAAATCGACCAAATTGTTCCCGCCAAATCTAAACGTGTGTACGTGTACAGTGTTGTTAAATGTTGCACGGTAGGACTGTGTTCTGTGTGGACCCAGGAGAGCATAGCACTCAGCTGGAGGCAGGAGAGCAGGCGGTACTAGAGGGTACTAGCAAATGGGAGTGCAAGGTCCAGGTTACAGGTAATTCATGGAGTACATGGAATACAAATAGTTGTCTATACTGTACATTGTACATATTATTTGTTTATAACTATCTTCTGTAAAAAAAAACTTCTCTAAAGTCGTGCATTAGCATATTTGTAATATGCAATATATACGTTTTATATGTTCTTTAAAAAGAATTTTGTTTTAAGAAGTGAGTCTCTAAAAAGTATTTTTATTCATGAGAGAACAAAAAGTGTTATCATGATTTTAAAGTGTCAAAAGTTCAGTAATTTGGATGACAGAGTCTTTATTTTTGTGAGTAAATGGGATATAAACTTTTCTAACTAACGGAATTGGTGTTGCTTAACTAGTTAATTATTGTTTCTTATTGTTAAAAGTAACCTATAAACAACAGGAACAAAAATTCTTTATTTAAGATTTTTCGAAAAGGAAATGTTATTTTTCAGATCATCGAGTTCTTTAAATAGTAAAAGTTGCTCAGAAGCTAAGATCTAACCTTTTAAATTTTCTTTTTCGCAAGATGAAGTTGTCTGTTTTTTGTTTTATAATTTTTTACAGAAGTTTCCCTGAAGAAAAATTTCCATTCGTGAATTAAAAAAAAGAAAAAGTGAAACTTTTTGTTCTGTTAAAAATATTTAAAGAGTTAATTTTTTTTTCAACTTCAAGAACTGTATTATTTAAAATCTAAAAACTTTAAATATTCCGTTCAAACCTTAAATTAACTTTAATTCATTTGTATTATCTTTAGGCAATATTCTGCCTTTTAAATTTCTCAATGAATAAAACCCAGTGTAATTTATAAAGATATACAAAATTATTTTTTATAACTTATTTGCTGTCAAAAATTCCCATTTCAACACCTTAAAGAAAAACTTTCTTACTTATCTTTTTGTGCGGTTACATTTAATGTTCAGCTCAAAAGGGAAATTCTTTATGTGCGGTTACATTTAAGGTTCAGCTCAAAAGGGAAATTCTTTTTGTGCAGTTACATTTAATGTTCAGCTCAAAAGGGAAATTCTTTTTGTGGAGTTACATTTAAGGTTCAACTAAAAAGGGAAATACAAAGAGTAAAAAAAAAAGAATTTGATTTCCCTCGATTTAAGTTTATTAAATGTTTCATGTTGTTTGGTTGTTAAACTGTTTAATATTATTAACCTGTCAACGCTATATCAACAGTAACCAGGCCGGATAATCCATATCCTTCACGAGGGGCGTATAGGAGCTCGCCAATATAAACGCGTACTACGCCCATACTACAGCATCAACAAACGTGTCCGCTAGTGATAGATTTGCGGCATCAAACTTCGGGGTATAATGGCCTGGTTTATTTTATTTAATACCTGACAGGCCTGGTTTATTTTATTTAATACCTGAGGGGATATAGGATCTGAGCCCCGCCCCCTTGTGGAAAAGTACAAACCTAGATTACTGTGCACTGTAAGCACTGTAGTGTAAACTCCGTTTCGAGTACTGGATTGACTTCAACAAAGCTAATTGTACAGTACACAAAACGGGACAAGTGGGTGCGGGTGAGCTTCTGAAAAGTTTAATTTATTAGCTCGTATATACGCCCCTGTCCTTCACTGCTGTCCAATTATTTACTGTTTTCAATTACAATTTTAGAAAATATTATATTTTAGTGGTTTGCGCCCAGGGGTTGATTGCCAAGGATAAAACAGGAACTAGTGACCCCTATGTCACGGTTCAGGTTGGAAAAGCTAAGAAGAGAACCAAAACTGTTCCGCAAGAACTCAACCCAGAATGGAACGAAAAATTTTCATTGTAAGTATGCCACTCTCAATGAAACTAAACACTTGCCACGAACTCTAATTTTCCATTTCTATATCTTTGCAACCTAATGGTGGAACCCTTATATTTCAATTTCAAACTATTTGATCAAACAGAATGCATAGTTTGAGGTGGGGAAGAGAAAGAGATTAGAAAATTGGAATTTGTTACGAGGTTCTAGTTCATTTCGGGTTCAAGGGAATAAATATTTTACTGAATAGATTCACAAAGCGATTGTTATTATCTCCATACCCCCCCCCCCATTTAACTTTATAAACTTTAAACAATGAATGGAGTCTTTGCCACAAACTCAAATTCTCTATTATCTTTATCTTTGCAACCTGATGGTGTAAAATTTTGATATTTTGAACTTTAATTACTTGAGAGAATAGAATTCGTAGTTTGAAAAAGTCTACGCCATTGAGCTGCAAAGATATTGGGATTAGAAAAGACTCAGTTCTTAGTGCGCTAAAACTTTGAGATATAAAGTATTTTTTCAGTGAATGCCATAATTCGAGTGACCGGATCAAGGTGCGAGTTTGGGACGAGGATAACGATCTAAAGTCTCGACTCCGACAGAAACTAACTCGAGAATCTGATGATTTCCTGGGACAAACAATTATTGAGGTTAGTTCTAGACATCATTATACTTTTATAGTTTCTTTTTTATTAGTCTCAGAACATAATTCCGACCATCACACGTGCTTTTGGCGGTACAGTCCAAACTAGGACTGCAAAGGTTGACCCAGCTCGGATATTCAAATATAATCGTGCGTGACTACAGCAGAAAAACAAATGATATTGTGAAACAGCCATACTTTAATTAAACTTATTTTATTTTCTTCTTTTTTAAAACGAAGTTAAACTCTAATTTATCAGCGTTCGTACACTTTCTTTAATATTGCGAAAGAAATGTTTTCCTGTTTACTCCGTCCTAACCTCAAACCATGTCCAGGTCCGAACCCTGTCTGGAGAGATGGATGTTTGGTACCACCTGGAGAAGAGATCAGACCGTAGTTCTGTCTCTGGTTCTATCCGGTTACAGATTAGTGTAGAGATCAAAGGAGAAGAACAGGTACTTTAATAGAGCTAAATATGTACGGGCTGTTTAGGAATAAACTCTTTTAATCAGACAAACCAGACAATCACTTTACTAGAGCTAAATATGTGCGGATTGTTTAGGAATAAACTCCTTTAATCAAACAAACCATACAATCACTTTACTAGAGCTAAATATGTACGGGCTGTTTAGGAATAAACTCCTTTAATCAGACAAACCTTACAATCTATGCTATTCTCAACTTTTATCTCTAAAATTTTTTTTTTCTTAAATATGGGTTCCACGCATATTTTAGGTACCGGTTTTTATCCCAGAGAACTGTGACTTGTGATCCCAGTTTGGCCTATTAAACGTAAATTTTTTCATTTTTTCCCTTTTTCCTTTTTTTTGTCAGCATATGCGTTTTTAACGCAAAAGTAAAAATTGACAACTCCGCCGCAAATTTTAAGATTGTTTAATTATAGACCAACACGTGATTGAATTCAAATAGAAGAAACCGAAAGCATGTCTCGCTCCGGTTAGTTCGGGGTGGTTCGAGAGAAAAGAACTCGCTGGCTGTTACAATAAAATTATCTTTTTTCCTCTAAACTTTCTCCAAACCAAGCTACTAATGCAAGGAAAGTTTATTGCGGTCGCTTATACTCTGAGTCCATATTGAAACCAGTTCTCTCTGGGCGGACTTTGAAAACTAGAATAGATGCATCAGTGTTCGTTTAGTATCCTAGGAGGTTAAAAGCATTTGATTTTCATAATTTTGAAAATTTACGTAATAGTTTCCTTTGATCAGAGTATTTCATAGATTATTTTTGAGAAAATGGATTCCATGTCAGGCTGTGACATCTGTCTGGTGTTTACTTTTCCGCCCAAAGACAGTACAAAAAATGTGTACACCTCTGAAATAACTTTCCTAGCATTAGTACCTTGCTCCAAGCTAGGAATTTTACATTCTTGAAATATTCAATTCAATTTTAAAATGAAAACATATTCTTGTCAAGAAAGGTTCAGCTCCTGTTTTTCTTCCTAGAAAGTCCTAATATAGAACGTGCTACTTCTTTGTAAAATTTATGTGACATCCTGAAGCTTTATCCGAGAATAATTTATTTTATTTAATACCTGACATGCCTGGTTTATTTTATATAATACCTGACATGCCTGGTTTATTTTATTTAATACCTGACAGGCCTGGTTTATTTTATTTAATACCTGACAGGCCTGGTTTATTTTATTTAATACCTGACAAGCCTGGTTTATTTTATATAATACCTGACATGCCTGGTTTATTTTATTTAATACCTGACAGGCCTGGTTTATTTTATTTAATACCTGACAGGCCTGGTTTATTTTATTTAATACCTGACAGGNGACATCTGTCTGGTGTTTACTTTTCCGCCCAAAGACAGTACAAAAAATGTGTACACCTCTGAAATAACTTTCCTAGCATTAGTACCTTGCTCCAAGCTAGGAATTTTACATTCTTGAAATATTCAATTCAATTTTAAAATGAAAACATATTCTTGTCAAGAAAGGTTCAGCTCCTGTTTTTCTTCCTAGAAAGTCCTAATATAGAACGTGCTACTTCTTTGTAAAATTTATGTGACATCCTGAAGCTTTATCCGAGAATAATTTATTTTATTTAATACCTGACAAGCCTGGTTTATTTTATATAATACCTGACATGCCTGGTTTATTTTATTTAATACCTGACAGGCCTGGTTTATTTTATTTAATACCTGACAGGCCTGGTTTAATTTCCCATCCTGCTGTATCACTGTTGGTGTACATGGATACAGAGTGTTATTAAAAGGTTGCATACTTTTTCAAGAGACTTGATCGAGTTTAAACTGTCGCCACGCCTTAAACTTTATTTTCAACTCACCAACTCACTTATACTTTTGTGTAGCCTGTTAATGACTATAAATCACTTGCTTTCAGTTTTAGTTTTTAAGAAGTAATTTGTAAAGTTCTATTCGACTTCTACGTGAGAGCTTGCTTCCTTTGGATCCCTGTGGGATAATCTATACATTTATCTAAACTGATCTATTCTGGATAAACCCTATCTTTAACCTAATCCTTTATACATGTAAATACAAATATATAAATACATTTAATATACATTATACATTATACTATGGTACTATACTCACAGTGTAGTACCAAAGTGACTGCCGCGAGAATTGGGGGGTCCACATGGCCATACCCCCCCCCGCCCCCCCCCCCCTAGTTTAGGGCCTGGTCTAGGAAGTACTTATTTAAAAATATAATAATAGTATACAGTATTTTTCAAATCTAAGTTTTAAGAAACCATGTCAAAGAATTTTATCTCCGAAGTAACATAAAGATAGCATATAACATATTACTAGCTATATATATATATATACATATATATATATATATAATTGTTAAGATATTGTATTGTTTTGTCTGATAAATAAATCCATTAATTTTATAATTCTGATAAGATTATTAGATCTCTTACTATTGTGTTTAACTAATTCTTTCATATATTTATCTGTTTTGTACATATCTCATTTAGGCAGTACACTCTTTTAGTACACCAGTACTTATTCTACATTGTACTATTCAGGTTTCTCCGTACCACTCTCAGTACACCAGTACTAATTCTACATTGTAATTATCATGATGTACTATTTAGGGTGCTCCGTACCACTCTCAGTACATCAGTACTTATTCTACGTTGTACTTATCATGATGTACTATTTAGGGTGCCAGTACTTATTCTACGTTGTACTTATCATGATGTACTATTTAGGGTGCTTCGTACCACTCTCAGTACATCAGTACTTATTCTACGTTGTACTTATCATGATGAACTATTCAGGTTGCTCCGTACCACTCTCAGTACACCTGCTTGCACGAAAACCTGTTCCACTACCTGTGTGAGAAGAATGGTGGTGAGGTGATCCTACCTGAAGCCAAGGGAGAGGAGAGCTGGAAGGTTTATTTTGATCCTCCTGCCCAGGATATAGTAGATGAGTTCGCTCTTAGATACGGGATAGAGTCTATCTATCAAGCTATGACGTAAGTATACATTTTTAGGCATGATTGCATAATTTAATTTTCTTGCGATTCAACCTAGCAAATTGAGTTTTTGCCTCAAACTGTAATTTTCTAATCCCTACATCTTTGCAACCCAATGTCGTAGACCTAAGATATTTTTATTATGAATTCTGTTAGATCAAATAGTTTAAGTTTGAAATTTCAAAGGTTTACACCACCAGGTTGTAAAGATTAGATTTGTGGGGCAGATTCCATTCCTGTTCTTAATATCTATGTATATTGTTAATTTCACCACTAACTCTGCCCCCTCCTCTTCTGAAAACTTCACAATCTGCAGAAACCCTTTATTTACCCTGCAAACAAGAATCAAACAGTTGCAAAAATGCACTTTCTTAAATCAAGCGACATTTTCAAACAAAAACTGAAAAGTTTAAAACTTTTTTTTCAGGCATTTTAACTGTCTGTCCACGAAGTACCTGTGTGCCTGCGTACCGGCCAGTATGTCGACCCTGCTCGCCAATATAAACGCGTACTACGCCCATACTACAGCATCAACAAACGTGTCCGCTAGTGATAGATTTGCGGCATCAAACTTCGGGGTATAATATAATAATAATAATAATAATAATAATAATAATAATAATAATAATAATAATAATAATAGAAATAAAAATATATTTGTTTGTTTACAGAAAGACCGGTTTATCCGTCTACTTGATACCCTACATAACTCCCTACGGATTGATTTATCTATGTACAGAAACAATTTCCCAGCCAGCTCACAGGTATACTACATCTCAATCTATGTAAGAAAGTCCCGGGAAAAAAATTCAGAAAAAAATTGGAAAAAAGTCCGAATTTTCTCAAGTCGTTGGAAAAAATGTCACTGGAACACAGAACTTTATCTGTGTTTTTGATTCCTGGTACTTTTTTTCCTAAAATAGTACGGTACTAAATCTATACAGTGTACACTGTACAGTTACTAAATCTATACAGTGTACAGTGTACAGTCAAGAGATCTAACCAGAGTACAGTGTACAGTTACCTGATGGGGTGTAAACCTTTGATATTTCAAACTTTGACTATTTGATCTATCACAATTTTAAAGTCTGAAATTTCAAAGGTCTACGCACAACATGAGGTTGCATAGACAAAAGAAGATTTATAAATTTAGAGTCTGTAGCAAGTATTCAGTTTCTTCAAAACGAAAGAAGATCTTTTAATGATTTTTATTGGGAGCAATTGAGTGATTTAGTCAATTACCTTAAAAATTACAAAAGAAGATAATTATTTCGCCGAATTGAATAAATTTTATCAGAATATGGTGAATTTGGCTTTCGTATTTTCCAGTATTTTCTCCACATCTTGTTTAACTCCAATCCTGTAATATCACCGGGTTTGGTTTAACTGCAATCCTATAATATCTCCGGGTGTGGTTCTACTCCAATCCTATTATATCTCCGGGTTTAGTTTAACTCCAATCCTATAATATCTCCTGGTTTGGTATAGCTCCAATTCTGTAATATCACAGGGCTTGGTTTAACTCCAATCCTATAATATCTCCGGGATTGGTTTAACTCCAATCTTATAATATCTCCGGGGTTGGTTAAACTCCAATCCTATAATATCTCCGGGTTTGGGTGAACTCCAATCATATAATATCTCCGGGTTTGCTTTAACTCTAATCCCATAATATCTCCGGGGTTGGTTTAACTCCAATCCTATAGTATCTCCGGGTGTGGTTCAACTCCAATCCTATAATATCACAGGGCTTGGTTTAACTCCAATCCTATAATATCTCCGGGTTTGGTTTAACTCCAATCCTGTAATTTCTCCTGGTTTGGTTTTATTCAAACCCTGATTTTTTTTCTCCGGGGTTGGTTTAACTCCAATTCTATTTGTTCTCCGGGTTTGGTTTAACTAACTCTAGAATAATTATTTTATTATTTTAGGAGAAACTACAAGATCTAAAGGCAACTGTGGATCTACTTACATCAATTACATTCTTCAGGATGAAGGTTCGTAGAGAAAAACAGGGAAAGGGAGAAGGCCCCGGGAATACGGGGAGGGGTAGGGGAATGGGGGTGGGGTAATGGTAAAGGAGGAGGGGGAATACAAGTTTATACATATAGAAAGAGAGAGATTTAGTATCATCTCTCAACTAAGAGAGAACCATGAGCGTAGAGGACGGACATATTTATTCATACACTATAGTTGTACAGCAGAAAATAAAGACTTTTCATAACAGAAGAAATATTTTAACCGGAAAAATTTTCGGAAATAAAATTGTTGCAGATTTTGTGAGCAATGTTTATCTGTTTAGAAATGAAATAAAAATAAAAAAAAAATAATTTAACACCAAGATAACATGGGTGAAAATATAAAGAAATGGTCACCAGTCCAGGTAAAGGGTGTTCGGAGTTGGAAAGCCAACAGCCCCAATTTTTCAAAAAAGTTTTAGGAACGAATAATTTTTTTAATGTTTTCTAGCAAAGAGAAAAAATAATCTCGATGTTTGTGTACTAAACAAAAACAAGCTTTTGGGATAAAAACAATAAAAAATTGAAGCCTTACTTTATTTAAGAAAGATTAAATATCTGTTTGTTTTTTATCTGGCAAAACAAAAACAGATTTAGAATATTTAAATATTAAACCAACAGCTTTCTAAAGATAAATGAAAAATGTTAAGTGAGAATCAGAATTAATATTGTTCAATTTAATTTATAAATCTTTGGCGATATTTTATATCTAACAGATTTTGGTTCTCCTATTGTATGCTAGATTATTTGAAGATAACTGAAAGGAAATATTTATAGATTATCCTTTTTAAGAGATCAAACCCCAATGCTAGGCAGGAGGGGGGGGGNGTATTTCTTTTACAACTCACTAAAAGAACTTTTATGAGCCAAGTCCCATATAGAAGTATGGTCTATAAAACTATTCTAACTTCTAAATGATAATTTTTACCATATTTTCCACTATTAATTTATAAAACCTTGCTTTAAATAATTCTTTTAATCACTTTTTCTTTCCTTTTTTAACTTATACACCTTGTTTTTTTAATTTTAAGCTGTTCAAAAAACAGTTCCACTTACCATACCAATATATTTAACTAAAGGAATTAAGTCTTTGCCACAAACTTTGATTTTTAATTCCCTATCTCTTTGCAACCCAAAGTCGTATACCTTTGATATTTCAAACAATGAATTCTGTTAACTCAAATAATATAAGTTCTCTCCCACCCGCTTCAGTGAAAACTTTGTATATTGTAAATAAAAGCAAACTTGTTGGGAGCAATATGCTAAACTTAACTTATTCTAAAGAATGTCTAATGTTTAAAAACATGGATCAAATAGGCCTATAGGTTATCCGATAAATACTTTCATGTTCACAAATCTTGAAATATGTTCCTCATTACTATATATTAACCAATGGAGCTACAGTGAGAACAAGAAAACTCTGGAATAGGAAGACGACTTTAAACCTTAAATTAAGGGTTTAAATAGTTCAATGAACTTTAACTTACAGCAAACCTTTTTCTTTGGAATTAGCATCAAATACTCTTAATTATAACTTGAATTTTATCTTCCTTGATTCTCACTGTAGAATAGTGTTAGCACAACAGAATGGTGCCACTAAACTTTAAACTAATATTAAACCAACATTACGAACGAATTCAAAAATTTAATAAGAAGAGAAGAAAGGAAATTATGGTAAGAAGAAAGGGAAAGGGGGGGGGCAGCCGATGAAGGTTTGGAAGAAGTACAAGGCATAGAAATTGAAAAGGAGGAGAAATGGAAAGGAATTAGTGGAGGAAGTATAAGAAGAGAAGGATGATAATAGAGGGAAGGAAGTAAGAAAGGAAGGGATGTAAGAAGGAGGAGAAGTATAAAAGAATAAGGGAAATGGAAATGAAAGTAAGAAAGATTTGAAGGAAAGCTACAGAAGAAGTAGGAAAGGAAAAGGTACGGAGGAAGGGAAGTAAGAAGTAAAGGAAGAGAAGAGGTAGAAGAAGTAGGAAAGGAAAAGGAACGGAGGAAGGGAAGTAAGATGTAAAGGAAGGGAAGAAGTAGAAGAAGTAGGAAAGGAAAAGGAACGGTGGAAGGGAATTGTAAGAAGTAAAGGAAGGGAAGAAGTAGAAATAGAAAAAGTAGAACAGGAAAATGAACAATAAAAGGAAAGTAGAAGTAGAAAAAGTAGAAAAGGAAAAGAAACGAAATAAGGAAAGTTAGAAGTAATAGAAGGGAAGAAGTAGAAATAGAAGACACAAAAGAACGAGGAAAGAGGGTTAAGAAGTAAAAAGAAAGAGAAGTTGAAAAGGAAAAGTAGCGAGGGAAGGGAAGGAAGAAAGGTGAGAAAGATGTGGGAAGTAAAAATGAGAATATGTAATTTTGGAACTTTGTAGGGAGAAAGGATTAAAGGTATAAGGATTTAGCAGAATTGAACGATTAGATAGGCTAGAATGTTAATAAGACACACCCACACATCCGATTTATTTGCATACACCCCATTTGTCAACTAACTAACGATATAAAGTGATTTTTTATTTGTGTATATTCTAATAATCATTACCCAATATCTAGTTTCTGCTTCTACTAAAAGTTTGATGAAAAAAAGTTAACGAAAATGATTGGAACAAATGAGAAGAAATCAATCAGCACTCAGCAGAAAATAGAGATTTGTATAAAGTTGAAGGATAAAGATGGATATGGAAGCTGACGTTAGCTGGATAAAATTGTAAAGAGTTGCCCTGGGAAACTATTTAATTTAGAAAAGTATTGAAAATATAAAATTTTTCATCCAGAAGATGTTTTAACAACAGTGTAACATTTTCACATTAAATCTACAATCATTTTACATTTTCATTTTAACTCTAAAACTTTTCTTTAGATTTTCCTTTTCCTTTTGGTTTTGATCGATATGATATTTTTACTAATTTTGCTTTACACGTTTCTCCCTTTAATCATAAGAAATGGTAAGGTTAAATATATTCTAATATTTATAATGTACCATAAGGGTGGAAGAAGGGGGGGGGAGGGGGAGCTACGAGGAGAGATTTTAGATATCTTGTTTTTTCTTACATGTTGATTCACAATGGTGCCTTTAAAAGCTTTTTTTGATTATGAATGAATGACATATCTTTATAGTTTATACTTTAAAAATTTATTATTTTCTATTGTGGGGTCTCTACTAAAGTGAATTGCGGATTTCTGCTACAGAAACAGTGAAGTAAAATTTTGGAATTAACACTTTCCAGCTAGAAAAACAACTATATCATACATATTTTTGATCAATAAAAGGTTTAAGGATATCACTGTGAATCTGGAGTATGCTTTAAGTTACAACTAAACTCCCTTTAATTGACTGAATAATACAGGTTCAAGAACTAACATCTCCTCCCAGAGCTAGCACCGTGGTCAAGGATTGTGTGAAAGCCTGTTTACGGTCAACTTATCAGTTCCTATTTGAGAATTGTTACGAGCTCTATAACAGGGAGTTCCAGGTATACAAGGATATAAAACCAACTTATCAGTCCCTATTTGAGAACTGTTACGAGCTCTATAACAAGGAGTTCCAGGTATACAAGGATATAAAACCAACCCAACTTATCAGTCCCTATTTGAGAACTGTTACGAGCTCTATAACAGGGAGTTCCAGGTATACAAGGATATAAAACCAACCCAACTTATCAGTTCCCTATTTGGAACTGTTACGAGCTCTATAAAAAGGAGTTCCAGGTATACAAGGATATACAACCAACTTATCAGTCCCTATTTGAGAACTGTTACGAGCTCTATAACAAGGAGTTCCAGGTATACAAGGATATAAAACCAACCCAGCTTATCAGTCCCTATTTGAGAACTGTTACGAGATTTATAACAGGGAGTATACAAGAATATAAAACCAACCCAACGGATCGTTATAATCATAACAGGAAGTTCCAGGTATACAAAGCTATTAAACCAATCCCAAATTATTGTGTGCCTATATATCGAAGATTATTTTTTACCCGGTAAACTCTAAAATTATCCGAAGGTTCGGCGCAATGGTTACAACATAACCTTAATTTAAACTTACCAGCTATTCGAGGGGTTGTATTTTTCCTTTAGATAGATTTTTAAAGTTTGAGCCGCAGCGTTCACCTGTTCACAATCTTTGAATGTAATTAGAAGTACACTAGCATCTCATAACCAAAACCTACAGGGTGTCCCACGAAACATGACAGTATGCAGGACGACTTGAATGTCGTCTTGATTTTTGATATAATATGCTGCGCTTATTTGTCAACCTAATTTTAGAAGTAAATTTCTAGTGATAATAATCACAAAATTTCCCTTGTCCTGCCATTTCCAAAATGTGGTCTGCCTTTTTTGTGCTTTCAATATTGCCCGAGATATGAAGAATTTCGTTCAGATTTCGACAATTTTGCTTTTATCTAACAAAATTAAAAACTGAACCAAACTCTTTATATCTCCGGTAATATTGAAGCACAAAAAAAGCAGACCACTTTTTGGAAATACCAGGGCTAGGAGAATTATGTGATAATTGTTTCAAGAATCATACATGTGAAAGTAGATAGAAGACTAAATGTCACAAATAAATTCAAATACCAAAGACGACTTTCAAGTCGTCTTCCTATTGTCATGTTTCGTGGGACACCCTGTATATTAGTTGAATTACTTGTGATTTAAATAATCTTTTTAGAAAGCTATGCAAGTTTTTATACACAGATAAAACTCCAAAATACTGGAATGTACATAGAATTCTAGAACATAGAATAATATATTTATTATAAATTAAACCTACTTGAGGTTGATCCTAACGAGGCTAAACGAGACGCCGAGGACACTGGACCGAGGCTGGACGACCTTGAATTCTGGCACAAGTTGATCGCCCTCATAACCTCCGTGGTGGAGGAGGACAAGAACTCCTACGGACCCGTCCTCAACCAGTTCCCTCAGGAGCTCAATATAGGACAGGTAAATAATACATCCATCCCTGGAAAGCTGCGGGGTTATTCCCCTTGGAAAACTCAACTATCAACGTAGTTGTAAGGAATCCTTCAAACCAAGGGTACCGTCAACGAATCACTAATATATCATCTAATATTCAATGAAGAAGATTTTCACGGTTTTCTCACTTAAAATTAATGGAAAGAAAATTACACCGGGTTGGGTTATTATTTAAATTCAAGATTGTCTAGTTGATGTATAAAGAAAAAAAACTAAAGAAACAATTTCTTTAATGAATATTTTAAAGAAAATTTTCATAAACCTTCCTCATGAGCAATCTAATTCAGCAGTTTGTTTACGATATGTTGAAAGTATTAGAACGAGGGGGAGGGACTAGGCTTTTTTTTAAATTGAAAAATATTGTGAATTTAAAATACAGTTTATTTCAAATTATTTGTTTTTGATTTATTATTTCCCCGTTCATTTTTCAAATTTTGAAATATTTTGATGTTTTAAATCCAAAAGTGACATTTTTAATCTGAAATTTTAGTCAACTATTCACAAACTTGAATGTTTTTTTTGCTGCAAAAAATCCCCCTGTCAATTTAACATCAAAGCTAATCGAACATGGAACAAAAGTAATGAAAATTTTAATTTTCTAAAATATTTGTTGCCAAAATGTTGATATTTTCTGAAATATTAAAATATTGGAATTTTTTCTATTTTTGTATAAATTTTTCAATAGACATTCTTGTGAAATAATATTTTCTGGATAAACTTTAGAGGGTGGGGGGAGGAGGCTGTTCTGGGTGGGTGGGGGGGGGGGAAGCTGTTCTTTACTTTTAATTAACTTAAATTGAGAAAGGTTTCAGTGATTTAAATTAAAGGGACTGTTTGCCAATTTTTATTTTGTTCCTGTTCAGCTTTCCGCATCTACGATCTGGGCCCTGTTTGCTACTGACATGAAGTACGCTCTGGAGGAACATGAGCAGCATAGACTTTGTAAATCATCAACATACCTCAACTGCCATTTCAGGTAAAATAGAAACTGAGAATTCGATATTAAAGGATCTGTTAGCGTAAATTCAAGTGAACCTCCAAGCTAAGATTTAAAACGGTACCCTGGACACCCTTTATAGGGTCAAAATTGTGGAAGACATTGTCGATTTTTCGGGTTTAAACTTTTTAACTGTGATAACTCCTACACATTTTCCTGCAGTAGAAATTTTCATGTCACAATTATAAACATTGATATCTAACTTATACTTGATTAGACCAAGCTTTTAAGGGTACCGTTGTAAATCAGGCAATGCTTTCTTTGCAAAAATAATGATAACTCTCTCTTTAATGTCCCCTCCCTCCCCCCACGAACCCTAAAAATACTACTGACTGGGAAACAGGAAAGGCAAAGAGATCGAGTCAGTTTTAAAAAGCTTTAAAAAAAGACTGGGTCGACTTTAAAGTGTCGCAACCAAAGAGAATAGATTATAAATAGAGAGGAATTTACTCGATAAAAGTGTAATTTTGTTGTACTATTTCCATATAATCTATTTATTCTCTTTGGTCGCCTTGGCCTTTAATTTTCCTCAGGGAATAGGAATAAAGGGAAGGGAAATGGCGCTGGTCTGGCATGAGAAAGTCAGTCGCACTGCTTTGCAGACGAGTTCGTTATTCTCCATCGATTGATCTATGCGAGCTTTCAACCTTTGGATCACTGTTAAGGCAGAGAATATGTTTGGGTTTGTAGAATGTAGATTATGCAATAAAAGAGTCGATAATCATTCCACAATTTTCTTAACCCAGCTGTCAATCTAATTGGGCAAGAATTATTTATTTACTCCGGAATAATTTAAAAAAATCAATATTCGTGTCGGAAAAGCATCCTTCATTAATGGAATATATTTGTTAGTAAATAGAAAATAGTTAATTAGATTCTGAAAATCAGAACGTAATTATATCTATATTTATGTCAAACCTGAGCTCTCTAATTGAAATAGGAGAAACGAAAATAAACAAAAATACGATAATTAAATATATATATTTCAACACAGTGAGTATACTAGCTAAAGGTAGAGGGGAAAGGATTTGTGCGCAGAAACTGGTTTAAAGTAAATAAACCCCTAGAAAAATCAACGCTATACAATGGTCGACCAGATGACGTCTCCGACTGTGTGCGTACGAATTATCTTTTGAGCACATAAGAATTTAGCGGGAGACATCTTACGGTCATAATATCGTCCCCCAAAGTACGCCATCTGGACGGGCTTTGTTTATACATTCGGTAGAGAAGAACGGCCTCAGTTAGTTAAAAAGCATGGGCTTTCTACCCGGCCTAGGACAATTTCGGCCTTTGTTTACAATCTTTGTTATTAATTTGATAAAACTAATTCCTTTCAGTTCTAATACGTTAAAGTCAAATGTGTACAGAAACCCTAACCCCTCTACCTAAAGTATACATGTATTCTTTTATTTAAGTTAATTTATAATCTGTACAATTCAGGGTGAAATGGTTGTACAAGACCTATGTAGCTGATGTCCCACCGTACAAGGGTGCAGTGCCTGAATACCCGGCTTGGTTCGAAGCCTTCGTGATGCAGTGGTTGAATGAGAACGACGATGTTTCCTTGGAGTTCCTGCACGGAGCTTATACTAGAGATAAGAAGGATGGGGTTAGTATTTTTTACAGGGTCACTCACAAAATATGAGAAGACTTCTAAAGAAAGAGAACGCTTGCCTCCAACTCTAACTTTTCAAAGCCTACATCATTCTTTGCAACCAGAGATAATTTATACTCTGGTTATTTGATCCAGCACAATTCATAGTTTAAAATAGGAAAGGTCTACGACATTAAGTTGCTAAGATTTAAGGATTAGACAATTTAAGTTTTCAGTTCCTTTGGTTGAGTTCTGATTTAATGGTTCACTCCAGCTTTAAAGATATTGTATCATCCTTTACTGAATTATTTCGTATTAACTCAAGGATAATATTTTATTCTGAAAACAAAATTTAATGTAGATAAACTTTCAGAATTTATGGTTTTTATAATTAATTCTTAACAGTTGTGGGTAGACCCGTACATACAGTACAGTGGGATCCATTATACTGTAAAATAATCATTAAACTATGTAGTTACATAAAGATAGAACCACATCCCTTATTAAGTTTATTTTCAAACTACTGCACGTGTCATTTTTCACAAATTCTTGGGCCACACTGCATTAAACATTAAAAAACACTTTCTAGTTATAGATCTAAAAATGAAGTTTTTCTACAAAGAGTTAGCATCCTTTCTATCTTTAATATCCTTTCTATTTAGTTCCGGAAGAACACTGAGCACTCGAACTTCTCCAGCTCTGTGGTGGACGTGTTCACTCAGCTCACCCAGTGCTTCGAGGTCCTACAGAAGTTGGAGTGCCTGAACCCTGGTATCTGGAACAGATACATGCATAGGTTTGCAATGACGGTGGTAAAGGTTTTAACTGCCTATGCTGATCTGCTGAAGAATGATTTCCCGAATCATCTTAAGGACGAACGCACGGTAAGATCAATGTTAATTAATAAAGATGTTTTTGTTATGGAATCCTAAATTGTGCATAGTGTACATGAGGTACCGTATGATTATCTACATGTTAATATTGATGATCTGCATGTTAATGATGAAATGCATGTTGATATTGATGATGCTGAATCACATTTTAATATAGACGAAGATCTATATGATGATATTAATGATCAACTACATGTTGATACCTATGATAATCTACATATTGACAATGATGATGATATTCATGTTGATATGAATGATAATTTATTTGTTGATATGGATGATGATTTTCATGTTGATATGAATGATAATCTTTATATTAATATAGACGATGATCTACATGTTGATACTAATGATGATGATCTAAATGCTGATATAATGATGATATTTCATGTTGATAACGATTATGATCTACAAGTTGATATAGATGATGATCTTCATGTTTATATTGGTGTTGATTTTTATGTCGTATATGATGATCTACATTTTGATTTATATGCTGATCTTCATGTTGACATTAATAATGATCTACATGGAGACATTGATAATGATCTTCATGTTGATATATATAGATGATGATTTTCATGTTGATAATAATGATAATCTTCATGTTGATTCCACTGATGATCTTTAAGTTGATACTAATGATGGTCTATATGTTGATACAACTGAAGATCTTCATGTTTATATACACGATGATCTAAATGTAGATGTTAATAATGACCTATATGTTAATATTGTTGATGATCTACATGTTGACACGGATGATGACATGCATGTTAATTTAGATGATGATCTACTTGTTGATTTAGATAATGATCTTCATTTTTACAATGATGATGGTCCACCTGTTTATTTAGATGAGGATATTTATGTTAATAAACATGATGATCTTCATGTTGATACTAAAATGATCTTCATGTTGATACTAATGATGATCCACATGTTGATATTGATGATGATATCCATGTTGATACTGATGATGATCTTCATGTTGATACTAATGTTGATCTAGGCGTGTGTGTTGATGAACAACGTGCAACAGACGAGGATCCAGCTTGAGAAAACCTACCAGAGTATGGGTGGATCAGAACTTAATTCTGAAGCTGCTGCAATACTCAACCAACAGCAGTCTACGCTTAATGTTGTTCTTGACGCGCTCGCGCTCAAATTTGCGGAGAGGTAACTAATTGCGCGATGATTAAGGGGCTGTAGACGTGGTGATAGCTAGAAAGGGTAAAGGGTACTATTGGTAATATGGTATTTAAGTGAGGGGTCCCTTGAACAGAAGTCGTCTTCCCTCTTAACAAATATTACAGAAAATAAAAATTGTAACAAATATCATTCTTGACAAGTATGGCATTGTTAGATGTTATAAATGACAATATTTTTGTGTAAAATTAATTTGAACTTCTAAAGCTTCATTGTCAACATTTCCTTTGAAAAGAAAACACATTAAAGTTTAGTTTGAATTTGTTGAAGAAATGAAATAATTTTATTTGTTTAGTATCAGCGGGAAGGTGGATAACTCCGTGAAACAGACGGGTAAACTTCTGACAGAGATCAAGGGTGGAGGCCAGGGACAAGCCATATCTAAATCCGAGGTCGCAGCCCTAGCAGACAGTATCCTCGGTCCACTAATGGATCTGCTTGATGGTAGGCTTTGTTTAAATTACAAGAAATACCCGGCATAAGCAAACAATAAATAAATGGAACAATACTGAAAAGAAATACAAACATTTAACAATAGAAATATGTAAATAAAAGCAATGAGAACATTTTCATACTTATAATAACGCATTACAGAAAGTCCTTATTTTCCTTAATCTATCCATCGATTTTCAAAATGGAGTCTGCTTTAGTGTACATCAAAACATAAAAAGTAAAAGGCAGATGGACACAATGTTTTTAATAATAGGAGTACGATTGTTTAATTGTCTAATAGAAACTCGTCAAAAATCGCTGGATATTGAAATATTTTGATATTTAGGCTCGTTGTCAATGTATGCTGAGAACTGTGATAAATCAGTACTGAAACGGTTGTTAAAACAACTCTGGAAAATTGTGATGAAAAGTTTAGAGAGAAATATAGTGCTGCCACCTATAAATGAAAAGGTAAATATAGTGCTCCCACCTATAAATGAAAAGGTAAATATAGTGCTGACACCTACAAAAGAAAAGATAATATATAGTGCTGCCTCCTACAAAAGAAAAGGTAAATAAAGTGCTGCCACCTATCAATGAAAAGGTGAATATAGTGCTGCTACCTATCAATGAAAAGGTAAATATAGTGCTGACACCTTCAAAAAAGGTAAATATAGTGCTGCCACCTATCAATGAAAAGGTGAATATAGTGCGACCACCTATCAATGAAAAGGTAAATATATTGCTGACACCTCCAAAAAAGGTAAATATAGTGCTGCCACCTATCAAGGAAAAGGTAAATATAGTGCTGACATCTACCAAAGAAAAGGTAATATATAGTGCTGCCAATTAAAATTCCTATGCAAATCACAAAAGCCCAATTCGTATAAGCTTTTAATATTAATGCCCAAAGCTAAGAATTAATATTTTTGATTTAATTTCTGTTCTAAATGAAATAAAAGAATAAATTTTAACCCTAATTTCTAGAAATAAAAATGAAAAAGAACCTTTTAGATGCAATCCATAAGTCTGAACAAGAAACAATAAATTGTTACTTTTTCTTTCTGTCCTGTCAGAAAAAGTTAATTCAGTTTGTTTCATTTTCTCAAATATCCTAAGTTTTCCATGAATCCATCTCTCTTTGAAGTCATTTTTCATTTTCTCAAGAAAATTATTAATAACATAGAATTCATCATGAAGTGAATGTTAAGATGCTTCATCCATCACTCACAACCATATTTAGACCATCCACTGTCTGATAAAGAATGACAATGACATATCAATTAAAGAAAAATTTCGGCTGCAAGTTCTCAATTACAGAGAAAAAAATAAAGATATTTTCAACACTTTTTACTGAGATGAAAATTTCAAGATACTATTCTGAATCATTGATGACACGGGGTNCCCTGTAAGTCTAAAAAGGTCCCTGTAAAAATGTCTGAATATGCACCTTCTAACCCTGTGTATTATGTAGAAGGCCCTGAAGAGCCTGGTTGGCGACGCCAAGAACGTGGCCGAGTCTGCCAAGAAGGTTGAAGATGTCACCAGCTTCCTCAAGAAGGGTCTCAGTGCCAAGGCTGATGTCAAGAATGTGATGAACGTTGTTTCGGTAATTTGTCTAAGGAATTCAGTCTTTGCTACATACTCAAACTTTCCAATCCCTATATTTTTGCATCAGTGAAAAACCTTTAAAATCTCAGACTGAGATTATTTGATCTAACAAAATGCAAAGTTTGAAAAATCTAATGTTTCCGACATTGGGTTGCAAAGATATGGGGATTAGAAAATCAGAGTTTGTGGCTAAGACTCAATTCCTTTATAATTTTGATTTTCTGTTAAATGTCGGAGGGTTCTGATATTCAGGATATCTCTAAGTTCTAATGTTCAGGATATCTCTAAGTTCTAATGTTCAGGATATCTCTAAGGAAGGAGAGAGGAGTTTAACCCCTAAGCAGTGTGCTGTACTAGAAAGTGCGCTTGATGCGGTCAAACAATACTTCCATGCAGGTCAATATCATTTGTAATTATATATCACTGCAAAAATGTCCAGATGTCGAAACTTTTGAATGAGGAAAATTCAACAGTAGAATCTTTTAATTTGAAGTGATTCAGTCCTTAATTCATGAAAAACAACTGGCTCGAATTTTCACAATCTTTCATCATCGGTCTAAAGTAGATATTTATTTTGATTCTTATTGGTCAAACCTACTGAAATATTCAACAGGAATTAACTTAATCCACCTGATGCAATTAACAGCTAAACAGTCCAGAAATTCACAAACAGTTTTTTTTAGCTTTTTTGACATTTTTCATGTTTTAATATCCCTTTAAGACCAGAAAAGTTTCCTGAACCCTGACTGTAAAATTAAATTTTTATCTTGAAACTTTTAACAAAATTTGTTTAGGTGGGAACGGATTAAAGATTTCTTACGTGAACAAATCTGAGGAGTTGAAGTCCTTGCACCATGCACTGTCCCTTTACACACAGACCACAGACGCACTTATCAATAACTTTGTATCCTCACAGACAAATCAAGGTAAGATAAAGAAGAGAAGACTAAAATATATGTGTAAAAAACTAAGAAGGTCTGGAATCCCATTCAAACGTTGGAATGCAAGATAGATTATTTAAAGCTCTTCTACAGGGTTACCCACAAAGGATGAATCAGTTAACCGCATAGAATAGGATAATTTCAATGTTTATTGAAGTCTTTTGTCTTGAATATAGTTTTCCAAAGGCTTATTGAATGATTTGGCAAAGAAAGAACTAAGTTTATAGTTGCGGGGAATCATAAATAGAAGGAAACGGGCATTGCAATTCCCTACAATCGTCTATAAAGTTTGATTCTTTGTGGGTAACCCTGTAAGTATTTTTTTTATACTTAGTGATAGTGTATTCTATGTATACTAGCCTTAGAGGGCGCTTCGCGCCCATCTTCTAAATTAATTGTGAACATATTCTCTTTGTGTACATCGTAAAACAAAACAAAAATAATTCGCGGATTTTCACAAAAAATGTCGTGGATTTTCAAAATTTTCAAAAATTTAATGAAGATCGAATTTTGATGGAGACAAATATTTGAAATTTTGATCATTCATAAACCTTCCCTGTGGTCACGTGAGGTCCCACAAAAAATTTGGGCCCGATCGGTTCAGCCGTTTTGAAGTTTATTGGATACAAACAAACAAACAAACAAACAAATTTATATATAGATTGTATAACCTTAACTGGAGAAATAAAGTCGAACCCTGTTTAGATTCCTCCAGTATAGATGGTGTAGTTGGAGAAGTATCGGTTCAGGTTGATCTCTATACTCATCCGGGTACTGGAGAACACAAGGTTACGGTTAAAGGTAGGTTGGATATTATATCCGGTACAAAACTATATACGGGGAACATTTATATCCGGTACAGAACTATATCCGGGGAACATATATATCCGATACAGAACTATATCCGGGTTACATTTATATCCGATACAGAACTATATCCGGGTTACATTTATATCCGATACAGAACTATATCCGGGTTACATTTATATCTGATACAGAACTATATCTGGGGAGTATGATATCCGATACAGGACAATATTTATATCCAATAACACTATATATCCAGGGAATATTTATATCCAATAAAGACTATATCCAAGGAATTTTTATATCCAATACAATAAATATTCACTAATCTATATATACTAACAACAAACTCTAACTAAAAGTAAAACTTCCAATCATATTTTCAGTGGTTGCCGCTAACGACCTGAAAACACCAAAGACCCAAACCTTTAAACCTTATGTGGAGGTGAATCTAATAGGACCCCATCTAGCGGACAAAAAGAGAAGATTTGAAACTAAAACCAAAAATGCAAACTGGTCGCCAAAGTACAACGAAACCTTCCATTTGTGAGTATTTTTAAATTATTCTCAGAATTTAAAAAGTTTTATATTTAAAAAAAATGGTAATAATTTATCTGATAAACATTTCTATTTTAAATACTTTTGGACAAATTATATGCATATTTTAAATATGATTTAAAATACATATAATCTCTCCTCTTTATGCTAATTTGATTAACCTGACCTATTTTATTATGTTATACGGCTTCATCAAGTATAAAATCGTCTTTAAGGGAATCCCAATAAGCACACGATTCAATAATCGTCTTTTATTTACGCGGCATCAATTTTTTAATTTTATTTAGAGGGAAAAATATATCTTGATTGCATAATGTAAGTTTTAAAACATTTCAAACATTTTGAGACTTTAACATTTCCAAATATTCAATATATTTGTTATTATTAAATATACAAAAACTAAAATTCACGACGCTTAATTTGACTGAACGTGACGTAACGACAGTCGGGCAGCGAATTTCAGAGACACTTACCTTTCCCAAATTATTATGGTGTCTGATTGGTAATATTTGAGATACCTTACGAAAATTCGGTTATTTCAAATATTAATCGAGTTTAAAAATCTGATAGAAAAAGATGAACTCTTAATGATAAATGATGATATACTATGAACTCATAATATTTATTTATGGTTTTACTCTCTCTCAAAAATCAATTTAATGTCGTCTTCACATACCGTTTGTTTCTATACTCTCGCTTTATTTTAATAAAACCAAGAATAGAATAATCTCCTGTTTAGCATAATCGGAAACAATGAATAAAATAATCTTCTGTTTAACATAATCGAAAACAATGAAAAAAATAATCTTCTGTTTAGCATAATCGGTAACAATAAAAAATAATCTCCTGTTTAGCATAATGGTAACAATGAATAAAATAATCTTCTGTTTAGCATAATGGTAACAATGAATAAAATAATCTCCTGTTTAGCATAATGGTAACAATGAATAAAATAATCTTCTGTTTAGCATAATGGTAACAATGAATAAAATAATCTTCTGTTTAGCATAATCGGTAACAATGAATAAAATAATTTCCTGTTTAGCATAATCGGTAACAATGAATAAAATAATCTCCTGTTTAGCATAATCGGTAACGAGGATCAACTGTCCGCCTACGAGCTCCATATCGGAGTGAAGGACTACTGCTTCGGCCGGGAGAACAGGCTGATAGGTGTCTCCGTGATGCAGCTCAAGGATATCATGGACCAGGTACAGTGTGTACAAATAAATATGAAATCCTTTGACGAATACATTTCAAAGAGTAAATAGAACTTTTTTTCTTGAGATCTTATTTACGAGGAGTTTTAATTTCATGCATATTTAATCTTGTACTTGGTAGTTTTTTAAATGTTTATTGGTGCGCCCTGTAATAAAATATGTTACCAATTGATCAGTCGTCACCATGAGTTTTATAATCCTATCTTTATACTCGAATCAAGGAAAAATACAATTTACAAAATGATGACATTTAATTGATGCAGGATCAGTATTATTAGACGTCGTCTTCTCAATGTCAAGAGTTTTTACGAACTAAATTTGTTCAGGGCTCTTGTGCTTGCTGGCTTTCACTTGGCAAACGAATTCAGATGGACGAAACTGGTTGGACGATTCTACGAATATTATCACAGCGGACAACGGACGAAGTTGCGAAAGAATTTGTAAAGTTAAAGTTAGAGGTGCGAAGTGACGAACCTCTGAATTAGGTTTGAAAACTAATTTCCAGTCTTAACCCCATCTAGTGTCAACCGTTCTACAATCTACTCTTTTCATCTACTTATAGTAACCCAAACTATACTTAATAATTCTAGGTTCAGTCCGTACAATTATAGTTTTAAATATTGACTCCCACATAAACTAGTGAAGGGGGCTAAACACCAGTTTTGGTGCTGAAACCGGTTACATTGCATTGTACACACTGTAAATACTGTACATACTGTACATAGTGCTGTTGTAGAGAAACCGGTTTCTGCGGACAATGTGCACAAACCTCGTGATATAAACATTGAACTTTGTTTTCCGTGTACACTGTACATACTGCTGTAACGGCTATAGTATGATTTCTATATCTAATGCCGTTTTTTCCATATCTTTTGTATAATCAACAATCATGTTGTTACGTTATATATATATATGTTATCGAGACCATGCCTTAATATTGTTAAACACCTAGATATGATTTATATTGTGTAAATATTATTAAACTTATAATTTATCTCAATATTCAATGTTTTTAGCTAAGCTTAAATTTCAGATTTCTGATACTATACATATATAGATTTTCATATATATAGTTCTGAACTTTTGCACCACAGAGTGTGATACACAATATTCCTTAAGTCTACTTACATTCATTCATTTCTTATGGGACCAACTTCAGATTCGAGTCCCACACCTCGTGTTTTATTTCCTCCTAGAATTCATCTGTTTGCCCTTTAATTTCGCCTTACAGAGTTTATTGTAACATTTTGTATCTAGAATTGTAATTTAAACAATAATTATGTATTTTTTCAAACTTTGTTAAACATGTCACCTTTCTTTAGCTTGCCTAAACTAATGTAGGTTTTGTGGTGCTGGATAAAAGGCCTGTATTGTTTGAAACAGAACATAATTTTGTTTATCCTTCAAAACAGTGTGTAAGCATTGCAACATGAGCATCACAAGGTTTCTCAATGAAATGTACATGACAAATATGTGATCACATTCATTTCCATGTACGTACATTCCAGTGTACAACTTTACAACTATTTTACACGTTGTACATAATAGTTGTATCAAACTGCAGACACATGTTTTTAATCAGTTGGAGTTTAAAAAATTTAACACATTGTCATTCTATGTTTTTTGGAAATAAGCAACTTATTTGTACATTTTGAATAATACCATGCAGTACAACTGATCAGACGGAAATGTATTCGATTGTACAAATTTGTTTAACAACTCCTATAATTTCGAATTACAATGTTAATTGTTCTCCTTGTGCTAATTTCATTTCCAAACATTTTCATTTATAATTTTCAAAATTTTTCCATTCCTTTTCTTATATTCTCCTTTATTCTCCTAGTCACCCTTCTTCCATACCTTCTCTTATATTCTCCTATATTCTCCTAGTCACCCTTCTTCCATTCATTCTCTTATATTCTCCTATATTCTCCTAGTCACCCTTCTTCCATACCTTCTTCTATACCTTCTTCTATATTCTCCTATACCACCCTTCTTCCATACCTTCTTCTATACCTTCTTCTATTTGCTCCTATACCACCCTTTTTTCTTAGCCTTCTCCTACAGATTAACTCAGAAATTCGGAGATCGAAAGAATGTATAAAATGTCGTCTTAACAATTTTTCGATGGGTTTTATACTATTATACCTAAATGTCAGTAATTGTAAAATAATATAAAAAACCATGAATATAAGGGAACAGTTTTGATCATATTTTTATATTCATACATAACTTTTCAATTAAAAAACTAAATATCTGCAGCATTCCATTATCAATCAGAAGGTTTAGAAAACGACATTTTATATTTCTTTCGAAGTACTGGGCTAATGTATATTCTCCTTTACCAACCCTGTATATTCTCGAATCTTATTCTTCTTCCAGGTTCTCCTTGAAGCACAATGAAATCAGTTTTAACTAATTGTAAAACTCTTCCTGTCCCCGCATCTTTAAATCACCACAATTCATCATGCTCATTCATAATGCTTAATTTTTATCTAAAATTATTTATATGTATTCTTCAAACTATGTTTTATTCTCTTAACTTTTGTTTTCTTGGCTCCATCCATCTGACTTCCAAACAGGACTGTTCTACTACATTTGTTGAATAAATTCGTTAATCATATATATTATGCAGAAAGTTAAAGTCAACGTTTCAAGGGAGTTTCTATTGTAGAGTGGCATGTCCGATTTACAACGGTATATTTTTATTTGTGATTTCTCTGTACAATTTACTTGCGCATTTCTGATGGGGGGGATGGAGGAAGTTATCGAAATTAAACACTTTTCGACCTGGTAAAACGACGATATTTGCAATTTACTTTATCAGATAAAGGTTTACAAAGAATTGTTGTTACTAAGGTAGGGCCATGAGAGTTTATATTATGAATAAATATTAAATATTATGCAGAGAGTCAAGATTTGGAAGAATATTTAAGACTCAAGATGAAGAATTTAAGAACAGAAGGGCGAGAGAATAAAATTTAACTAAAATTAGTTGCATTTCTGTTTGAAATAATGTATTTTTCATATCCAGCGGCTTTTTCTTAAAGAAAAGTTTTTTAATCCATGCAATGCCACCAAACAAGGTTAATTTTTCTCTCTTAATTGGATTTTTAGAAGAGTTAAGAGATCGTTAAGTCATACTACAGTATAAACTGCTTCCTAATCAAATAAATTTTCTTTTCTCATATCTTGTGCATAAATCAAAACTAGAGGAGCTAAAATACCACAAAGTCGTAACTATAATGTCATATAAATTTGAACTTATCTTTCTGTCTATATGGTTTATAAATATAAGTTAGCATATTTGTTTAACTATAACGAACCCCTAGAAGAATGTGATTATGCCAAACATATTTAACGGAACAATTATTCCGAAAAAAAACATTCTTTAAAGGGACTGTAAAGGAAAAATGAAAGGGGGTATACACAATCTGACATATGCCCGTTTTGGTATAATTTTTACACAGTTTCATGTCAAATTCTCGAGACAGGAACATCAGATTGATGTCTTATAGGTAACATTCAAAACCTGAAATTCTCAGGTTTCATCCTATACCCCCTTTCATTTTTCCTTTACAGTCCCTTTAAACTATTCCAAAAATTCTATGTCGCTTGTATGTTCGGTTCTGTCTTTCATATTCAAAAGTTTTTTTAAAGGTGGTTTTGCATTCTGCTACAGATAAGTTTCGTAAGCTATTTCCGGAATGAATCCGTAAAAATGGAAACCGGCCTAATAGCCTAAACGTACCCTAGGGTTCAAAACTGTGAAGAGGAGTCTCTTCCATGTATATTATATCTGTGCAAATGTTATTGTAGGAAATAGTATACACGAAATGTCGTCTTACACTACATTAGCGAAAAAACATAGTACTATTGATATTAGAGCTCGAGTCCTAGATTCATTAGATACGTTATTTTCGTCTTTGCATTTTCTTTTGATATTTTTTATCAACTAGTAAAACCTAACAATTACACTGGGGAGTGAGGCAGGGAGGGAACGATATATTGGGGGGAGTAAAAAAATTAGGGGAAGAAAAGGGGTGTGGATGGTAAGGGTAAGGTAAGGGGTAGGAGAGGAACATTTTAATAATTTAAATAAGGGCCGGGTGGGGGGTTGAGACTAAGTGAATGGGGAGGGATAGATGACTGAGTTTGGCCGAGAGAGGATGTTTTATATTTCTGAACCTGATTTGGTAAATCAAGGTCAGGTTAATGACCTAGGTTTAAGTAAACCATGCCTTTAAGCCAGTAATATTTAACTGCCTCAAAACTTTTTTTTAAGTAAGCGTGGACACTTGGTAAATTTAGTGTTTGGCTGTTTGTCATAAATTTAGTTTAGGAACAGTTTCTAGTGAATTAGTGGCGCTTAGCGCTATACAGGGTTAATCCACAGAGGATGAGACTTCAGAGATGACTGTACGGAATTTATACTCTCTGTTTCCTTATATTCATGATTCCCTGCAACTGGAAACTTGTTTCTTTCTTTTGCTAATCATTTAATAAGTTATTAAAAGTTTATGTTCAAGGCAGAAGACTAAATCTAACTTTGGGATCGTCATATTTGAAGAGTTTCAGGTCGTCTTTACAGTCTCATCCTTTGTGGGTAACCCTGTATATTGCAGATTTTGTTTGGCAGATTAGATCCGATATAATACCTTTAAATGATCGTGGTATATGAAGAGGTGCATACATATGAATTCAGATCTTGGTTTGTAAAATTTGTCATGACTCATTCTTTGTTGATAACCCTGTATCTTTAAAAAGAGCTGAATTTAACTCTTAGATCTTGGTATTTGAAGTTTGTAATCATTAACTCATATTTTATTGGGTAACCCTGTATCTTTAAAAATACTGAATTAAACCTTCAGATCTTGGCATTTATAAAGTTTCTAATTATCGACGCATCTTTTATGGGTAAAAAGGTTGAATTCTACCTTTAGATATTGGTACTTAAAGTTTTTCATGGCTCATGCTTTATGGGTAACCCTGTGTCTTAAAAAGGTTGTATTCAACCTTTAGATCTTGGTATTTAAAGTTTTTCATGACTCATGCTTTATGGGTAACCCTGTGTCTTAAAAATGACTGAATTAGATCTTGGTATTTAAAGTGTGCCATCTTTTGCGGGTAACCCGGAATCTTTAAAAATGGCTAAATTTGGACTCATCCTTTATGGGAAACCCTGCATCTTTAGAAAGCTTGAATCTGACCTTCAGATATTGTAAAGTTTTTCATGACTTATTCTTACTGGGTAACCCTGTTCGAGAATCATAATCGGGGCCGATACACCCTCCTTGGTAGAATAAATAAAGTCTAAAAAAGAAAGCTTGGACTCCGAGTTTTCGTTATTATTGTTTCATATTTAACCTTCAGTAATTTATACTACGACCTTCCCTATACTAATCAGAGGTTCCTGTCATATTTTTTAAAATATTGTTTTTAATCAAATCAAACTCGCAGTTGGAATAAGTCCTATTTAAAGGGAGGAGTAAGTCTAACATAGAAAGAGTAGGGCTTATCTTTCATATATACAGGGTTACCCACAAAGGATGAGACTTCAGAGACGATAGCACGGAGTTTATACTTTCTGTTGATCCCTGTACTCATGATTACCTGCAACTGGAAACATGTTACTTTCGTTGCTAAATCATATAAAAGCTATCAAACGACTTTATTCAAGGCGGAAGTCTTAATTTAACCTTGGGATCGTCATATTTTAAGAGTTTTAGGTCATCTTCGCAGTCTCATCCTTCATGGGTAACCCTGTACTTATTAAACGAAACCGGTTATTCTTGATTATTTGGCTTGTCTTATAGTGTTTTAAGACAACAAAGATTTATTAGATTTATCAATTTTTCTAAAAAATAAATTCCAACATTGAATCGATGTTCACTGTGCAATATATGAAAATCATTCAAATAGTCAATTGCACTGATGCTAAAAGAAAATATTATCCTTGCAACTTTGCAACCTGTTGGTGTAAACGTAATATTTCAAACTTAGATTATTTGATCCACTTATATTCAGTGTTTGAAATATCTTAAGTCTACGGCATTATGTTGCAACGGTACAAGAATAAGAAAATAAGAGTCATATCCTTTATTTTATGAACCTTTTTAAAAACGATAAATTTTCCCATTGACCATTTTTTGACAACAATTTTTAATATCTTAAGAGTCCCTGAATACTTATACTAATATTAATAGTTACTTTAAAAAAGTGTCTTTTTTGAAAGACAGAGAATATTTGAATTCTTGTTGCCACCAATATGAGGGACACGTCAAACTGCAAATTTAATGAATTATATTTTCCGAAACAATAGAAATTAAACCGGTTTTATGACAAGACACCCCCCGGGTTTTAACAGAATATCCGGTTTTGTGACACCTGGATCTAAATTCCTGTTAACACTCTCGAATTGAAAGAGATTGCAATCAAATTGTTCCAATAAATGTTAACGTTAGACTCATTCTAGATACAAATCTATTAACCAAAATACAAATCTATTAACCAAAATACAAATCTATTAATCAAAATACAAATCTATTAACCAAAGTACAAATCTATTAACCAAAATATAAATCTATTAATCAAAATACAAATCTATTAACCAAAATAGAATCTATCAATCAAAATACAAAAATCATTTCGAAAAACCATGATGAAGACCATGTTATATGGTGATATCTCAACCATTTTCGTGCTGTATATTGATTCACAAATGTAAGAATGGAACAAAAATATATATTTTACAATGGTGCTCGAAAAAAATATATTTTTTATTTATTTATTTTTAAATATATTTTACAATAGTGCTTTGAAATATATATTTTACAATAGTGCTACAAAAATCATCAGAACAAGTTTACAATTGAACTGAAGCACACAACTGAATCAATAATATTGTGGACGATTCTACTCAGCTGATTTTATAATATTGTGGACGATTCTACTTATCTGATTCTAAAATATAGTGGACGATTCTACTCAGCTGATACTATACTATTGTGGACGATTCTGATTTTCTGATTCTAAATTATAGTGGACGAATCTACTCAGCTGATACTATACTATTGTGGACGATTTTACTCAGCTGATTCTATAATATAGTAGACGATTATACTCAACTGATTTAATAATATTGTGGACGATTCTATTCACCTGATTCAAGAATAATGTGGACGATTAAACTCAGCTGCATCGATAATGTTGTGCACGCTAGAGAAGCTTAGTTGGACAATTCTACTCAGCTGATTCTTAATTCAATGATATTGTGCACGCTAAACTTAACTATCTATAAACAGTGCGCTTTAGTCTGGGTTCATAGAACCGTGATATTTTAGAATGCAGTAGTGCAACGTTGCAGTGTAGTTAATATCCTGGTATACCTGGTATACCTTGGATATAGTGTATAATATCCTGGTATACCTGGTATACCTTGGATATAGTGTATAATATCCTGGTATACCTGGTATACCTTGGATACAGTATATATTAATATCCTGGTATACCTGGTATACCTTGGATATAGTGTATAATATCCTGGTATACCTGGTATACCTTGGATACAGTATATATTATCCTGGTATACCTGGTATACCTTGGATACAGTATATATCATCCTGGAATACCTAGTATACAGTGTATAATATCCTGGTATACCTGATACACAGTGCATAGTATCCGGGTAACATGGTATATAGTATATAGTATCCTGGTATACATGGTATACAGTGTAAAGTATCCTGGTATACCTGGTATACAGTGTATAGTATCCTGGTATAGATGGTATAAAGTGTATAGTATCCTGGTATACCTGGTATACAGTGTATATTGTATAGTATCCTAGTATACCTGGTATGCAGTGTATAGTATCCTGGTATTACTGGTATACAGTGTATAGTATCCTGGTATACCTGGTATACAGTGTATAGTATCCTGGTATACAGTTTATAGTATCCTGGTATAGATGGTATACAGTGTATAGTATCCTGGTATACCTGGTATACAGTGTATATTTTATAGTATCCTAGTATACTTGGTATTTAGTGTATAGTATCCTGGTATACCTGGTATACAGTGTATAGTATCCTAGTATACATGGTATACAGTGTATAGTATCCTGGTATACCTGGTAAATTTGTAAAGTACCCTGGTATACCTGGTATACAGTGTATAGTATCCTGGTATACATGGTATACACTGTATAGTATCCTGGTATACCTGGTATATAGTGTATATTGTATAGTATCCTAGTATACCTGGTATACAGTGTAAAGTATCCTGTTATAACTGGTATAAAGAGTATAGTATCCTGGTATACAGTGTATAGTATCCTGGTATACAGTGTATGTATCCTAGTATACCTGGTATACAGTATATAGTATCCTGGTATACATATTATGTCATATTTAGACTGTGTGTGTACTGTAGAGGAATTAATTATACATAATGTGTATTGTATAGTATAATATGTATAATGTATAATGCAAACATCATATGTTTAATTTATGATTATTATGAAATTAAATATATATTTATATGTACAATGATACAATGATAAATACTAAAGGTTAAACCAGCATGAATCCCATATGGTTTATATGTAACATAAACCGTCTCGTCATTGCTCATATCTCACACAGCCAACATTTAGGAAGATTGATTATATCATTTTCAATTGAAGGTGAACCTTGTTCATTATTCCTCCATGTAAGATAATTTTAAATCCCTTTGTGTTTTTCCTGAGTCTTCCTTGATCCTTATCTAAATAATTAATACTGCATGTCCTGTGATACAATCGTCCCATATTCAGTCCAAGAATTGCTTTAGTTTGAGTGTACTCTGTCTCCAAGTATAAGATACAACTGGTCCAACCAAAAGCTCGAATACATAAAGCTCTCAGTTGTGTAAATGAGAGCAGGCAGGCTGGTTGTGTTCAATCCAGCTCCAACCATCTAGCTTCACTTGGAGAACCGAACCTAAACCAGTCAGGCCTGTCAAATAAACAAAGTTAAGTGAATTTATATTTTTGAACTTTGACGCAGTAAAACTAATTTTTAAAATTTAAGTTTCAACTAAAATCAATTTTCTATAATTTTGTATTTTCAGATTAAAAATCGTGAAGTCGAGATAACAGAATGTATCTTAGTTTAGAATTTCTGTTAGTGGATTCTTGAAAACTTCAGAGAAACGGAGACTGAAAAATTAAAGAAGAAAATCTTTAATTAAAGATTTGGGGCTATGTTTGATACGTCATGGTATTCAAGAAGGAGGAGAGGAGAAGGAAAGAGAGAGAAATTAATCACACTTAATTTAATTTTAATTAACCCTCTCCTGAGAATTAAACCGGATCATATTAAGGACACTTAGCACAACAGCTGTTTACCCACACATGATGAGACTGTAAAGACGACCGAAAACTCTTAAAATAACGACAATCTCATGGTTAAATTGGCTATTCTGTCTTAAATAAAGTCTTTTGATGGCCTATTTAATGATTTGAAAGAAAGAGTCAAGTTTGCAAAAGCAGGGAATCATAAATATATGTAAACACACAGAAAAAAATCCGTAGAATCGTCTATAATGAAAGAATCGTCTCTAATGAAAGAATCGTATCGAATGAAAGAATCCTCTATAATGAAAGAATCGTCTCAAATGAAAGAATCGTCTCTAATGAAAGAATCGTCTCAATGGAAGAATCGTCTCAAATGAAAGAATCGTCTCTAATGAAAGAATCGTCTCGAATGAAAGAATTGTCTATAATGAAAGAATCGTCTCTAATGAAAGAATCGTATCGAATGAAAGAATCGTCTCTAATGAAAGAATCGTCTCTAATGAAAGAATCGTCTCTAATGAAAGAATCGTCTCTAATGAAAGAATCGTCTCTAATGAAAGAAACGTCTAATCGTCTCTAATGGAAGAATCGTCTCTAATGGAAGAATCGTCTCTAATGAAAGAATCGTCTCAAATGAAAGAATTGTCTATAATGAAAGAATCGTCTCTAATGAAAGAATCGTCTCAAATGAAAGAATCGTCTCTAATGAAAGAATCGTCTCGAATGAAAGAATTGTCTATAATGTGAAAGAATTGTCTCTAATGAAAGAATCGTCTCTAATGAAAGAATCGTCTCTAATGAAAGAATCGTCTCGAATGAAAGAATCGTCTCTAATGGAAGAATCGTCTCAAATGAAAGAATCGTCTCGCATGAAAGAATCGTCTCGAATGAAAGAATCGTCTCTAATGAAAGAATCGTCTATAATGAAAGAATCGTCTCTAATGAAAGAATCGTCTCTAATGAAAGAATCGTCTCAAATGAAAAATCTAAAACTTGATTTTTGAATTTTTATTTTAGTGTCACTTACTTCTAAAGCCTTAACCAATCAGAATCATGGCTTTCAAAAAAATTTTGAGATTATTTTAAAACTGGCTTAACTTCTCTCTCGGGAGGGAGAGGAACCCTGGACCAGAGGAAAGTTATGGTCCTGAGATAAAATCAAACCACGCTGAAAATATCCTGTTTAAACATGGGACCGGAGAAAAAAGTAAAAGTGAAACGACTCTCAGAGTTAACAGTGATAAGGAAGGATTGGAAAGAAAAGAAAATACATCCAGTGATCAGGGTTCAGTTAAAGCCATCTATCGGAGAAGTGAGCTGGGGAATGGAGAGGAACGGAGAAACCCTGTTCAGCTTTACTCCGAGTACCCTTGTGAACACATCCAACACGATCCCAACCTTACTCCAGATCTCTCTCAAGCTGTAACTAGGAGGAGGAGAAGGATTCCAACCCTATTAATTCTCTCCTTTATTAAACTCATTGATTTAAGCTTTCATGGGATAATGCTTTCTTTATTCCTCTACTCAACTTACCTGTCAGCAATATACTGCACTCAGGTAAATTTACGTAGATTATGGTTAAAAAGTAGACGCACTGGATCTACATAAAACTAGTATCAAACATTGAACTTTTCTAAAAAAATACGATCTATAGAAGCGATTTTCCAATTTTCTAGTATAAATAGTAAATAAAAAAATTAGCCAATCATAGTTATTTACTTTCACACGTCTCAACAAAAATAAACACTCTTCCTGAAGGTTTCTAGGAGAAGGATTCAGATAACATAGTTTTTACACAAAAAATGGTTTAACGTTAGTAAAGAAACTGAGTTTTGTCACAAAGGAATTGAGTTTTTGTCACAAACTCTGATTTTATTATCCCTATATATTTGCATTTGAATGTTGGAAACCTGAGATACTTCAAACTATGAATCATTTTAGATCAAATAAAAATAGTTTGAAATATCAAAGGTTTACACTATTAGGTTGAAAAGATATGCCGATTGTAGAATCATAATTTGTGGCAAAAAAACTCAGTTCCTTTAAACTTTCTAATCACGATCTTTGTAAACCTTTGATATTTTAAACTTAGACTTTTTGGTCCAAAATAATTCTTTGTTTGAAATGGCAGGTTTGCGAAATAGGGAATAAAAAAATAAAAGTTTAGAGAAAACTTTGGTTCTTTTTGATCCGAATTTTGTAGGACCAACTTTTATTAATTCCAACTTTCTCAGCAAAGGCACAAAACCGATAAAATGTCCAAATATTACTAAGTTGTATTTTTACCATCATCATACTATTTTAGTTGAGGTGAATGTTTAAAAAGTAATCAGCTGTGAAATGAATGGTGTGAAATTTATTTCGTAATTATAAATTAACTTTTATTAAAATCTTGTAAAACATGAAAGATACATCCTGTTATATACAAACATTTAACATTGTTAATGGGTAAAAAATGATTGTGGTTTCTCTATAAAAGTGACTTGCTGATTTATGCTGCATAAATAAGAATGGAAATTGAAATGAATTATCCCTTTCAAGACTGTAAAAGACGATATCTTCCTCAAAAACCATGCTTTGTAAGGTACCGTAGTGAATGCGACATTTCATTGTTTTCACTTGGTTTTACTTCTTTAGGAAGTTACGATTTTAAACTCGATACTTTAAGTATTAGGAAGGGGGGAGTGGTTTTTAAAAGGGGATCTGGGCGGAGCGGGAGAGGGGGGGGGAAACATGCTTAAGGTAGAGAATAAACACAAAAATAACGATTTGGCAGCAACGAAAAAGAGAAAATTGTGGCGAAGATATTCTAAAAAGCAACTAATTGTCTCTGGTTTCCTGTAAACAAATGAGTCGTAAGCTTGTAAATATATATATTTGAACCGCAAGAATGGATTATTTGAGGATTTTTTGCCATTACTTTCCGTAATTAACATGCCTTCATGTCTACAGTTGAAACTTGGTGCAAAAGTATTTATATTACCAGGCTTACTTTATCCGTTCCTGTCAGGGAGGGAGGGGGAAGGGAATTACAGACAGATAATGGATACAGACAGAAAGTGGATACATGCAGACAATGGATGAAAAAATGATGATACAGTCATACCGTTAGAAGGGTAGAAATGAATTAAGAACCATTAAAAGTTTTTATGTTTATTTTTGTAGATTATTCAAACAATCAACTGTTTTTGTACTAGCACCATCATTCATCATTATTATAAGAGACAAAGCTTAATCATCAGAGTTCAATTTAAAATTAGTTTAAATTGAAAAAGTTTCGTAGATTTTTTACTCGTGACATTATTTTTAAAAGGGACATGCCTTGTACTCCTTGAACCCTTATGATAAATAATGTGGAAGATATCATCTTATTATAATTTTAAATGTGTTTAATTCTCACAATTTCTGTAGCAAGAAATCCGCAATTGTAATAGAAAAATGTGGAAAAGAAGAAAGAGAAACTGTAGAATTTTTGCTTAGAAATGCCCCCATTAAATTGAGATTCCCATAAAGTTTGATGTGATAAAGAAAATTGTGATTCTCAAATAAAAGTGACTCTAAGTTTACTTAAAAGAATTAAAAATGAAAAATAGAGCAGGTTTGGAAACCGACCAGACGATAACTTATACTTACAGGACCGAAAGTTATCAATTATTAATCGGAAAAATAAAGATATCTCTATCATAAAACCTTAGAAAAATCTGAAGGGTAACGTAAGGCACAAATGGTATTGTTTGAACGTAGGATCACTTTGAAATATAATTCTAAATTCCAACCCTTGCCCTAAACCCCAAAAAGGTTTTACCGGTTCACTCTCCAGGAACCACTTAAACCTGATAACCCCTGAAATGTGAGTCAAGCCTGGAGTAGAACCTGGAGCTAGAGTGTGTTTAAGCAAGCCTTGAGCCGGATTATCTAAAGATAGATCTGAGATAATTCTGGTTGAAAATCAAGTTTACAAATTCAATCTGCATCTATATATTCTACAATTATTTCTGCCAACGCGTCTTTGAAAATAGAGCGTTCTGAACACTTTTTATTATTATAAGGAAACATCCTAAAAATGTTAAATCTTTTATCCGAACTCCAAAAACTGTTAAATTTAAAAAAAAATAAAACGCTAATTTTTTAAAAAGCGTCGTGAAAATGTTCAATCTTCAAAAATCAAACGTTCTAAAAATGTTCAATTCTCTTAAAATAAAACTATATCTTTGTAACAATGTCCTTAAACTAATTTTTCCTTCAAAATGAAAAGTTCTTAAAATATTTTTCTGAATATGTCAGGCAGGCTTTAATTTATTAAACAGTAAACTTACATATATATTCAGATTTTTTACTTTTCTTTTCAATTGACAATGTCACAATTTGTCCATTTCATGATTATTTCTCAAATTCTTTCTTGTAACCTTAATCTTATTTACAATATTTTTTTCGCGGGGTTTCATTTAAAATTGTTGGTGATTATGGTCAGATGACTAATAGTCAGCCTTCAGGTTGATTATTATAGATTTTAAACTTTATGTTTTCTTAATACCGGTTTTTTAAGGGGGTGCACATCAACCCCCTAGGCTAAACCTGCACAACGCGCCTGTGTGTTCATGCGCTCAGATGGATAAGTTTCCATTTGACGGTTCAACCATAGACGTTAATTTCCTCTTTATGTGTCAGAGAAGATTAGATTTCCCTTATTTGGCTCAGTAAACCAAATTTAAAAGTTTATGCAATTGAGATCGAGTTTACTCCTTGAGGCTAAGTGTAAATCCTACACAAAAGTGTAGGCCTCTGATATGGAATTAAAGTGTACCTAACCATAGCTAATAAAATATCTATAAACAAAAATAAGCAGTTATTATATTTCAGGGTTCCGAGTTTATCTCTGAGGACGGGTTGTGTAAGAAGAATGGCTCCATGTCTCCTCAGATACTGGGCAGAGAGGATTGGACAATGTCAGGTAGAAAATATGAAAAATAACAAACAATTTGGAGAAAAAATTAGTTAAATGTAGAATTTTTGTTACTTTTTTGTCGTCTTTATTTAATAATTGAAAAAAATCGATTCTCAAAACGTAACCACCCAAATGGATGATTTTGAAAGTTGACTTTGCGCTCAAACTCAGTAATTATACATCATTAAAACGTTTTATATGTCTCAAATGAATCCTATAAAAGTACTCTATTCAATACTGCATTATCAGTTCAACTACCATACATTGCCGGTCACTCCCTATAAGGGACTGTGGACATAATTACACGTAACTCTTTATTAGGTAAATGGCATGTCCGATGGTCAACGGTACCAAAGCTTTGGCTGATCAAGAATACATCATCATCTCTTTTAAAAATTACTTTTTTTCAATTGTGGTATTTTCATTAATTGACTTGCACATTTCTGCTCTATACACAATTGAGTACACTATCAAAGATAAATACTTTTCACCCTAGTAAAACGACGATATCTTACACAGTTGTGAATCGGTAACACCACTTAAAAATCACGTTAACAGTCCCTTGAAAGCACTGAAAAGCTATAAAGGCCATTTTTTATCTTCAAAAATAACTTGGTTAATAAGGCAACGTGATATCTTATTGTTTTCAAAATATATTTAAAGTCTGTTTGAAGCTAAACTGTGTTTGAGGTCTGCGAACTTGAGTTTCCTGATTATCTTTAAACTATTGAATTAGCAACATAACTATGAACTAAGATCTGTCATAAAGTGACAGCTATTTTAGCACTTTAAAAGTAATCTAATCCATCCTGCCCNTTCTTTTTCAAAAAGCTTTAGAAAACGTTAATTTAAAAATAAACTTCAAAATGTAAATTACTTAAAAAAGAAAGAAAGAAATTATTTCAATGAAAATATTTATTTTCATTTATTTATTTACTAACTTATTAATCTATTGATTTATTTATCAATTCATTTATTTGTTTAGTTCGAGAATGGGGTTTGATCTTCTCTATCTTTCATTCTGTTTACTTCTTCCTCGCAGTTATAGCTGACATCTTCTTCTTCTTCCTTATTAAAAACATTAAAAAGGAATTCATCAACATTTCTAAAAAATATTTTTAAAACATGTGTTTATAGGAAACCCGTCAAGCGTTCAGATGCCAAATATTTTTTTTTACTTTTCAACTTTTTTTGTCTGTGTGAAATTTTTAAATACATAAAGTTTTAAAAGAGTTAACATTTTTTAAATTTTAAATGTACAAATATACAATACAGATAATAAATATGTACTTTATGGTTTAAACGTTCAATCATTTATCAGTAGTAATTTAAAAATTTTTGTCAAGTCGTAAGAATCTAGAAAACGGAGTTTTTCTGAATTTTTTGTTGATGGCTTTTTGTGCAGTATATTCTTACTGTTCTGCCAGTAGAACGATTATTTCTTCTTACACTACTTAGCACTGACTCAATTACATACATTTTTAGGTACATATTCATTATTCATTATTCATTATTCATTATTCATTATTCATTATTATTCATCATTATTTATTCTTTATTCATTATTCATCATTCATTATTCATTATTCATTATTCATTATTCATTATTCATTATTCATTATTCATTATTCATTATTCATTATTCATCATTCATTATTCATTATTCATTATTCATTATTCATTATTCATTATTCATTATTCATTATTCATTATTCGTTATTCATTATTCATTATTCATTATTCATTATTCATTATTCATTATTCATTATTCATTATTCATTATTCATTATTCAATATTCATTATTCATTATTCACTATTATTTTTTTTAGCCGAAACCTTGATTCTCAGATGAGAAATGCTGTTGTAACAGTTCTTGTGATAGTTTCAGCTCTTTTTACTTTTATTGGTAAAACACTTTTTAGAGTTCTTGATTTTTAATTGTACTTAAAAAGAAATATTGAAATCATTTATCATTTGTTTCAGATACGTTGTATGTACTGCCACGACTAAGATACTTGGTCAAACTTGATTTGGTTTGGTTAAGAAAATCCGGGAAACTATTTTGCAAATGGCGGCCAATATTCAATCTTCTTCTAGTCTTGATAATTACAGTCTACAATCTAATCATTGCCCTGAACACAAGGAAATTCAATAAAAACTATAAATACATATACTGTAAACCACAGCTAAAAGAAATTTCCAATTTATGATTAAAAAGGGAAAAACGTTATAAAATATTCAGAATGTATGGTTGGTGTAAATGATTAAACGATTAGCTGATCACCCATTCTACAGGGTGTGCTGCAGTGAACATTAACTTTATGAAACAGCTTGAAGTTTTTCTTTTTTGGAAATAAATGACTAGATGAAGATCAATAAAAAGGATTGTAACTTTTTTGGGCTTTCCAAAATGTGGGATAACTTCTTGTATCTTAAAATTGGCGAAATGATTTTCGAGTAAAGGATTCGTGGAACCTGTATTTTTTAAAAGAAACCCCTTTACAAACACCCTATAGTTGTACAAGTAAGCACACTCCTGTTTTAGTTCTTTTTCATACTCCTTAAGAAAATATTTTTAAGTTAAGTAAAGAAAAAGTATGATTTCCTTATTTTTTATGATAAAAATTAAACTAAACTTTATTGAATTTATTTTCTAGTTTATCGATAGATTTAATCCCTATCTCAGTTTATGGGTTTATCTACGCAACTCTATCAGCAATCTTTCTTTTTCTCATTATACAGAGGTAGTTTTTACTTTTCATATTAAAAAATTGAGCATCAAGATCAGATCAAGATCACAACATCAGGATACAAAAAATTTGAAAATTAGATTTTGGAACTAGTTTTTAGTTCCTTTGCATATAAATTGTTTTAATGATATTGACGACAGAGTGCTTAAAAGTGAATCTAAAGCCTAAAAATTATCCAATTCCATGAAGAAAAAATTCAATGGTTGGATGATAACTGTGAAACGGATTACTTACATTATTATTTTTAAGGAAAAAGAGACTTGTGGAGTTTTTAAATAATCTGACGGATACTCAAGAACTCAGAGATATTCAGTCATTTCATCCACCCGGAGATATTCAGTCCTTAAACCCATCCAGAGATACTCAGTCTTTAAACCCACCCAGAGATACTCAGTCTTTAAACCCGTCCAGAGATACTCAGTCCTTAAACCCACCCAGAGATACTCAGTCTTTAAACCCACCCAGAGATACTCAGTCTTTAAACCCATCCAGAGATACTCAGTCCTTAAACTCGTCCGGAGATAATCAGTCTTGTCATCCATCCATTGATACTCAGTCTTTACATTCACCCAGAGATATCAAATCGAGAAAAGTAAACGGAGAAATTGAAGTTCTATACACCTACGGAGATATCCAGACTGTATACCCAGCAAAGAATACTTTATCGATTCATGCAAACGGAGATGCTCAGCATCCACATGAAGTTATCCAGTCCTCAACCCAACCCGAAGAACCATCCCAAGGTTCTTATAGAACTAGGACCCGGAGTAACGGAAACGGTTCATGCCTTAGCAGTGGAACCCAATCTCAAAGGAATGACAGAAAATTAGACATAACTCCAGTATCTCCAGTACCTCATATATATCCAGTAGCTCCAGCAGCTCAAGAAAGCACCTGGATTAAAGACGTATCCCTGGAGAAGGAGTGGAACGAAGGCAAATGTGATATATTGCTGAGTATCCTGGGAATAATATCTTTAAACTACCTCACCTTAGCTCCTCTCTCCAGAACATTAAACTTTATCTTTCATCAGTTCATTCTTTAAAGAAATATTAAAGGGATTGTCACCTTAATTTTGTCTGAACCTTCGATAGAAGAGTGTCATAAATGACTATTTCTCTTTAACTTAGAAGCGATTGTACTGAGCTATCTGGAATTTGTCGGTCATTTTCTTGCTTCGTCCTCGTGTTGATGAATTTTCAGAAAAATTCTTTTTAGACAAAATAAATATTTTGAAAGAAAGAATTAAGAAAAAGAACTGGAGAAGAAATGGAAATAAAGATAAAAGGAGTTAGAAGAAGGCAGAAGAGAAAAAGTGGATCTTTTTCCACTAAATGGAGAGAAACATAAAACATTTCGTTGACAATCTTTTTAATAAATTTCTTCTTTAAGATTCATGCTTGCTAGTGTGAGTATTTAATATCCCCTCTATACTCTATACATATTTTATGCATTCTTGCTGCTCATGCTTTGTTTTGCTTTCTCTGTAATTACGTATCAGTGCCTTATTAATAAATGTATTTTAATCCATTATTCAGAATTTTTTAACATGAAAAAGCATAAAGATTCATAAATAAAGATATTAATTAATTTTTTCATTATCCCGTTAAACTGATAATACAAATCTGAGACTTAAATATGTTTTTAGCAACTTCCAACGCGACAATTTCCCAAGTGGCAACTTCCCAAATGGCAATTTCCTAAACGGCAACTTCCCAAAAGTAAGCCCTTATGAGGCGTAGTAGGCTGCGATAGGGGTGGGGGCGAGCACTGCGGCTAGGATAGGCTATGGGGCGAGCGCTGCGGCTAAACCACGATAGGGGGCCGAGTGCTGCGGCTAGGAAAGACTTGGGAAAATGTGCAGCTGGGAGGATGTCACTAGGGAAAATACCCTTGGGAAGTTGCCGCTTGGTAAATAAAGTGAGAAGCATAAAGCCCTGGAATATGAAAGGAAAACAATGTTTAGGCAACCTTCAGTATACTCAACGGTGTTATAAAGCAAATTATATTTTACTGGTAACTTAAAAATTTATGTATTATATTAAATGGGTCTGTTTACACTACACAATTGTTTTGTTTAAAGTAGAAGAAACTGTTCAAGATCATATCATGAGTCTATGGGTGGTCTTCCTATTCCGCAGTTATATAGTCCTGAGCCCGCGATCTAAAAACTTCGGGAAAATACGGCTCGGGTCTTAACTGTCGTTGGGCCTTATTTACGGCTTGAGCTTTCGGATTCAAGCTGCATTTTATTATTTTCCTGAGTTGAGTTTTAAAAAAACCGGCTAAATATGATATTTGGCGAATATTCATGGTTGGAATTGGCGCATTCCGGGTTTTTATGAGAACAAGATTAAACATTGAGCCTTGTTCTCCACTAAAACCAACCAAGGTCGGTTTTATTTCTATTGGGCCTAACTCCTTAAGTCAAACAGAAGATCTTGCAGCTGTCAATCATGTCACACAAGCTGTCGTCAGAGTTGGGTCGAAGATTGAGTCTTAACCCTATTCCTGCTGGGGGGGGGGGGTCAAGTTGACCCCCCCCCTGTAGTTTTTTTTACATAACTCAAAAAGTATTGGTCTGAGGCTGTTGAAATTTTCTGACTTTTCTTACATACCCAAAGCCCTCCCTTTAGGCCTAAAACCGGGCTTTAATACTAACTGCCTGAGTCCTCAGGCACACTGCCTAAATGACTGTTTTTGCCTGTAACAAACTAAATCTTTGATTTGACCCACTTTCACTTGTCAGATTTTGATAAAATTTAGCTTTTTGGAAAGCCTATGACATAAGAAAACGGATTGCACAAGTTTTACGAAAAAAAATTAGCAAATTTTTTACAAACAACCTGTCAAAGGAAATTTGCACATTTTTAGTTTTTCTTGATTAAAAATCAGGTTATTTAAAATTTTGCAAAAATTTTTTCATATTTAAAATGGCATGGTCAAGGGCTTTTCAAAAATGTATAATTTTTCATTTTTTGGACAAAGTTTTTTTTGCAAACATTTTTACTAAAAATCTGGATTTTGCGATAAAAAATTCAATTTTCGCAAATTTGCAAATTTTTTTGCAGATTCTAAAAGTAGAGCACAAGAGCTTTCTTATGATGTATCATTTGTCATATTTGGACATAGACCATGGGATTTAGAGGGGGGGGGTCAAAGTGACCCCCCCCCCAGCGTATCCTGGTTTTCAAGTACCCCAGCAGGGATAGGGTTAAAGTCGGGTCTAAGGAATTACGGCTCGAGCCGAAATTTTTAAAACGCGGGCTCAGCTGTATGATTGTTTTTAAACATTACAACTTAAAGTAAACTTTTCATTTCTCAGGAAAATATCCAATGTTTCTATACGTATAAAAATAAAAAACAAAGTTCCTATTAAAATATTTGAAGCAAGTGCTTACTTGCAAAATGTTAGTCATCTATATAACTAGGAATATGTGTTTACGCCGATTTCTGAAACAAACAGCCGAAGAATAAACAGTAAAAAAACAAGCTGAGAGGAAGGACATTTTTTCTAAGGTAGGGTAGCACTACTCATATCTTTCAACAATGGAAACTATTCATTTAAAGCGAACAAGCTCTCAATCCACAAAAAAAGCTGACTCATATTTCACGATTGGTCGAGAGCAAGTTTTAGTGGTTTAATTTTTTGTTTTTGATAATTTTCAATTCTGCAAATCAACTGTAAAAAAAGAAATGAATTCTGATGGAAAAAACTCAAATTCTCACCCTAAAGTGACCTGCACATATGTTGATTATTTGAAATTCACAGAAATAAACACTTTTCGAGTCACTAAACGACCATTTCTTCTGCAAGATTTCAAGGGTATCATTGTGAGTCGGGTATTACTATCTGTGGATGGAGGGTCACTTACAATTACGCGGACAGTCCCTTTTATTTAATTTAATAAGATGTTCAGCATATGCATATCCGTCCTAGTGCTAAATTTACAGGTTTAAGATTCAAAACTATCTCTCTCAAGTTTTAGCAAATTAATACAAAGGAATTGAGTTTTTGCCACAAACTCAAATCTTCCGATCCCAATATCTTTTGCAATCTGATGGTGCAAACCTTTGATATTTCAAACTTAGATTATTTTATCTATAAGTATTAATAGTTTGAAATATCTAAGGTCTACGACATTGGGTTACAAAGATATAGAGATTAGAAAATCAGAGTTTGTGGCAAAAACTCAATTCCTTTTAATTAAAGTCTGCAAGAATATATCTGCAATACATATGTTGCTATAATATTTTTTTTATATTTTTTAGAAAAAAAAACCTTTTTTGTTAAACATATTATGCTCTGTAATGTATGAGTTAAACTTTTAGTATAAATAAATATTTAATTAAATAAATCTTCATGAACACACGATCTTTCCAAATATTTAGTTGTTTTTAACAAAAACACTGAGTTCAGAAAAACATTAAAAAATGTGTATGCTTTAAAATTTAGACAGTAAACACTTCACTTTTAGTTTTTTTCCTATTCTTTCATTCCTAAATGATGAGATTTGAATAACAACCGGAAACTCTTCAGAATTCAGATAAATACGATCTAATGGAATAATTTAGTGTTTTTTAGAAGATAATATATTTATAATTAGAGAGATGAAACACACGAGGAGCTGCAGTAACTTGTATTTTTGATAGTTAAAGGGATTGAAAGCGTATTTCTAAGTGACCCTCCATACAAAGATAGCAATGCCCGATTTTCAGCGGTATCCTTAAAACCTTAATGCAAAAAATGTAGTTTTCTGATTGAAAAGTGTTAATTTCTGTAAATTTCTTCGTTGCTCAGGCTCTTCATCATCAAGAAATTCGCAAGGCACTTTCGCAGAGAATCCGCAAATGAAAATGAGCAGTCTAAAAGCAAAAGCATTAGTATCTAATTCATACTTGATAATATAAAATTTTTAAGGGTAACATTGTGAATCCGGCATTTGCACTTTGCATGGAGAGTCACTTACAGTTCCTTTAAGATTGAAGGAATAGTGCATCTAATATGAAGCAAAATACAGGGTTCTCCGTATCCATTTTTTCGTGTAAACTTGACATCTTCAAGATTGATGATTAATTTTTGTTTCTTGTTTAATGTATATTAGTTTTGACATTTTTCAAAATTGTCTCCTCCATTCAAAGTTTCATCCTGTGAAAAGTCCCTTTCAGCTTGATATATTTTGCACAAGCTCGTGGATTCAAATCAAATGCTTTCCGTTGTTTTTCTAGTTTCATTCATGCATAAACACAAACAACTTGTCTACATGTTTATTTACTATTACAATAAATTAAATGGGAAAGGAGTTGAGTCCTTGCCACAAATTCTAATTTTCTAATCCCTATATCTTTTGAACCCTATGTCGTAAACCTTTGATATTTCAAACTTGTATTATTTGATCTTACAGAAGTCATAGTTTGAAATGTCAAATGTTACCTAGGCCCTGACCTAAGTGTACGGAGGTTTTTCCCCGCTATGGAATAGTTGTAGGGAAGCTTACTCCACCTTTATCTAGTTGTAGGAAGGTTTACTCCGCCATGAGATAGTTGTAGAGAGGTTTACTCCGCCCTGATCTAGGTGTACAGCTAGGGATGTTTTGACATATAAACTCAATCCTGTAGATAGGTTAACTCTGTCCTAGCTGTAGATAGGTTAATTCTGTCCTGTAGATAGGTTAATTCTGTCCTGTAGATAGGTTAACTCTGTCCTGTAGATAGGTTAACTCTGTCCTGTAGATAGGTATACTCCGTCCTGTAGATAGGTTAATTATGTCCTGTAGATAGGTTAGCTCTGTCCTGTAGATAGGTTTACACCGTCCTGTAGAGAAGTTAATTCCGTCCTATAGAGAGGTTAACTCCTTCCTGTAGAGAATTTTACTCCGTCCTGTAGAGCAGTTAATTCCGTCCTAAAGACAGGTTTACTTCGTCCTGTAGACATGCTAACTGCGTCCTATAGACAGGTTAACTCCGTCCTGTAGATAAGTTTACTTCGTCCTGTAGACATGTTTACTGCGTCCTGTAGAGAAGTTAAGTCCGTTCTGTAGAAAGGTAAATTCCGTCCTGTAGACAGGTTAAATCCGTCCTGATATAGGTGTACAGCTAGGGATGGTTTGACAGATAAAGTCAATCCTGTAGATAGGTTAACTCCGTCCTGTAGATAGGTTAGCTCTGTCCTGTAGAGAGGTTAACTCCGTCCTGTAGAGAAGTTAATTCCGTCCTGTAGACAGGTTAACTTCGTCCTGTAGACATGCTAACTGTGTCCTGTAGACAGGTTAACTCCGTCATGTAGATAGGTTTACTCCGTCTGTTGAGAAGTTAATTCCGTCCTGTAGACGGGTTTACTTGGTCCTGTAGAAGGTTTACTTCGTCCTGTAGGCATGTTTACTGCGTCCTGTAGACAAGTTAAGTCCGTTCTTTAGACATGTTATTTCCGCCCTGTAGAAAGGTTTACTCCGTAGTCCTGTAGACAGGTTAATTCCGTCCTGAAGACAGGTTTACTCCGTCGTCCTGTAGACAGGTTAATTTCGGATAAACCC